TGCTACAACCACTCGAATCCAGTTCCGACACCCTACCGGCCGTGTTATCCGACGATTTAACCTCCAAGACTCAGTACGTCGGATCTACGAATGGCTCAAGGCTGAACCTCTGGAGGGTAAGGATGGAATTGAGTTTGAGCTCAAGAAGATGCCCCAGGGTCAAGATCTCCTGGAGAGTCTGGATGCTACCATCGCAGACACTGGGCTGAAGCAGGGAACAGTGATGATCGAGTTCATCGAGGACTAAGGCTGATGTTTTTTCCTTCCTTCTTGATGCGAGAATGATTTCGTCTTTTCACAAGGCCATGCATGGACAACAGCAGGCATTTGCAGATAGATCAGTATCGGAGCCATCGGAGTGAATTGGACTGGACTGGCTGCGGCCAGAGGTGCAGGCATGTTCTGACTCCTTCTGGGGGGCATCTTATTGGGATTGTTTTACGGTATTACCATGGAGATTGGGTTGGGAGGCTCATGTCGTTAGACACTTTTGCTCTCATGATTCAGCAGCGACGGGAACCAAGGATGAGGTGGATGGTAGTTAGGCAATGAAACGAGCATGATCGACTCGATGTTGACCTAATGAAGCAGTTTCTCAATAGCCAACCGTTTGAGTGATATTTGTGAGGCATGTTTGGAGCGTACAAGCCAACTAGACGATAATCTCCCGCAACCAACGAATGGCCGAGATTCAGCTTCAGCCTCAAATGTCGAGTAATTTCCCTCATCAGCTTGGGCCTCTCTCGAATCTTGTAGCCCTATCTGTTGGAGGTGAGATGATGCACAAAAAGTGCTAGTCTGAGCGGCGTGGTCCAATCGCAGAGAGTCAAAACGGTCCGTCGAGGGTGTTTCAGCATGAATGAGAGGGCGACCAATCAGATGCCTCAAGTCCGTGGAGAGTGAGATGCAAAGGTTCTCTGACAAATGCCCTCTTCATGCAGAGAATTAGTTGTACCCAACGCAGCTTGGCATGGATGGAAACCTTGCATTCTCCTGCCTGAAGCATGAACTGAGGCTGAGCTGGAGACCTACGTACGTATGGAGATGGAGGCCAGTGCGGGGGAGATACAGCGGCGGCCCCTCCGTGTCTCCAGCTGCTAATGGCCGACGGATGACAGGGGCCGTTGGCTGAACCCCCTCCCGCTTCGAGGTTGCACCAGGAACGGCCGTGAGCAGACGGCAATGGAGGTGGATGGGATGGAAAGCAAGGCGCGGTTAGGTGGTGTTGCTCCCTCAGCAACCCCACCTTGACCTCTGCCTGTGTAAACACCCAGCAACCGCCAGCCGTTTCACTGTGGGAGGGTGCTTCTGCTTCTCTAGCTCAATTTAGCTTATTACAGGCTGGGCAGGTGCTGTAGCTTGCGCACCGCACCGCACCGCACCGCAGGCAGGCGGGGATTGGTTCTCGTTTCGAGCTGAATGCCCAGGCGCCCCGACGGAAGGGGAGTTTTTTCTTCCTCATCATCAATCTCCCTTCCAATTCCTTTTATCCCTTCTTCTTCTACTTCTTAACATCGCTCTTTCCCCTCCCTTTATTTACATCTTCTCCCTTGATACAGCCAGTGAGACTGTTTGTTGTTTACGACTGGCACATGATCCGAGACAACTTAGGACGGCGCCTCTTTTTTTTGGTGGGGTTAGAAATCGACACCGCCAACTACCAATATCCCACCTCGCAGCTTGACTCGATTCAAACTCGTCACCCTCCTTCGATACCGCCTGCGGTGTGAAGATCGAGACCTCGTCGACTGCTCGGAGAAGGCGATTCGACTCGAGCGGAAACTAAGCTAGCGATCAGCACACGAGAGGGCTGTAAGCGCCCAGAGGAAGTCGACGTGGGACAGGCATATTATCACGGCCCAAGACGAACCAAGCTGTACACCGATCGAAGCACGATGGCCGACCACGAGAGGGACGTGGACGAGACGAACGAAGCGCTCGACCCGGAGCTTCTCTACTCCAAGGAATACTGCATTGGTTAGTCTGGATATGGTCCTTTTATGGGCAATATCAAGCCTCGTGGGCACCGTGAAGGACCTCCACTGACGTTTCCCAGGTGGTGGCAGTTTTGGCAAGGTCTACAAAGGGTATACAAAACTTGACATTCTGATCTCTTGATCCGGGAGCTGATAAACCACCGCAGAGTTGACAAACGCACCGGTCAGGCAGTCGCGATCAAAGTTATCGACATCGAGAGCGCTGAGGACGAGGTGGAGGATATTATCCAGGAGATCGCCATTCTTTCCGAGTTGCAATCCCCATATGTCACCAAGTACTATGGATCATATGCGAAAGGCGCCGAACTATGGATCGTCATGGAGTTTTGCTCCGGCGGGAGCTGCGCCGACTTGATGAAGCCAGGGCTGATCGGAGAGGACTACATCGCCATCATTGTGCGGGAGCTGTTGCAGGGGTTGGACTATCTCCACACAGACAAGAAGCTGCACCGCGATGTCAAGGGTGAGTTGGGTCGAGATCATGTGGCATGCGAGACTGACAACCTTGACAGCTGCCAATGTACTGCTCAGCAGCAACGGGCAGGTCAAGCTCGCCGACTTTGGCGTCTCAGGACAGCTCTCCGCAACCATGACCAAGAAAAACACGTTCGTCGGTACTCCCTTCTGGATGGCTCCGGAGGTTATCAAACAATCCGGATACGACCACAAGGCTGATATCTGGTCACTCGGTATCACGGCCCTCGAACTGGCCAACGGCGAACCACCCTACGCCGATATTCACCCCATGAAGGTCCTCTTTCTCATCCCAAAGAACCCACCCCCGCGACTCGAAGGCAACTTCACCAAGGCCTTTAAGGACTTTATTGAGCTATGCCTCCAGCGAGACCCCAAGGAGCGACCAACAGCGAAGGACCTGCTCCGACACCCGTTTATTAGACGAGCAAAGCGGACAACCTACCTGACCGAGCTCATTGAGAGACATACTCGATGGGCGGCTACTCACAAGAACGATGATGAGGACAACTGGGATTCTAACCCCGGCCGAGCCCCGGCCGAGCGCGAGCGGGTAGATGAAGACATGTGGGACTTTGGCACCGTGAGACTTATTGGTGAGCGTGGAGGCATCGTCAACCGACCCAGTCTCAATCCTTTGGACGAGAGCGCAACGAATGCGAGATCTTCGCGACCACTAGAACCTGCTGATGACTACACCGAGCGGCGACGTGAGGGAAGCCCGACAAAGGTCAAGGACTTTGCCTTTGAGCCAAGCGAGACCGTCAAGGCGCCGAATCCAGGCTCCAGACAGTCCAGTCCTCAGCGCAAGGCTGTTCCACTACAACAACCACAGTTCCAACAGCCTATGTCATCTCCTACTAGAGTACCACTCCCTCAGAGCCCGATGAAGCAGCTACCGAGAGACAACAACGAAACTCCGAGAGCACCACGGCCGATGCCACCCCTACCAGTGGAGCAGTCACCAGACTACGATCGTGAGCTACAAAGCCAGCTTCAGCGTGATCTGGGTAAGCTCAATCTGAACCTCGACGGCAAGGCGAGCCCCCAGTTGTCATCATCGCAATGGCCAGTACCGCCCACGCCGCCAGCACATACAGGAGGGCCACGACCAATGCCCTCCAAGGTGACGCAGATAAGCCTACCGGAAATACCCCCATATAGGGGTAGAACGCCTTCATCACAGCAAAGTCCCTCCCCACAACCGACATCTTCGCAGCGACTTTCCACACATGTGGCAGTTCCACCAGTAGCGCAGTGTCCTCGACCACTTTCCTCCAAGGCTCAGTCACCAGCCCTCCCCGAGTTTGCGACGGCCCCATCGTCATTCCCTGCGCCGGGACCAGCCAACCCGAACGGCGATCTGGATGCCCTTCACGATGTCATCTTCCCCGCGCTGGAGGAAGCCCTGAAGCGACGACAGATCAACCTCCAACAGATGCACGGGCCATCACAATACCCGGCGCAAGGGACACCTCAGCAAGAACGAGCTGAGGCGGCGCACGAAAAGGTGCGGAGATTGGTGTATAAACTGGCGTATGTCTGTAAGGAGATTGATCACTACGACAAGGCCGAGCCTGTAGGCATGGGCCGAGAGGCCGGAAGTTTCCTTGAAGGCCTTCTTGAGGAGATCTTGGTGAGAGTGGAGCCATTGGACGAGGATGAGGAAGTCCAAGCTTGAGGGCGTGTACTTGTTGATGTCAGGGAAGAGCGTGAAGAAGAATTTGAAGTCATTTTGGAGTTCTGGTCTGACATTGTATATGGCATGAAGGAGGAGTACGAGCCGGCTGAAGGACAAAAAGGATGAACCGGGAGGCCGGGATGAGTGTATCAAAGAGGGACAAGGCATGACAGGGCGAGGCAAAGACAGCGAGGATCAATGGTTGGACTTGTGCTTAGACAGATTAAACCGAGCGGATTGATTACTTTTATGATGGACGAAATGGAATAGACAATGGATGTTATGCTGCTGCTTGTTTTGGAGATGGTGGTTAGGCGGCTGCAGGTGGAGCATGTGGCATGGGATGAGGGGGACAAGATGGAGATGCTCCACATGCAGCGATTCAGCGTGAGTAGAAACCATGATGACGCCGTGACACGACCGAGGGACATGTTTATTGATTTGAAGTTGGCCGGTTGAATGCGGAAGCTGAGATGCGCCAATTGACACCAAATACAGATGCAGAGCGATTGTTTACAGTTGTTGTCTCTTGGCTTTGGTGTTGGCCTGAAGCTGTGACGTCGTTGGAATTTGCATGGAAGATCTAGAGTTTCGAAAGGCGGTCTCGGCCAAAATTGAAACTAAACCTAAAGCAGTAACAAATCTAATGGCATCGCCGAGAACCTAGCCCCTCATACTTCCTATGCAAGACTAAAGCATCGGGCTGGGCGAACCCACTGTTCAACAGACAAGCTCGGAACAAGCATTCGCTCTCCGCTCGGAAAAAGGGCGGCGGCCGAAACAAGAGGCAGAAAAAAAAGTCTCGGTAATGGAGGAGACCTGGGAAGCTCGGCCAATGCGACACCAATGGCAGGGCAAAAGAGCCCATGGGAACCTTGGGCAACGGGAAACGGGCCATGCGCGATTTGAACTCTTTTCTTTCTTTTTAGTTTTTTTTCTTTTACACTCTTGACATCTTTTACATCACTCTCCTCCTCTCCATCTCGTGTGCGGTCTGCGGTTTAATTCCTTTTCTTCCTCTTTGTCCTATCCTCAAGAAATCTCTCCTCTCCATCCGCAACCGTCATCATGTTGTCGCGAGGATCTGTTCGATCGGCCCAGGTATGTTTTTGTTTCTCTTTGCTGGTGATATGAGAGAAACGCAATTGAGTAGTTTACTAACATTCTTCTTCTATACAGCTGCTGCGCGGCGTGGCCCAGCAACCCCAGCTCGCCCGATCCTTCGCCACCGTCCAGTCCGACATCTTCAAGCCCGCCAAGTTCGGCGGCAAGTACACCGTCACCCTCATCCCCGGTGACGGTATCGGTACCGAGGTTGCCGAGTCTGTCAAGACCGTCTTCAAGGCCGACAACGTGCCCGTCGAGTGGGAGCAGGTCGAGGTTTCTGGCCTCGAGGGCGCCGGCCGCACCGAGGATGCCTTCCGCGAGTCGGTCGCCTCGCTCAAGCGCAACAAGCTCGGCCTCAAGGGAATCCTTCACACCCCCATCAGCCGATCCGGACACCAGAGCTTCAACGTCGCCATGCGACAGGAGCTTGACATTTACGCCAGCATCAGCTTGATCAAGAACATCCCTGGCTACGAGACCCGCCACAAGGACGTCGACCTGTGCATCATCCGCGAGAACACCGAGGGAGAGTACTCTGGCCTCGAGCACCAGAGTGTTCCCGGCGTCGTCGAGTCGCTCAAGATCATCACCCGCGCAAAGTCTGAGCGCATCGCCAAGTTTGCTTTCAGCTTTGCTCTCGCCAACGGCCGCTCCAAGGTCACCTGCATCCACAAGGCCAACATCATGAAGCTGGCCGACGGTCTTTTCCGCAGCACCTTCCACCAGGTCGCCAAGGATTACCCCACCCTCGAGGTCAACGACATGATTGTCGACAACGCCTCCATGCAGGCTGTTTCCCGACCCCAGCAGTTCGACGTCATGGTCATGCCCAACCTTTACGGTGGTATCCTGTCCAACATTGGCGCTGCTCTTGTCGGTGGTCCCGGTATCGTCCCCGGCTGCAACATGGGCCGTGAGGTCGCCGTCTTTGAGCCCGGTTGCCGTCACGTCGGTCTCGACATCAAGGGCAAGGACCAGGCCAACCCTACCGCTATGCTTCTCTCCGGCAGCATGCTGCTGCGACACCTCGGTCTCGATGAGCATGCTAACCGCATCTCCAAGGCCACCTACGCCGTCATTGCTGAGGGGTAAGTTGTCTGTCTAGGTATAGTAACAAAAGCTAACTGTTCAATAGCAAGGTCCGCACCCCCGATATGGGCGGCTCCTCCACCACCCACGAGTTCACCAAGGCCATCCTCGACAAGCTCGAGACTGTTTAAATCGAGCAACTTTTTGTGATATCCCCGGCCTAAACAACCTACCCTAAACCAACCAAACCGACGCAATGTTTCCCTTTTTTTAAACTGCATTTTTTCGTTATTACCCCGTCCGTCGCGGGGGGCAAGTAACCCAAACACACACTCGATCGAATATTAGACCTAGGAACGACCCGAGGGGAAAGGGCTCTGGCGGCATTTAGGCGTTCCGAGAGAGAAAAGGGGGTGTTTCTGGGGGAGCGACGCAGAGGAAGAAGAGGAGATGATCGCTGAAAGAGCGAGCGTGAAGAGGGGGAGGTTGTACGTGTAACATGACCTTGATAGCAGTGGAATTGATGCATAAATCAACTATTCATGACTACTTGTGCTCTTGAAGATGAGTTAAGGTAAAAGTGCAATACAGGTCCTGGACTGAGGAGCGTCAGCAAGCCAATTCTGGGTACATGGCGTCTAGACTCCTGTCTAGACTCTTTGCGCGCATTCTCTTCGGGCTTGGCTCTTATCGCGACATGCCTTGCATCGCGGAGACCGAGCTGTTATCCTCGGTTGATGTTGTACCGAAGACCCTGGTTGCATGAGGAGCTTCTGCTGGCGAATGGGGGCTAAGGATGTGGGTAGACACCCAACTATGCCTAAAAATAAGTTGATCAAACTACCTAGGTAGAAGCAGTAACAAGCATCAGGAATTATCCGATTTGGTTGTTCCACTGATCTAGAACTCGCCAATGACATTGCCCATAAGTCCCCTGGATTGTCCTGATTAAGCTCCTGATGTTCCGAAACATGGCAGAAACGCCATGCAAAGACTGCGTCGAGAAGCGAGTTCTTGATTCCCTCAGGCCGCCCTTAGATCGAACCAACTTGCTCGCCACTTGGAGCCATCAAGACCTCGTCAGATCTGCTCCTGTTTGCGCTATCTGCAACTTCATATTGGAAATCATCGGTGATTCCATATCTGAAGCTGGGGCGGTGCCAAGAGGATTCGATAGTGTAAACAACATCTTCATAATGTCCGACGGCGATCCGTTCGCCTCTACATATCAGCTTACACTGTACTGGCAAACCATGGCTCTCCAGCGCTCTGTTTCCATCTATCCCAACTCTCCATGCGGCACTCACAATTGTCAGTGACTCGCAGAGCACCAGCACGGGAATCCCAGGCATTTCCATGTTGAGGCCAAAACCATCGCCTACCCTGGATGCTTATGGTTTCTTTCTGGTTGCCGCTCAGGCCTCGATTTCAGAGGCCCTTTCCACTTCCCGCTGGTTCAGTCGAGGTTGGACGTTGTAGGAAATGTGTTCCTCGAAGTCCATCTTACTCTTCACCGACTGGCAGGCCTTCTTCCAAATTGACGACACCGTGTACGTGGAGGACGGACGGAGCGAGAGCAGCACGGGAGTTTATGCTGATGATAAAAGAAACGTTTTAATCAGCCTCGAGCCTTGCACGCCAAATCCCAATGTTGGACCTCGGCAGCCATAGCCTGGCAGGAATCAGCTCACTGTGCCTGGCTTGCCAGGCTCGACAACGGCTCCACGACATCTTGGAGATGAGGAAGAAGAATACTTCCTCGAGGGTGAAGATCCAACCGGCACACGTAAACGAAAAAGGCAGATGGCAGAAGAAATTGAAGAGACTCGAAAAGCTCGAAATACGCTCGAAACCTTTGCCAATTACAAGCAACTCCTACAAACATATACCGGCCGAACCTTGACCTATGAGCGTGACACCGTCAAGGCTTTCGAGGGCGTACTAGAATACTTCCGGGTCGCCCTGGGACCACATGTCTGGGGACTACCCTCGAAGAGATTTGACGAAGCACTTCTGTGGCAGGTGGAGAAACCGAGCAGCCGACGTGCAGGCTACCCATCGTGGTCATGGTGTGGATGGTATCTGAGCTCAGGTTCGCATCTAACGCACCTAGACTCTTCAAGACAGTCGGCCAAGTACTTTAAGGGCGCAGAACTTGAAAGGACATCAATCTCGGAACTGGACCTGGAGCCAAGCACATCTCAGGGCGCTGTTAGAAACGGATTTCCAGACATCATCGTAGTCCAAGCAACGTACACAACCCTCGGTATCAGGCGTGACATGTTACCTTACCAGGGGAAAGACAGTTTTGAGGTGATAGAGCCAACATCGCAGAGAAAGCTGGCAAACATGACCCTTGGGCCAGAATGGGCCGCGGACCTGAGGCAAGTGACCTTTTGGAATTATCTCGTCGCGACCGCTGGTCCATGAACCGAACGCGGCTCGGCTTTCAGGATCGCAGACCTAGGGCTTCTGGTTACAAAGTCTATATTCCTGACGTCGCCATTGTAATGGCTGTTGTGGAAGACGGTGATAACCTGTGGCAGAGGGTCCAGATCTGCGATATTGATAGAGAAGCGTGGGAGTTACTGTCTTTGGAGCATGGCTTATTCACCATGAAATGAATCAGCGATGATCATGACCCGTGTCAAGGCTATTTAAGCTTACTTTGGCTAAAGATACGACAGGATCTTGAATCTTGAACGCAGCCTGCATTCAATGAGACCCTGGGGTGGAGGTGACGGACTCGGTCGCCGACGCCGAAGCCGTGGAGATTCGGCGCTCAAGATGATCGGCGCCGCGGCCGATGAAGGATGATACGCATATGCCTGATGGATCAACCAATTCTGACCTCCGAGCGTACCGAAAGAAGTTCTTGACTCTGTTTAAGCATAGCCACGGGGAAAAGTTTCATTACGCCGGTTGTCGATCAGGTGCTTTCAGCGGAGCCTCAACTCGCCTCTTTGACCTTGCTCTTATATCTCACCTCCTTCATGAATGTTTAACTCGACAACGCCAAAACCACAAACACCATATATCATGCTTGACAGACCCCCCATCCGCATCGGCAATGTCTCTGGCGCCACGGGCGACCACCCCCACGCCATGGCCCGGATGGTGCGCTCCGGCAACGTCAACGTCATCACGGGAGACTGGCTCTCCGAGATGAACATTGCCTGGAACGCCATCACCAAGCAGGAAGTCGATCCGGACTTGGGTTATGAGAATGGCTTCTTTGAGCAGCTTGACGAGTGTCTTGATGACATTATGCAGCGGGATATTCGCGTTGTTACCAATGCTGGTGCGTTGAATACTGAAGCGCTGTATCGAAAGGTTAGGGCGCTTTGTGAGAAGAGGGGGTATGGGGATTGCGTTGTTGCCGCGGTTTTGGGTGATGATGTTTCGGATGTTGTTATGGATGAGAACAAGAGGAGGGGGTTGGCTATCACGCACTTGGATCACCCGGAGCAGACACTCGACACTTGGGGATTCACTCCTTGCTGTGCTACAGCTTACATTGGCTGCTGGGGTATCGTGCAAGCTCTCCGATCTGGAGCTCGCATCGTCATCTGTGGTCGTTGTACTGATGCCTCTCCTGTCATGGGCGCCGCTGCTTGGTACCATGGATGGAGGGAGGATCAGTATGAGGAATTGGCGGGTTCACTTTTGGCGGCTCATCTGATCGAGTGTGGTCCTTATGTCGTCGGGGCCAACTTTTCTGGTTTCAAGGACTTTTTGCCTGAGCTTGTCGACATTGCGTTCCCCATTGCCGAGATTGATCCCAGAGGACGCTGTGTTATCGGGAGGACTAGCGAAGGAGGTGGTCGTGTGACGAAGGATACAGTCACGGCTCAGTTGCTCTATGAGCTTCAAGGACATCTTTACTTGAACCCCGATGTCGTGGCAGACCTGTCAGGTGTGAAAGTTGAAGAAGAGGCGACAAATCGAGTGGTTGTCTCTGGAGTCAAGGGCCGTCCTCCACCTGCAACGACAAAGGTCATGATCGCTGCCAAGGGGGGGTTCCAAGCCGAAGCAACATTTTACATCAACGGTCTCGACGTGGTGGAAAAGGCAGCCATGATGAAGGCGCAGCTGGCGCACATGTTCAAAGACAGCAACTTTAGCCGTCTCAGCATCGAGCTCTACGGAACACCAGCCGACAACCCGACGTCTCAACAAGCAGGCACCGTGTCGCTGCGGGTGTTTGCGCAGGCGAGAAAGAAGGAGGATATCGAACCGAGCAAGTTCAAGGTTCCCATCTATGCGCTGCGGATGCAGAGTTATCCGGGATACCACATGAATCTCGACTTTCGAACCATGACGCCGAAACCGTTTATGGAAATGTTTCCTGCGCTCATGCCCATGTCTGCTATCGATCATCGGGTTGAGATGAGTACTGGTGAGGTGCTGCGTGTTCAACCGCCGAGTGAGACGGCTGCGTATCCGATTGTTAGGCCTTCGGCGGATACGTATGGGCCTGTGGACATGCTTACTTTTGGACCGACGGAGTGGGCGCCGCTGGGTAGTGTGGTGCATGCTCGGTCTGGTGACAAGGGTGATAACTCGAACGTGGGCTTTTTCGTGCGAAACGACGACGAGTATCCCTGGTTGCGGAACCTATTGACAGTGTCAAAGATTAAGCAGCTATTCGGGGATGACTGGTTCAAGGGAAATCCCGACAGGAGGGTGGAAAGAGTCGAGTTTCCAGGTGTTAATGCTGTTCACTTGTAAGTTTTCGAATGTCTGTTGGGAGTTGAGATGCTAACGTTTATGTAGCCGGATTTTGGACAATCTCAATGGTGGGATTGCTTCTTCTGATCGGATTGATGGGCTTGGGAAGGGTATTGCAGAGTATCTGAGGAGTCGATATGTAGATGTTCCAAAGGCGTTTCTTGAAAGAGGACGAATTTGAGTGAAGGATGGACGGGTATCACGGAAGATGTGATTTAGAATGATAGACTTTTTATGTATGTGGAATGGGAATCCTATAAATGGTATACTTTGATTGCGGCTGAATGGATAATTCCCTATGGAAGTGCTTAGTAGTACCTATGAGAGTCTTCTCCAAGACCAAAGAACCACTCCTGCGATAACTGCGATATAGCATCATTGTGAAACTCATCCAACCCAAGACTCTGTAGATCTCCAAAACAATCCCTAAACGTGCTGTCCACCGTCATGTTTGCAAAGCCAGCTGTCTGCTGATAGAGTCCTGTAGAGAAGGGCACTGCCTCGACCATGTCTACATTTGCGTCGTTACTCGTCGCTTGTGGAGTTTGCACCGCTGGAGGTGTTTGAGCGTCGACTATATCGGCGACTACGGCGTCGCTTAGTCTGTCAAAGAGATCGGAGCAGTTTCTTGCCAAGTCCCATCGCTCGGAGACTGCTACTAAAACCTTGGAGCATGCGCGCGTATCATTGACGACTTGATTGATGGTCGGTGTAGCATGTAGCCGTGCTCGTGTGGGTTCCGAAGCTTGAACTTGGAGCGCTTGGAAGTGATGTCTTAGAGCAAAGATGTAGGATAATCCCGCTAGGAAGACAGAGTGCATCGTTATCCACGAGTAGTTTAGCTTTCGAGAGCGATGTAGACTTGCGTAGAGGTTGATGGACTCTCTTGCCGAGTCGAATATGTGCTGAAGAGTAACACTATTTGTTGAAGCATCGCAGAGACACGGCGAAGGACGGAAGAGCATAAGCATTCCGTTGTGGTATAGGAGGCGATACCATTCCTCGGAGCGGAAGCTTGAGCCGCTTGCGGGTGATGCTGCTGTTGAGTCGCCTTTGACGAGAGGTAAATTCGCCGTTTCTGCGTGCCACTCTTGAAGCTCTTGAGCCAAGGCAGCTCGCATCTCTTCGTAATTGGTGTTTGTGATTGTGGTGTGTTTTGTGCTTCGATGTAATGCGTTGATGATCTTGCCGCAGATGAGTCGGTAGCGAACAATATGGACAAATACGGTTGTTGCGGCGCGGTATTGAGGTGTTCCATAAGGAGCGGACGACAAGGGATTTCCATCTTGATCTTGAGGTAAGGGATCCGAGTTGGCGCACGGCGGGAGGTCGACGTCGATATCTTCGAGTTGTATCGCCAGAGGTCGACCTAGAGCAAGGCTTGTAACACGATCTAGAGCGACAAGGCTCCAGAAACACCTCCTCTTGGTCTCCATCTCTTCCTCCCTAGCCGTAGAACTCGATGAATCGCCATCACTTGCGCTGGGCAATGTGTACGTAGACGCTCGATGAAGACCCATCTCCAAACACGTCCGAGCAGCAACTCCGATAAGATGCCAAACGCTGGTCGTGGTGTTGCTCGAAGTCGTTCCCATCCGGTACTGGCATATCAGCAGCAAAGCCTGTAACCTCTCGATGCCATCTCGGGCGAGCACGTCTGCTAGTCTCGCCATGGCGCGGTTGTAGTGCGTTTCCGCATCGTACACGCCATTCCAGTTGAACTTGTGAACTTGAGCCGTTCCTATCGCGAGGGTCATGTCCACAAAAAACGCATCGACGGGATCCTTTTCGCGAGGTTCACTCTCGTAGACAGCATCCAAGGATCGGTAGAGTGATTTCGTAGAAACAAAGGGGTAGCAGAGGTGATCGTGGCTGCAATACGCCCTCAGGAGTTCGGAAGCGAGGCTCTTTGGTGGTAGGCCAGAGGTTCCTTTCGGAGAGTGAAGGCCGGAGATGGAGTTTGGCTTCCATCCTGAAGCGTTCAAGAGAGAGGAGGATGGTTGCGGTCGTGCTTGGAGTAGGTTTGCGAGGAGGAGACCGCTTGTAGATCCAACAAAGTGATGACCTCCCCCAGCGATCAAACTCATCTGGATAACCTCCTCCGCAACCTCTCCATCGCCGGGCGAACTGTTTTCAACATGCTGCGACGGTGTTGCAGGCGTTGCATAGCTCTGTGTTGGTACCTCCCTCTCAGCTGGTGGTGCTTCAGACTCTCTTATCTGGGCGGACAAGGCGTCATTATTTGCTTGCAAGTCGCGAATACGCCTCTCAAGCTTCTGAATGTTCCTCCTCCGGATCTGGTGCTCGCTCACGGCGTACTGACATGCCACGTCTGCCCTCCTGCAGGGGGAGCACTGGGGCTGTAGCTTGTCGCAGCGGACCTTGCGCCGATGGCATCTATCGCACGCGCTGGAAGTCATCTGGAGTCCACAGTAGCGATAGGAGGAATATCTGTTGGTTTAACAGGATTTGAGTTTGACGGCGATGGAGGCCGCTTCGGCGGTTGAGACCGAGTTTGAGCCTGGGGTAGGATCGAGGGGTTTGTTTAACCCCGCTTGACTTATGGCCCCATGGGGTGGGCCAGGATCCATGGTTCGGTAAAGATTGCGGGAGTGGGAGGGAGGAGGTTTTGGTTGAGGGACTTGGGGGGATCCTAACTCGTTGAGGGGGGGGGGCAATATGCACGTCTTGAAGGCCTGTCAATTGTGGTGACCGACTCTTGATCCTTTAGGTTGTTTAATCTTGACGTCAGCTTCACTCGTTTAATTGTTTTCTCTATTCTCGTAACTAGTTGAGTGAGGATTCAATTGGAAAAAATACTACTCTATGTCGCTGTAGATCCAGCTCATCATTAGTCGCGATACTTCCTGAGGCTGATGTCTCGCTATGAATACTGAAGAAACAACAAATAACATCAATCTGGAGCACATGCCCTTCTCCATCCGTCATATTTCCTAGGTAACCTTACCCAATCCCAATGCCTCCAATTGTAACGGCCACCTCTAAACAATTCAAGGTTAATCGGTTAGCACAAACATCCCTGACTCGTAGACCAGGACCGGCATCCCTCGGTCTTCGGCGCCGCCACCGAGACCGGGGCCTAACCACCACGAACCAGTTTGTTTGCCCCCATCACAAACCCCAGATTCAAGCGGTGGAGATTTTCGAATCTGGGGTTTTATGCGGGGAAGCAAGATTGAGACAAATATCGCAAGATTTCCCTGCTTTTTCAGATGAAACCATCCCATCTTCATCACTCTTCTCATCCTGCAACCATGACTGCACCTCGCGACCAGGAAAAGATGTCGGAGAACATTCAGGCTCTTGATGCCGAGAAGCAGAATTCTGCTCATCAGGAGTATTCATCTGAAGTTCTTGACAAGAAGACTAATGGAGATTACTCGGGTGCCACTGCAAAGACTGACCCCGAGGAGATCAAGCTTGTCAAGAAGCTGGATCTCTGGATCATGGTGAGTACCCATTGATTATTCCCTCGTAACTCTGCTAACTGTGATAGCCTACTCTTTGGTTCATGTACTGGCTCAACTACCTTGATCGAAATGCCATCACCTTGGCTCGTCTCAACGGTTTCGAAGAGGATCTCGGCCTCAAAGGATCTCAATACAACACGGCCGTGTCCATCCTCTTTGTCGGATACACCCTCGGTCAAATCCCCAGCAACATGATCATTACCCGCGTCCGTCCTTCGTGGTACATGGGAGGCTTCATGATGGCTTGGGCCGTCGTCAGTGCCCTCACCGCCGTGGCTCACAACTATACCGGTGCCCTCCTTACTCGCTTCTTTCTCGGTATCGTCGAGGCTCCTTACTACCCTGGTGCTCTATACACGCTGTCGACCTTTTATACGCGAAAGGAGCTGGCAACTCGGATTAGTATCTTGTACTCGGGTAATGTTCTCGCTTCTGCCTTTGCAGGCTTGATTGCCGCAGGTGTCTTTGAGGGTATGGATGGACTTGCCGGTATCAAGGGTTGGAGATGGCTCTTTATCCTTCAGGGAGCCGTGACCGTCCTCGTCGCCATCGTGGCATGCTTCACTCTTCCCGACGAACCCCTCACAACACGATGGCTCACCCCGGAGCAACGCCAACTCGCCCACGACCGCGTCCAAAGAGATACCGTCGGAGGAAAAGGCAACGGAAACCCCTGGAGCGGTCTCCGAGAAGCCATAGCCGACCCCAAGGTCTGGGTCTTTGTCGTCTTGCAACATCTACACCTGGCAACAAATGGCTTCAAGAACTTTTTCCCAACCATTGTCAACACGCTGGGCTTCAACAGAACCATCACTCTCGTCTTGACATGCCCGCCCTTCCTCATTGCCGGAGCCATCTCGATTCTTTGGGCCAAGTCCTCGGGACACTTTAACGAGAGCACCTGGCATATTACCATCTCCAAGATAGTTGCGACGTTTGGTTTCGTCCTGGCTTGTTCTACCATGAATGTCGGAGCGAGGTACTTTGCCATGTGCGTCTTCACTATTGGAACATACGGCGTCAACTCTATTCTTCTGGCTTGGGTTGGGAACACGTGTGGTCAGACAAAGGAGAAGAAGGCTTCTGCCCTCGCTCTGGCCAACGTCAGCGCGACACTCAGTCTCATTTGGACTCCTGTAAGCTATTCCCAAGAATGTGTTTGAGAATCAGTTGCTAACATTGAACAGTACCTCTGGCCTTCTTCGGATGCGCCTCGATATGTGATCCCTCTGTCTAGTAGTGCGGCCTTTGCGGTTGCTTGCATTGCAGGTGTGTGGCTTATGAGGGTCATGCTGGTGAGGCAGAACAGGAAGATCAGGCAGAGTGACTCTGAGGCTACATTGTTCTACGCTTACTGATGGATGCGATTGGATATGGCTGGGCAATGGAGCTGGTCCATGGAAGGGAAGGAGATTGGTTTATACAACAGTTTGGCAGATCTTCAACGTACTCCAATCATGAGAATTCTCGGTGTCACCTTCTGACAACCTCATTTCTCCCTCACTTGCTTCCAGATTTCCCACCATTGGTGCTGTAACTAAAGACCCTCTATGAACAAGACACTGGTTCTTATGGGATAGATACACAGGGTCCAAAGACATAATTCTAGAAACAGCCAGACACACGAAGCAGCTAGACGAGATACCCAAATAACCGTCGATGCTTTGACACGATGACAGAGGATAGACTTTTGTTGTTCTAACCTTTCCAATGAGTTTTATTCACTCAGCAAAAAAAAAAAAAAAAAAAAAAAAACATCCTCATTGGCTGTAGCCAATTACCTATTGATTGGGGCTTAAGTGTCATGGCAGGCTTCGCGCCTTGTTGAGTTACAGTGGCCTCTAATTAGCTGCCTATAGTCTAGAGTCCATGTACGATGCCCTCATTCGTATCCATAGAAACAAGCCCCCACACATTGTTTTGTCTTCAGTAGGGACAATCCTATTCAGAGAAGCCAAGCTCCTTCAAAATAGCCCCGTTATGCTGCCCCAAGGCGGGAACAGGATCCATCCTCGCAGAGTCCACATCAGGGACGCCGGGTGGGAGAAGAGCAGGAACCTTGCCAGCTGGAGTGTCAATCTCTGTCCACCTGCCCCTGGCCTTGAGCTGGGGGTGTTCCCAGACACCCTGCATATCGTTGACGTTTGCGTTGGCAATGCCAGCCTTATCCAACCTGGCAAGGACTTCCGTCGAACTGAGGTCTGAAAAGGCGGCGCAGATGATCTCTCTGAGAGCTACTCGATTCTGGACTCGAAGCGAGTTACTGTTGAACCGCACATCCTTGGCAAGATCTGCGTTCCCCAGCACTCCGGCGCATAGCTTTGCCCACTCGCGCTCATTTTGCACCCCCATCATGACTGATCCCCCATTCGCTGTGTCAAACGGACCGTAGGGATAGATGGCGGCGTGTGCTGCGCCAGCACGGCTCGGACCAGATTGTCCCTCAAAGGCGTAGTACAAAGGGAAGGACATCCACTCAGTCATGGCCTCGAGCATGGATATATCAATGTGCGAGCCTTTACCCGTCTTTCCTCGCTTGAGGAGTGCAGCGAGGATGTTTTGAAAGGCAAATGTTCCGGCTGAGATGTCGGCGATGGAGATTCCAACCTTGGCTGGCTCAGATTCTGTTCCCGTCACGGAGAGCAGGCCGGCCTCACTCTGGACTAGCAAGTCGTAGGCCTTCTTATCCCGGTACGGTCCATTTGAGCCATATCCCGAGATGTCGCACACGATAAGACCCTCATTCCCATCCTTGAGCGCATCAAAAGAGAGCCCAAGACGCTGACTAGCTCCTGGAGCGAGGTTCTGCACCAAAACATCAGCCTTGGCCAGGAGTGCCTTGAGCACCTTGAAGTCCCTGGGGTTCTTGAGGTCGAGCGCCAGACTCTCCTTGGAGCGATTGGTCCAGACAAAGTGCGATGCCAGACCTCGGACCCTCGAGTCATAGTTCCTGGCAAAGTCGCCCTCGCCTGGGCGTTCGACTTTGATGACGCGGGCGCCTAGGTCGGCGAGTTGGCGGGTGCAGAAGGGAGCTGCTATGGCATGTTCCAGGCTGACGACTGTGACGCCATCCAAAGGGAGGATCTTTTGGGGTGATTGGGTGGCTGCGGAGTAGTGGCGAGGCATGAATTGGAGTTGACTCCGAGGTCTGAAGACGGGATTTGATCCTTTTGACCGAAGAGTATAAGATGATGTGGCGTTGAATGAGGTCGAGTATGTTCGGATTTGTCGGCCAAAGAGGGACGCCACCTTGGACGCCATGATGCTTCAATACTTGGTGAACCTGGAAATCCAAGTAGAACAGATCTTTCGAACGCAAGCAGCTGTTGGATATTTATATATAAAAGAGATGCCAATACCTGAACATCAATGACTCTAGGTAAAGAGCCCGGCTCGGCTTCTCGGGCGTCGAGTCGGCTACTTGAGGCAAGCGGATCCATCATCCACGATGGCGTCGATCACTTCAACGACATCGGAACTGCATGAATGAGCTCGCTCGAATTGGTACCAGAACCTGTGGCTAGTGAAGCGTGACAATTGAAAGAGAATAAAGTCGGTTGACCAAAAGACACAAAAATTCGCTCATTGCTTTCCTCCAAATAAAACGCCGTGAAGTTTCCCTTCCCCTAAAACGCCCTCGTTGAAATCGTGTCGCGCTCTTTTCAGCATCAACATCATGACAAGATTTTTTTCCCAGATGAAGTAGTACGGTTGGTCGTTGTTGTTGTCGCTGTTGAGGTTGGTATCTCGTGATGCCATTCTGAAACGCGGGTTGATCGGCAGACGTGCAGTAGCTTGGTGTCAACCCCAGGAAATCGACATTGGACCATGGATTTCGTATAATCCAAGTGATGGGTGTTGATTATTTGTTTGCCAGTGTGTCGCGAGGGACCACGCCCATGGCTTGTCGAAGAGAGGGTGTTAATGAGTCTGCTGAATCTCTCCGTGATTCCCTCCACGCTTCGTCGGTTCCGCGGTCTTGCGTTGGTGTGTATGCTGGCGGTGGTGCTTGAGGCATGCGCGACGTCTGCTGAGGCTTCGAAGTAGCGATTCCGTAATCATCCAGCTCTTGAACGTCCTTCACGTCTTCCAACCTGTCCATCCGCATACGTCTCCGGTGTAGGTAGCACAAGAAGGCAAGGATAAAGCAAACGGCAACGGCACTGCGACTCAGTCAGCCTAATGATTCATGTACTTTCCAAGCTGGAGTGTCGTACGCAGCGACAATGAGAACGACCATTGTAGCTCCCATTGTAGGAGCAGGCTTCTCGCAGACGTTGCTGTTGGGCATAGGATGACATGTATCCTTCTCCTCGCGGGGGAGCACTCGGGTGACATCCCAACCCCCAGCGCGAGAGGGGACAGCGTCTATACTCGAATCGATAAACATGGTGAGAGATTGATGAATGGGTTGACAAGTAAAACAAATGAAGGGTCAAGTTGGAGAGGAGCAAGTAGGCGCAAAAGAGTGGAAGGAGGTAAGAAACAAAAATGAATGAATGAATGTCAGCCACCCTTGACCATGAACCACCCACGAAATGTCCCTCTTTTTAGATTCTTTGTCAAATGATGGCTTCCCAGGAACGTATTGACGGGCTCGGGGTGCTCCAATGTTTCAGAGAAAGCTCAGCCCCAGGGGAAGGGCCCAGGGTCTCCTTTGAGCGGATGACAGGACCGATCCTTTAGAGAGGGGAACGGCCCTCGGGTTCTAGTTACGCCCCGGATAATACGAGATGTCAATAATTTATTGAATCTAGACTTTCTCCTTACGGTATGGTATATACGGTGATGACGACTCCTCAAAAGTGTGTCCCAGAGCCATCGTCTTGTTCGTATCTCAAGTCTGGACTTTTCAGTCTCAGCCCTTCAACCTCATGACGTGCCACGCGACTGATCATCAGAGTGAAACCGCCCATTCCCTCAAGTAAAACAATGCAATTCCTTCCCATCTTTCCCTTTGACCAACATCAAGCGCTAATTTTAAAGCTGTCAATGAACCCCTTTCTGTGGAGAGATGTTAATTAAACCAAGTGGAGTCACGAATCCCTGTCCACCACACACCCCCTTCGGCTCTGGACTCCGAATAAGGGATCTGTCCCTTGCAGTCTCACGTTTTTTGCCAGAATCCCCAGATTAAAGGGCGACTGGGATTGCAGGAGATCGGAGAGGCGCAGTTCCGGGTTGGTGACGCGGGTGATGATGGTTGATCACGAGGCGGGCCGAGTTGTCATCGACGCAGGGGCTGGTCATGCACTGATGTATTTTGTCTTACCAACAAGACGGCCACTGTGAGACTTGTCTGGGGCTCGCATGACCCAGCATAGACATATCCTTGGCTATGGGAGTTCTAGAAACTTGGCAGGCTTGGTAGGAATGGGCCTGGCTGTTTCGGATGCGAGCAAGTCAATGTCATAGCCTATTATTGCGAGACTCATGTTGGTGATGGTTTAAAGCTCCCTTGAGTCGGCTTACAAGCATGTAGATGGTTCAAATCGCATATCTTGATGCTCAATACGCAAGCGACGTCTGCACCTCATGACATGGGCAAGCAAGGTCTAATCAAGATCGCCAAGAGAGATCCGTCTATAGTAGAACGAGCTAAGCAGACAAAAAACGTGGCTCCAAGATAGCCATGAACAAGCATTAGCCATGGCAGCAATCGTGGCTTCAATGATAACCGTCGCCTTTGCTGTTTTGAGAAGACTACCGAACTCATATCTCTTAGCTGTCTTGGCAATTGGAAAAACATCGCTATGGTATCCTGCGTTGCGGTCTCTGTTGAATGGCCGGGATGCCTGAGGTGGGCAGGTTCTAGATGAGCTCCGAATTTACGGTCGCTCGGACGCGGGAGTTGAAGCAGACACTCAAGCATCTTGAATTTGCTGAAAAGACCCGGGAAGTATGTAGTATCGCCCCATATACAGAGTATACTAAACACAATGGGTTGTATCTCCACTTCGCACAACGGTCCTCCACATCCAGCGACAGCCAGGACATGTAGGCGCTCAACAGGTGATAATGTCATGTGTTTGTGTATCGTGGGACTAAGTAGTCGGGTTGGAGACTTTACCAGACACCGATCAATAATTAAGGCAACTTGGATCCGTGTGGGTGGAAAGTTTTAGACTGGGGTTGGGACCGGCGCCCATGATAGCTTGGGCTGACTGGAGCAATATTCCCCTCAGCTCACCCAAGCTCACGCTGAGACAACTTGTCATACACAATCCTGAGTGCAGAAAGTTTAACCAGACTACAAAGACGTCATACCAGGCAAACAGAGAAGCATCCCTCAACGGACCAACGAAGAATACAGCTTCAATTTGGCGGCCTTGGCGGAAGAACATGATCAGCCCACCCTATATGCGTTTAAAGAGCCTCAAGTCAGGACATTTCTAGCAAGACCATCCAAATAGTGCAACGCATTATCTCGATTCATTCGCAGTGCAACATGAGTCCTCCGCAAAATGGAACAACTTTAGACCGGGTCTTACAGCCTAAATGACATAATTGCGGATTGCCAAGATCTCTTCTCGTCAACTCGCCCACTTGAAGGCATCTCCACTTTCACCCGCAACCTGAGTGAATATACGCAAATACATCATGTCATCCTACTCTTTGACCAAACAGCTCCTCGCTACCGACGAAGAGGGATACAAGAAGGCTACTCAGTCCGAGTTCCTCAAGCTCGCAGCCAATGGCCAGCTTTCCAAGGATACTCTTGGTCGGTGGCTTGCCAATGATCGACTCTACATTCATAGCTACTGTCGCGGGCTCGGCTTATTGCTGAGTTTCTTGCAGTATCCTGAGAATGTTCAACGGGACAAGGGCTCTGATGCTGCCACCAAGCTTCTTGACTGGATTGTCGGCGCTCTGGTGAACATTCGACGAGAGGAGAACTTCTTTATCGACACAGCGGCCGAATATGGCATCGAGATCAACTTGGAGACGCAAGCCAATGGCCGAGTTGCCGAGGGCACCAAACTTGAAGGTCTCCGTCGATGGGAGGCCCTGTTCCAATCGGTGGCCCCGGGCGAAAGCGACGTCCTTCCCTGGCTCGAGGCTGCAGTGGTGTACTGGGGAACCGAAAAGTGCTACCTGGATGCTTGGTCGTGGGCTAAAGCACAGCTCACCGTGCAAGAGGACTCAAGCAAGGATGCAGACGGTGGTGCCGTGAGAAAGGAGTTTATCAACAACTGGACGTGCAAGGAGTTTGTCGAGTTTGTGGACGACCTTGGACGCATTATAGATGACGCCGTTGCCAAGGAGGTTGAGAAGAAGGGCGAAGACTTCAAGGTGAAACTGTTCAAGCGCGTGGAGGGCAAGTGGCGGGATGTTCTCCAGGCCGAAGAGGTGTTTTGGCCTACCATCTAGGGTAGTCGATGCCTTCGAGAACCAGTCCTGGCTTTGAACCGAAAGGTATGAGTGATTCCTGTTGGTGGTTAAGAAAGAAAACTAACTTGAGGTAATAGAAAACTGGAAATGCACAAAACGACGGGCTGAGAAAGGGTATCAGGTCTCGAAATTGAACATCTAAATTGAAGGGACGCCACCACCAAACGCCTTGAAATGCAAGTTTCATCATGTCGTTAGAAGGCAATTCGTCGCTTTCGTCCGGTATACTTGGAGGTAGCCTTGACGATCTTGCCCTTGCGCTCCATCTGCTCCTTCTTCTTGATGATCCAAGCCTTGCTGCCCTTCTTCATGGCTGTGTTGTTGTTCTTGATGGTCCTTCTCGCATCCTGCACGTCGATGTCGTCCATGCCCTCGACCACACCTGTGATGTCACCGCCCTTGGATTCGAGGGATCCGCCGCCGACGGTTAGGACGAGGTATAGCTTAACGTTCTTGGTGCCGGGGTCGTCTTCGAGAAGGCCGGCGCCGAATCCTGCCTTGACCGCCGCTTGGGTGATCATGTTTCTTTGCTGGTCGTTCTTGGGGTAAAATTGGCAGACGGCGCGACCGCCGCGCTTGAGTGAAGCGTAGAGTCCGTTAAAAAATCGCGATAGTCGGCCAGCGGGGGAGGTATCGCTCGTTTCGGCACTGCATAGCCATTGAATGGCAGAGATGCTAATGGCGGCATCAAAGGTACCAGCTCGGAAAGGTACACCCTGACCAATGTCGGCCAGCATCAGATCGCCTTCGACATCTCTCTGAAGCGCAATATCCAGCATTGAAGGTGAAACGTCCATTCCGATCCAGGTGTGAGGGCCGTTCTCCTCAGGCTCGAGAGAAGAGAGGATTTCGCCAGAGAGACCACTTCCGCATCCAACGTCGAGAATTAGGGAGGGTCCCTTGAGGTCGAGAAGCTCCAGAGCTCTCCTCGTCATGGAAGCCTGAATGTTCTGGATTCGCGAGCTCGTCGTGTACTTTCGGGCTTCGATATCGTCATAATGGACGTCGGCCGCACTGGGTTTTTGTGAGCTTGAGGGGCATCATGGCGGGGTTGTGATCGCATACAGGGTATCCTCGGGGCGAGACATGGTGGTGGTGGTGAATTGAGGTGGCTGACTATGGGAAACAAGGACGAAAAATAGGAAATAACGAAAAACTCGTAAATGATTCAACTGCCGTGGCTTCAGGCCTCCTCTTATCGCCGATTTCTGGTGTTGAGCAAAGATTGAACTTTTTGTGGTGGGCTGCAACTGATAAGATAAGCCAAGCTGCATGGCGACTGAGAGGGTCGGAATATTGATGTTCCTTGTGAAATTAGGCGAGCTGCGATTGGCAAGAACACATCCTTGATGAACCGTGTCCTTACTCCTTACTAATTTGAAACAACACTGCAAAGACTTCGGTTCTTCTGCCTTCAACATGTAACCTCCAAACCTTGAGTGTTTGCGACCATCACAACCGCAACCATGTGGATTCTACCTCTTGTCGGCTACGCCGGAACCTTTATGGGCTTTTGCTTCTTGACATTGGCAATTGCCTCGGGCCTTTACTACCTGTCGGAGCTTGTCGAGGAGCACAGCGTCATCGCGAAGCGCTTCTTGACGCGACTGATCTACTCGATCATTGTCATCCAGATCATCCTCTGGCTGGTTGATGGATTCCCGTTCGGGGCGACCGTGCTGACCATCGTGTCGCACGTTATTTACCTGGGAAATATGAGACGCTTTCCTTTCGTCAAGCTCTCTGATCCCCTCTTCATCCTCTCGTGTGGTAGGTTTCGCGTTCATCCAGGCATTGGCGCGTGCTAACAAGACGCAGTTCTTGTACTTGTCAACCACTACGTCTGGTTCCGACACTTTTCCGATACACAAGCGCGCGCGTACCAGAGGACTTCGTACTACGACAAGGCCGACGTGCCAAGTTTCGCACAAATCGCTTCGTACTTTGGCCTCTGCGTCTGGCTCGTTCCTTTTGCACTCTTTGTCAGTCTGTCGGCAGGCGACAATGTCCTTCCGACCATGGGCACTGAGCCCGCCCATGGATTCGATGGGAAGAGCAAGCCTCAGGGCATGATCAAAGCTCTTGTTGACCAGATTCGTGGGGCAATTGGCCAGATCTTTGGATCTTCTGCATCTCCGGGACTCGGCAGACCCTAAAGGCATTGTAGTTCGTCGATTCAGGACGAATGAGGGAGAAATTTGATGGGGTCCCCAAGATTGATATCAAGCCAACGTGATTGGCACACGGATGATCAGCCTCGGATTGGTAAGTCGCATTTCTCTTTTATTTCACTTGCACAACCCCCCTCGCATATGATGAACCAAACTTCACGCTAGATTGTATTTGACAAGGAAACTCCTTGTATGATTCCATCAAAGTTATATCCTGAATTCGCTTGGTGCTATAGACGTTATGCTGGACTATATCCAAGATGATCAGAACGCTGACCAGCTTCTCAGGTCCAATGACTCTCAAACTAGAGACAGTCCCTCAAGTGCTTGACAGTCACTACCCCCCTCCCTCCACGAGGACTATTGTTCTTGCTATCACCGACAGCTCGATGTTTTATCGCAGCATATCTTAGTTGCTCTGGGGGGCTTCGCTCGTGTTTGTGGGCTCTTGCTGTTGGGTGCGGACTGGTACCGACTTCGACGGGGAACCGGCGTGGACGATCGACGAGCTCGTGTCTGTCGAGGTCAGCATACGTGGTTTGCCTAAGGTTGATTGACGGAGTGACTTGACCTTGAATATGGGTCGTAGACATCACGGTGACAGAGTCATCATGTCTGGCACTGCCCTGAGTGGCAGCATTGTCTGAGGGCAAGCTTGTACAGTCCGTGTGGGATGCGTCCTGTGAAGTAGACGAGACAACAATCAAGCCAAGGTTATGCCATGGCGTGTCTGTCTCACACTCTCCCAACCAGGTATTGGTCGCGGAAGAGTAGGCGTTGCTCTGATGGGTGAGGCTGGATCTTGATCGTCCCGGCCTGGGGACTTGGACGAGGACTGGACTCGGCATAATGATAAAGGGCAGATGTAAGGGGGCAAGCTGTTGTCTGATGCCGTGGATAGCGAGCAAACATACACTTCATGTTAAGGTCGCCATGTGTGCTTTTATATTCACCGTATGGCAGTGCTCTTACAAGTTAAAGAGAGCTCAATGCGCCCATCCCTCCCTTTCAACGCTTTCAAGCCGCCGCCGCCTGGCATAGAGCGTACTGTTGTTGACACTTGCCCAATACGGTGCTGAGTCTGAAGAATCTGAGTGAACAACCACCGAGACGACAGTATTAGGTCCAATGCAGCTGCATACGCCCCCACCTTGGCGCATAGGTTGGGCCGGGGCCACGGGCATTTTGCCTACCACCATGGACACTTTGTCTCGGTCGGACCAGTGGACCGCCCAGTCGGGCTGCACAGCACCGGCTCGACAGAGGTGGCTTGTCTCATCCGGCACTGAAGAAACAGAGTCGACGGGGGAGGTGGTGGGGGCGGTGAGCCGACCAGGGGGCATTTTGCCGACCCCATGGGCATTTTGCCCATGTGCTGCAGTCCTATCCGTACCACAGTTTTTACGCCCCAAACACCGTCTCGAATTCAGGCTGTGCCCCTTCACTGCAGCATGATTGCTGGGTGTGCCGTGAGAGGTGAGGCGGCGGCTGCATGGCGGACTGCGACACATCTGCCTGAGATCATCCGAACCGCACAGCTGTGCGGTTCAGTCTTTAATAGAACCAGGCACATGCACCACGGACCCGTGTTTAATAAAGTCCACATTGCGCTTCCCATGGACTCGATCCATATTTCTATCTCTTTTCAGCATCATTCTTTAATATCACTTCCCTAGGCCTGAGACCTTAGACATTACGCTACTGAGTTGGGAAAACCTGGCTCAGTATTGGTCATTGTCACTGGCCGTACTCGAACACATACCCTTTCCCCTGCCTGGCGTTGTGAACGACATGTTCATACGTTCATACCCAAAATTCTGCGCAGGGTCGCGAATCCTCGCTCAACGTTATCAAGTCCCTGCGGTTTCGTTCCCCTACTCCAGGCGAGCATACATATGAGCCCTTGCCTACGCTGGACGCAATACTCCATGCTTGCTACGATCAACCATTCCTACACACATTCTATGGCCCGCCTGCCACCCACCGTCCGCTCCCGTTCGCGGTATGTCTAAGCCTTTGGACATAATGGCTTGGTATCGCAGAAGGGCCATACATAGTTCTGGGCATTCGTAGTGCTCTCGGCAGACATCTACGGGGTTACACCCACTTCCTCTCCACCTACGGTCCCCATTTATGCCCGGTGGTTATCTTGCTGCACCAGGTCACTGGCAGTGGCTGCTTCTAGTGAAGCTGGGCCGGGATGACTGCCAAGGGCAGGAAACCTGCACTCAAAACCCGGGCGCTGCGATAAGCTACCCCAAGGGCGACCGTCAAGGATTTTATTCAAGTCATTCTGATGTTGTGTTTGCTCAGCGAGCTGCCACATTGTCGGTCTCTTATTTCATGAGGGTATCAACCACATCGACCCGTTCCTGTTGGCCTTGAGACATGGCGAACACCGTGAGCTCACCTCTGCTTAGGGGCAATTCCTGGTCCCGCGAACGGTTGGGCTTTCTGGTCTCTGTTACCTCCAAGTCTGATCTCTTGTCACGGAATTACGCTCCCGGCTGACCTGCGAACCGTCCAGTGTCTCGACAACTTGGCCCCAAACGTCACCATCCATCTCTTGTCGTGCGGTACTCTTGTCCCTTGGAGCTGGCTCCGTGGTATCACGAATGACGAGGATGAGAAGTATTTTCCCTTGGACACGGTCCTTTGAGTGAAAAAAGAACAAGAAGTTCTTTGAAATAGCCTCAAGAAAACAAGAATGGGGGCAAGACCGAAGAGCGAAAGAGGTGTCAAGCTCGGCTCTTTTGGCCCCTTTGGGGCATAGCCGGAGACACGTGTGATCGGATAATGGATGTCAATTAGCCTTCTTGATGAAAATGCAAACGCAGTTGCCGTTTGTTTACTGTACAAGCTTCGAAAGCACAACTCCCTCATTCAGAAGAGTCCTCAATTCAACTCTTCTCCTTGGGCGGCTTAACTTTTCCCGTCCCCTTTGACTCCCCATGGACCTCGCCACCCCAAAATTTCTTGTCAACCTTGTCATCGGGAGCCTGATTTCCATGGTCGTGCTTCTTGTCGAAATCCCTGTTGTGCTCCTCCACCTCGCGCTTCTGCTCCTCGGTCAGGGTATCAGTCTGGGTGCTGCCGGGGATGCTCTGGTTGGTGACTTTGGGCTGAGGCGGCGCGTTGGAGGAGCTTGCTTCAAGGGGTTCGCCACCTCCCGTTCGACCCTTGGCGTCTCCGCCTGCGAGGCCATCTATGAAGCTGCCGTCACTGTTTTGCTCTTGGGTGAGGATGCGGGTTTGGTGTAGCGGGCGGATTGCGGGTGTAAGACGCGGGGCGAGGCGTGTCGAGGGTCGAAGGGTTGTGATAAAGCGCATGGTGTCGATGAGATACCAATCTGTGAATTCCTTTTAAAGCTGAATATTCTTTCGGGTTGGTCTTTTTGGGATCGTTCAATGTGAAGTTGCGATGTTGGAGACAGGATGTTGAAATCTGAGGTCTTGTTAAGCTCGTCACTGTTGAGATGGTGACGTCAAGGCCATGACATCACTTGAAATAGCAACACACGTGCAAAAGAGATGAACATGCCAAGCAGGAAAAAAAAGTTGGCATTGTAAGACAAGACGAATCGATTGACGTCTTTTTTCGGTAATCGAGATCCCCCGTTGTTGCGTTCACGATTGATCATGCAAGGGCCCATATGCATGGCGGCACTTGATGTGGGCGACGATGTTGGAGGCATGGGGTCGGTGAAAACGGAACGATAAATCTATGGCAAATAACACGTATGTGGTTCCTATCTATACAAGATGGTTCAACTCCAAGCTCTATCGATGCGATACTCCTCTCCAAACAAATGAAGGCCAGCTCTAGTGTACACGGCTCACCTCTCACTTATTACTTATGCCCTCGCAGGTGAATCGCTGTAGTGGCCCGCCGCCTGAGGCATCTGCCATTCCTGTCGCAACTCGACATCGCTGTCGCTCCGATCATCCAGAAGCTCCTTGCCCTTATTCCTGGACAGTTTGTTCTTAATCGTGGAGAAAAGACCCGGCATGTCGGAGTGAGGTCCGGTCATAATGCGCCCGGGGTGGACAAAGTTAAAGGCGAGGAGAGCTAAGAACATGGGGACTGCTTCCAGGAGGTAAAAATAGACCTCGTGCGTTACTAGAGCATTGTCTTCTCCCATGCCGCCAGAGAACTCAATCAGTCGGTAGATAATTCGGATCGAGATCATGGCGAGCGAAAAGTAGAGGGCTGTGATGAGCATACCCCACGATGAAGTGATAAAGTCCTTGAATCCTCCAGGACCCTTGAGCTTATGCATCTTTGCCTGAAATCGGATGCAAAGACCGACAAAGAGCACGATAAAGAACTCTTGGAGACCGATGCCGCCCATGTAAATGTGGATCGCGCGCTGCTGTTCCTGGGGAGGCGCGCCAGGTCCTGCCATGCTGCCACCAATAAGCTGGACGATGAACGATACGATATCGAGACCGACAAAGATGGCAGCGAGTGTGGCAGCCGGCATGCCAAGGATAGAGCGCCAGGGGAGGAAGTAGTAGACCATTCGGCCGAGTGTCATGTATGCATATGCATTCACCCCTGCGCTGGTTAGTGGCGGGTTCAACGAAAGAGTGGGATGACATACAGATTGGTGCAAGAAGGATAAAGATCTGAAAGACCAAGTAGATACCCCTACTCTGCTGGTCCCTGGTGCTTAGAGCTCGGAAGATGAATGCCATCATCTCCCAGATACTCGCCATGATAATGACCCAGCACCACCTCTGAGACATGTTAGCTGGTGTTCAAGTTTTGTGTACTGTATCAAAACATACGGACCTTCTTGTACTTGGCGGCCTGCCATATGTGCAAAACCATTAACCCTCCGAATAAAAAGGCAAACGTCAAAGCAGCAGCAAAGCTGGGATAGTAGTGCCAAATAGCACCACAAGTTCCTGGTGGGACGTAGCCATTCTCATCAGGTGTAATGGTCTGTTTGCAAGTGGGGATGGCAATGTCGATTGTGTGCCCAGGAATCGTGACATGTGAATTGGTTACACCGCTGATGGTGATGTGGTTTGTTGTTGTAAAGATGCTCTTTGGTGCTGCCGTGGGCTCGTCTTCTCGCGGTGCGAGCGTGACTTTGCTGGGGGAGAGGGTTGGTGTTGGTGTAGCGACAGGGATTACACCTGCTAGAGCCGTAGAGGCCGAGAGAAGAAGAAGAAAAGATTTGGCGTTGAAATGCATCTTGGGTACTATTGATGTGGAATTGAAGGTATGAATGAAGAGCCTGTCAATTCCTCAAACATGTCCATCACGGCGTCTTTATATCTTCGCTCTTCAACTCTTTTCAGTCTGAAGCAGTCGGACTGAATGGCGAAGCTTTGCGCATTCTGAAATGCGAGCCGACCAATCATGTTGCATCTCAACACCAGGGGCTCCGATGCGATGCTAAGCTCCCGCTGCTCAGCCCTACAGAACGACGCTAGTTGTGCTTCGCAATTGCCCCGGTTTTGTGTGCCTGGCCTATTCTTGGAAGCATGCAGTCTAAGAGAGATGATCTCTGTATTGTCTTCTATCTGCCAAACTAGAATCCGATCAGGGTCAGGTTTAGCGATATGCTGTGTGAAACGTCCTCGCCGATAAAGTCCCTCCTCACATCGATACCACCACCGGGCTTTGCAACTATTAGATTAATCGGCCTCCTCGCCAGCGTCTCCTTATCTTCCGGGGACTCGGGCCTGTCTCTATCACAGAAGAAGCTCCTCACCCTCTCCAAGTCTGTCGGCAGCGTTTCATCGTCGATAATCTTGTCAGTAGGGAGTTTGACATTATGTTCGACTTCTATAATGCGCTTTGATACGTCGTACACCAGAGACGTATCCCAGAGCGATTCTCGCGCGTACGAGAGTTTCTTCAGTAATGCCAATGCTTCGACGCGTAGGTTAAAGTAGCGACACTTGAGGACCAAAAAGTGCAGCATCGGGTTGAATCCCAAGTCAAACATGAACTTGGGCCGAGGGAGTCCTTCTCGGTCAAGTGAGTCGTTTTGCTCGGCCGCGAGGCGCGCACACCTCACAATCTCTTCGAATTCAGACTTGCGCGCGTCGTAGCCCATCTCTTCCTTGTTGAGACACTCTGCAACCCAGATCCTACCAACCATCTGCCGAGTTTTGAGGGCCAGGGATATTACATCTTCTCGACGGTCGGGAGAACGTGATGCCTGAAATCTTGCAAATGCGTCTCCCCAGGCTGTCATGTCACGGCCAAGGAAGAATTGCTCGTCGAGGATTTCTTGCGGGGGCCTTGCTGGATTCATGCCGAGCCGGTAAGGGTGCACTTCGCGTATGAGCCTGAACATGCGAATGCCGAGAAGATCAAGCGCGTGCTGGGCTTCTATTAAGCTGCGAAACAAAGGGTTGGCGGCGTTGTTGTCAAAGGCATGTGTGGTGAGGTGGGGAAAATCAGTGCCCGAGTGGACGCTCATTTGAGAAAACACTGCTGTGAGCTTGGAACTCTTGCCAGCTTGATTGAGCAGCTGCACACCGTGGTGGGCATGGTTGATGGCTGTGTGACGATCACCGCGTAGGAACTCGATGCAGATGAAGAGGATGCAGACGAGCAGCACGAGATCCACGTCCGGGGATGGATCTTCAACAAGCCTCTTGATGGCCTGGTTATAGTGGAATAAGGCAAAGGTATCCATTGTTGCTACCCCGGATACGCTGGGGTCAAAGTTCTCGTAGAGTGAGCTGATGGCCATGACGGCATGACGAGCTGCAGGCTCGGCGTGGGCAACCTGCGTGACGAAATGGGTCCAGAACGAGCCGTCAAAGGGACCCGATATGACGGGGGCCACGGCACGGTGGAAGAAGGATAGGCTGCGGGTTTCGCGGCCGTCAGCGGAGGCGAGAATGCGCGGCTGGGGACGCAGGAGCACGTCCCAGGAGAGAGAGCCCACTGGGGGTGGTCGATAGCCGTCGCATGTACGGCCTGTGGAGGTGCATCTCTTGCATTTGGGCCACGCCTCATCGCACTTGACCTTTCTGGATCTGAGTGGTTATTGTGTTAGTCGAGGACAGCTATGATATGTGGAGAGTGTGACGGACTTGCATGTTAGGCAACCTGTCTTGACTTTCTGAGAGCCTATACGCGCCATCTTGAATACTCTAACAACTGTGTCTTCCAATGACAACTCTCAAGTTTTGGTTGGTTGGTTGCGAAAAGGAAAGAGTTGTCGATGATGTCTTGAAGCGGAGTAAGATACCGGAAATGAGCTACGGACACAAGGACTTGGTGTTGCTGAGGCTATGCCGCTTAGTCTCCGATCCGACCGGGGCTTGGTGGGTTAGCGGGGCAAATGCGAGCCGACGAATCGCCGTGACGGAATGTCGGAGAAGTGGAGACACCGGGCATGGAACCCCGGTCGGTGAGATGAACGTTACTCTGACATATTAAAGGGCCATTGCTGCGCAGATTTGGTGAATTACTTGGTTGTCTTGATTGTAATTACAAAGTCTACTCGCACGCAAGCGAGCTATACATGTTGCCATGTCCTGAAAGATATCCCTTTCTGTGATCTTTCTCATTCTCATCATCACCACCCAAGTCCTCCTCGCCAGGACGAGGAATACGATCCTCAATAGCCCAGGCAACTCTCTCAGCTCCGCTCTGCGCACCTCCCAGGTTTGGAGCCGCAGGTCCAATCCTCAGCGCAGCCAGCCGTCCCATCATGAACAGAGGCACGTCGTCATTCCACATGAGGTCGTTGTTGATACAGGGGAATCCGCCGCGTCCCTCGATGGGATGCTTCTCGAGTATCGTCTTTAGGTAGGGAAGTGTGGTGAAGTCTGTTTGGATGCCGGTTGCAAAGTATAGGTAATCCATTGGGGGCATGTCCTTGATGGGTGGGTTGGTCTGAATGCTCCAGGTACCATCTCCGTCGACTCCTTCGAACTTGGCTTCTACGATGCTTGTCTCTGTAAAGATCTCAAGCTTCTTTGCCGCGAGATGCTTGTCAAGGCGCTTCAGGAACCGAGCGGGAATACTGCCTCCCTCTCGGGCTTCCTTGATGATCTCTAGTCTTTCATCATCCGAGTCGGCAAACCAGAACTGGGCTTGCTTGGCATTCTTGTACTTGCCCATCCAGTCAAGCGAAACGTCGAAATGCTTGACACGAATAGGTCCGCGCATGACGTGCCACACCTTGGTGACGCCCTTTCGGATGGCAAGGTCTGAGAGCTGGGCAGATGTGAGACCACCGCCGACAACCATGATGTTTGTCTGCTTGCGAGCCGCCATGCGCTTCATGACGACGGGGGACGGGAACTCGGGGATGTACATGCTGTGGCATGCCTGAGGGAGCTTATCCGTCTCGGGCATACCGGGGATGCGAGGAATCTTGGCCACGTTTGCTGGACCGACGGCTAGGACGACGGCGCGAGCGTATCGTCGGACCTTGTTGGATGTGACAGTGAAAAGGTCCTCGCCGTTGATGGAGATACCCTTGACCTCGCCGTAGTCGAGGTGCTCAAGAGATTCATGGCGGATGAGATCCGGGCCCAGCCTGTACCGAGTGGCAACATGCTGACAGTGGTCTTCGAAGAGTGACGCCGAGGGGTTGTAGTAGTCGTTTTGTTCCCGCACGTTGATGTCGACACGGGCTTCTTGTCTTTAAACAAAAGTCAGTAATCATCATCCTGACTGGATCAAGATACTTACCGTCTCCCACAAAGCTTCTGCCCCATCATCTTCTTCTTAGCATGCTTGCTAACCTCCTTACCAACGCAATGGCGAATCTCAATCAGCTCGTCCTTACGGCCATTCATATACGCATGCGAAAGCAAAGCATCCCGATCCTGCGGATCAACATGCCAAAGCATGGGACTTCTCAGATGCGAAATGTCATACATCTTGAAGAGCCTCTTCCACCTGCCCATCCAGTTGCCGTCATCAGCGTCGAGCACGAGCATGCGGTACTCGGGCTGACTCTCTGGTTTGCGGCCGTTTGTCACTTTTCCGCTGCGAGAGTTTTTGAGGGTTATTTTGTTGCCGTATTTGCTTATCCAGTGGAAGCGACGGTGTTCTTCGTCGGTGAAGAGAGCGGCGGGGGTGTGTTCGCGGAGACGGGCGGCTATGGCGAGGCCGCAGGGGCCGGCGCCTACGATGAGGACGTCGTAGATGTCTTCTTCGACTTGGATCTGGTCTGCCATGGTGTTTTTGGTCTCCATGGTTGATTGGGGAAAAGGGTGAGGAGAAACTCGCAGTTGGAGGAGGAAGCCAGGTTATCTATCGATGCCCCCTCTGTGTTGTTACCTCTCCCCTCATGTTCATTGAGTGAGGACCTTGTTGGCCTCCTACACTCCCAGTTCCTCATAATGACTTATCTGATTGAGCAATTGAGCCGCTCCTACTGAATCACCACTGCCGTCAACCTACCTTGATGGGCATTACATCACGGGGACATCAAGGTCCTCAGTGCCATTGGAACTCAGGGTCCATTGCCCAGAGATATGCCGAGGACCCTGAGGAATCTCTGGTGCTATGCCAATGTCTCGTGGGAGGTAGTATGTACCTGTCAAAGACTAAAAGATGGCCTGCGTGGTTGTCATGTGAGAGTTGCGGCACTAGGCATGAGGCTATATCGACTTGGCCCACCACTAGAACACAAGCCATGCGCATATCATGATGTCAATTGACAGGGGCAATCTACTTTTCTACATACATCTTACGCAAACATCCTTTGATCTACTCTTCTCTAGATGTCTTGATCTTCATCTACTCTTCTGTACCCAACTCAATGGTTCCACTCAGCATCCAACGCATGCCCCAAAGGTCCCGAAGCAGCATAATCCGTTGTAACAAACGCCCTATCAACCTCTACCAATCCCTCAGCGCAATACTGCAACGTCTCTGCAATGTCGTGTGATCTATTCAGCGGCGTTTTCTCATCCAGCAACACGTCAAACTCGACCCAGACACCGTCTCCCGCGTGGTACGCTGTCACGTTCTTGAAACCCGTAACGACTGGCGCGAATCGGTACGCGAGGTAGATGAGCTTCTTGAGGGTGTGGTCGTCTGCTGCTTCGCCTGAGAGACGGACCACGTTGTTGAAGCATGTGTGGCCCCAGTCGTAGATGATAAAGAGGGAGAGGAGACCTGCGCCGAGGGGGTCGAGCCACCAGATGTTCGCGCGGTAGCCGATAAAGGGGAAAAGAAGAGAGAGCGTGTTGAAGATGACGTCTGTTTTGCAGTCTTGCACGAGAGCTTGGACTTGACTCGTCTTGATGGATCGGCAACCGAGACCGATGGCTCCCTTGAGAACGATGGTTGCTAAGAGGGAGGCGATAGCGGCCCAGCTGAGGATTTCGGCTTCTGCGTGAGGCGGAAGAAGTCTCGAAACAGACTCTTGAAGGATCTGAAGGAAAGAAATGACCATGATGATGGAAAAGACCAGGATGCCCAATGGCTCGAGACGACGTTTTCCAACCGGGAATCGACGACGCATCGCTTCGAGTCGCCAAAGAACGAGACGACTTGTCGACCAGACGATGAGAGTGCAGAGAAGATCCAAAGCCGAATCCACAAGCGATGCCACCAGAGAAAGCGACCCAGTGGTAAAGACAGCGAAACCTTTACCCGCGAGGAGTAAGATATTGGCTATCACGTTGATGTTGATAGCCCAGTTCGCCTTTCTGCTCGCCTTTCTCCTCTTTTCCTTTTCTTCATCCGGCAACAACTCTCCAATATTCCCCTCAACACGTTGAATTCCTCCACAACGTTCCTGATCACCATCATGATCTGGATCAGGATTCATCGACTCGAGGACATCATCCGCAATGGCCATAACCACAGCATCCACCTCGAGCCAATCATTCAACCTCTCATTCTGCGCCTCATAAAAAGCCCGTAACTTTTTATTCTTCATAGCCTTCAACTCTTCATCCGTCTTGCGATACTGCTCAAGGCCTTCTCTGTCGATACCATGCATAAGGGCTCTCTTGATCTCGCCGCGTCGTGCGTCTTCGAGTGCTGTACGCGCAGCATCCTGAAATCTGAGGATGCCAGGTCTGGGTCTCGACTTGCGTCCGTCGAATGAGTGGTATCGCCCAGTCTCTAAATCCCGGGGGTGACGGTCGCCGACGTAGCCTTGGCCGCGGTGCCGAGCCTCTTGGTCGTACTTGGCAGGGTCGCCATTCCAGAGTCGTTTACCAACCATTTCGTCTAACGATGTATAAGGATGATTATCTGTAATAAAAAGAGACAGAGAGAAGATGAGAGGGAGATTGCCTGTTTTGTTGCTTGAGGATTTACTCGTGTAACCTGAATGACTTATGACGTAAGTGACGTAAATCCGGGGAAGACGGCAAGTTTGGCTGCAGCCATGCGAGGGTGCGAAACACGCGACACGCGGCGAGTGGAGGAATCAAATCCACAAGTAAGCATGAGATGCCGAGTTCCAGGGCAATTCTTTATCTTTTCTTTTGCTGTTTGAGTGATTTCTATCAGAAAATCATATCACTGTGGGCTCTTGTTGATCCTTGTATCGAAGATCTCGTCGTCATGAATCCTTCAACGTCACTCGATAGACAAGGTTCATTCCAGTCATTCACACAGGATATAAACATTCACAGTTATGTTGAAAACAATATGTTGAAAGTACAAACTCTTATTCAAGTTCTATATTTACAATGAGCGCATTCTTGCTGCCCGAGTCCCATCACCAACTCGCTTCATCAGATAAGGATATCTCAAAAGTTCGTTACCAACGCCAACAGTTATCCCCCCAAAGCCAATTTACCTCTAGTCAAACAGTATCATGTTTTTAGTTTCCGCCCATTCTCATCGCATTCACAAGTCTATGTCTTGCACCTTCTCTTCGACCCTCGTTCCGGCTAGGACTATCCCCATAGGAGTCTGTTCGACGGGCTGTATCATAGTAGGCCTCGGTGTCTCCCAGGCCTACCTTTGAGGGACGAGGAGGCGGTGGGGGAGCATGCGTCTGCTGCTCCTGAGGCTGTGACTGATAAACTGGTTCCCAGTCACCCTGTCGGTAAGGGTTGTTCTGATAAGACTCTTGGGGAGCCGTAGGAGGACGGCTGGCTCGCTGTTCCTCGCGATTGGCACGCTCGTCACGGCTCTCACGGTTTGAGCGTCTAACAGAGTCGTGGGACCGAGGAGGGGGTGGGGTGGGTTGTGCTGGAAGGAGTCCGCTCTGAGGCACACCGTTCTGGGGTGCACCATTCTGAGGGGCACCAACCTGGCGACGGGTCGTCTCTCGTGGAAGCTCTTCCTCATCGTCTGTTGCAACCTCATCCTCTGGCTCGTCTTCATATGCCCGCAACTCGCTTCGCATAGCAAGGCTGGCGCAGATGCTTCTAGCCTCCTCAATGGCCTTCTTCTGCACTTGAAGTGCCTTGCGACGCTCCCGGGTCTCTTTGTTCTCAGCTGCGATGGCCTCGATAGTAGCATCGCCCATCCGCATGATCTCGATAGGGTTGAACAGGCGGAGCATTCCAAGGAGCAGATGTCTCTCGACAACTTGGGTGATAACGTTGCGGGTAAAGATGCGTGCAGTCAGATCGTAGTAGATGAGCATCTTCTCCAGAACTTCCTCGGCCTCGGTGTATGTTCCGCCGTTCTCTGTGGCCTCGGCACGCCACTTCCTCAGGCGCTCTTCGTACTCGGGGTCGAAGGGCTGCACCTCCAGTTCCATGTCGTCGGTAAGGCGGCTCAGTTCCTTGTCGGCGCTCTCGATGAGCTCCTTTATCTTGATCTCAAGGAAGTGCATGCGAAGAGGATCGCGCATGCGCAGAGGCCAGGCATAATCAATCACATCGGCAAGGAACTCGTTGCAGATGACGCTGACGTTGTCCTTGTACTCTTGCGCCAGGACAGGCCAGTTTCTGGAGTAGTCCTGGAAGAGGATATAAGGGGCTCGAGGGTTTGAATCGAGAGGAAGTTCGTTACCCCGGATCTGTCGAAGAAGGGGCTCAACTTCATGCTCGGCGAAATCCTTCTTGGAACGGTCTCCAACCGTACCAGCAGCAGGGAGGCCGGAACCGTCGGCGCCGTTGGCAGCAGCGGCAGGTTGGTTGTTCTGGAACGCAACCTTGCGACCGTGCTGTCGGAATCTCCGGGCGAAGCGCTCGCTTTCCTCGCGAGTGCGGGCACGAAGCTTCTGTGATGGTGTGCCCTTGGGGCTGGATTGTCTGGCAAAGAATCTCTCGCCAAAGGGGTTCTTGTAGTTACCATTTACGGCAGGGGTGACGAGGTTGTTGGATGCGGTAAAGAGCTCGCCCATCTGGAGTCGCATCTCCTCAGGAGTGTCTTTGCCGACACCCATAGCCTTGAGTTGGGCTTCACATCCATCCAGCGCCTGCTGGATCTGTCGGCGGAGGGTCTTGACATGCTTGCCAATGTGTCGCTGAAGCTGGGTGCTCAGCTTGGCACGAAGGGCGCCGATACCCCACATCTCAGGTGGAAGGGTTGCCCATTTGCCTCGAGTGAAGAACTCGGCCTCTCGGTGGGATCGCTCCTCGGGTGTCTGCCATCGTTCGCCGGGTCCAGGGTTGAGTAGGACATACCAGCCTAGCTTGAAGTTGTTCTCCCGGTCCTTGTTCATCACAAGCTCAATAAACTTCTCTTCAAGGCCAATGCGCTCCGTCATGTCGGGCTTTGTAAGAACGCCGATGGTGCGTGATCCGGTAGGATCAAAGTAACGGGCCTTCTTGAGGATGGGAGCTTGAACATAGTCGTTGTTTCCACCGATGACGGCGAGAATGAGGGTCCGGGTGCTCTTCATGTATCGATCGGAGAGTGTCTCGATGGTCTGGATGTCGGCATCGGACTGGTCACGGTTGGCGACTCGAACCAAACCAGGAAGATCGACAAGAGTCAAGAGCGGCATGTCGGGGCCACTCTTCTCGACGACCAGAATATCTCGAGCGGCGAATCGGCCGGGAACGCTTCGGGGGGCGATGAGTTCGGTCGCATCTCGCATCATGACATCGAAGGGAGTGTCTCCGGTGACATCACCGCCATACTGTAGCAAGCGGGCTTGCTCATTGTAGGGTCGTGTCTTGTCGGGAATGATGGATATCTTGAGTTTGGTCTCCTTTGCTCTTCGCATGCGAATCTCGGTCGCAAATCTCGTGCAGGCGCCGGCATCTCGAGGGAAGGGTGTGCCGGTCAAAGCCTCAAGGACAGAACTCTTTCCAGCGGATTGATCGCCAACGACGACAATCTGCGGTAGCTTGACATCGTCGAGCTGGGCGAATTGAAGCTTGTCAATGAGATCCAACAGGCTGCGTTGCTCGGTAGCAAGGCCCTGGTCACCCAGGGAAGATTCGATCGAAGGGCGCATTTGGTGCCTAGCAGTAGGGAGAATGTCAGCAACTCGCTGGGCGTCTTGATCAGGCGGAATGACGAACAGAGAGCCCATTCTCTCGCGGGATGAGATAGATGGAGATGATTTAGCAATCAGATAGTTGCTGTTCGTTTATATAGAGGGGAAGCAGTTTCAGCTGAAATGCGATGCATGCGCGGCCTTGTCATGTGTCTTTATACAAGATTACGCGTGCGCCATGATTCGCTCTTTCTCGGGTAGGTTGCCTCCGTGTCGCTGATTTTCTGCCGTGCCATGGTTTGCGCGGCCGCCAAGCGTCTCGGCGCCCGAGAGGCAACTACGGCGTCATGATTGCTGCGCCACACCCTCCTTCAGCTGGGTTGTCATGGCGGGGATCCAAGCGAAATGATTAGGCCACAGGGCCGACAGGCATCGCATAGTAGCGGATCATTCTCAAAGACCCTTGGTTTGCCACCGGGAATGCCATTCTACAGCATTCCCTATCCACACACTTCTTTTTCTCCCTTCGTCCTTCCCAACTCTCAACAACTCAACGTGTGGCGCAGTAATATCTAATCTGTGGCGGTGCAGATCTCGGATCTTGGCACGAGGCCCGCGTCACCAGGCCAGGGCCAGGAACCAGGCAACTGGCTTTCCCGCAGGAGATGGTGTCGAGATGTTTGCCTCCCACCGCCCTATCTGCCTCTTACGTAGTGAGCCACGTCAAGGCTCAACGAAAGGGTGGTTACTTCTGCGGCTGCCTATCTGCGTACATACTACGTACGTAGTAGTCATTTCTCGATCACTGATCACAGTCACCACTCAAAGGATCAAGAGCCTGCCAGACGCGAATCTCGAGCACATACGACCATAGCTCGTAGAGAATACGGGGTCCCGTCCGCTCCCCCAGAGTCAAGCTGCGAAGCGCTGGATTAGTAGTTGGGTCGGTGACGACCAGCGAATCCCCGGTGTTGTATGTTTCTTAGTTCTCTTTTTGACTCTTCGCATCAGACATGTGTTATCTGGGTGCTTATGCATTCGTAGTGGTGGTGCATATGGTAGGTTGCCGGCGTTGTAAGATGTTTCACAAGCCAGGCAGTTTCAAGCCACTTTTTTGGTATGATAATGCCTAAGGCATAGGTATAAAGGCCCCCCCGCCAGGTTTCTGCTGCTCTTCGGGTTGCTCCGGAAAACACCAGTTGGCTATTATTACCTTTTCTCTCGGAGCCTGTGGTCAAGGAGGTTTCGGAGACCGAGGGATGTGCACCAACACCCTAGACACGACTGAGAAAGGGCTGGTTACCCCAAGCCAGCCTCGTGACCCGAAGACACCCCTACGCCTTGGCGATATCGTCACCAATTTAAGAGATCCGGTAGTCGATTTCACGGTTCTCAACACAGAGGTCTGGGTCCCCATACCGGAGAAAAACATTCGCACAACCATCCAAGAGGAGTTTTACCCAAAGCTCAGGAATCCTAAAGAGACCAAGGTCGTCCATTTCGCCAGAATCAGGGGCCTGGAAGTCCAGAATATCGATGGCATACCTAAAAGCGAGTTGAAAATGCTTGTGACCCAAGTTCTTAGTCGTCCAAAAGGATACCTCGATAGCAGCATGAATCCGGAGTCAGTCAGAGCTTGGAGCGAGAACAATGACGATTGCTCTTTGCGTCTCATCACAGGTCTCAAGACGATTCGAGAACCTCCACCTCCAGCCCCAATCGCTGAGTCTATAAAACTGGAAGAAGAACTTGGCGAGATCGACTCGGTTCCCGATCAGGCAAAAACTGGCAACCAAGGGCAGAGTGCCGCTGAACATGAGTTGGAGCACGTTGACTCCTCTGACCGTCTCCTTGCGTACCAATTTTCGGGAATAAGTCAGAAGCGGAATAAAAAGACGAGAGTGGAAGAGGAAAGCAATGGTCCACAAACGCAAGCTGGACTTGTTGAGCCTCAACATACTTCTGGCGAAGAACGTCCCTCATTTTTCGTTGATCACCCGATGTGGGTTATCTTCAGGAGGGCTCCGGCCTCAGTTGCGCTTTCGAACACACTGGCCTCGTGATGTAACTTATGGCAACTCAGTTGATCTTGAACCCTCGGTTGAACTAGAAACTGGATAGTGTCAAGGGCTGAAGGCATGGTGATGTTCATAGGGTTAATGAGGATTGGGAGTATGCTTTGTGTTATGGTACGCCTGGATAGAAACTCCGGTTGTCCATTCATGGATTTTCGTGAAAGGAGCGGTACATCGTTCCAACTTGAGTGGTAGATGGCGAGGGTTGAGTTTGACCAAACTCTGGACAATTTGGTCTACATCTTTGGCTTGTGAGAAAAAGATACGAGTTTAGAACCGCCTATAAAGCTTCAATGAGGCTATTTTACTTTCGTCTTACCCTTCTGCCTGTCCTGGGCAATCCCAATCGGTCTTCATCTGTTGAGCTTCACCTGGGGAGTCACGTGACATGACTAAGCCAAGCTTGTCCAAATGTGACCAGTAACCGACGACGTCCCAACTCCTCTCCCATCAGAACACCCCTGTTTGCCGTATTTCGATATCGGCCACTATAGCTATTCCAATGACCAGTGAGTGGCTACAAAGTATTTTGGGCCATGGCCTCTGACCAAAGCCTTTCGCGGACTCAGGCCGCGAGATTGAACAGCTCCTCGAAGCTCTCGAGACCGAGGCGGTGACAGAGCAGAGCACCAGCAAGTTCCCTCCCGACTCTACACTGTTTGCCTTTCTTGGCTACAAAGTTCCCCGCTACTAACCACTGCTGGCCAATAGAGTCTCATGCACTCCTTGAAAAGGTTCTGGCTCACACTAGGACGTCTCGCGACACTGCCCTCGCTCCTCTGTACGCCAAGAACGGGTTGCGCATCCTTGGTCTCTATGCGTTTGGGGACCGTGACCCGCCTCAGAAGGTTGTTGCCTTGCGATGCTTGAACAACATTCTCGTTCGTTCTGTATCGACAAGGCAGGTTTTTATTAATGAGGGATACCCAAGTAAGGTGCTTTCTTCAATGAAGGTATTGCTCTCCTGTCCCAATTTCAGGGTTGACTCTCACATCGGATAGAATGGCGACCCCAATGAAGAGCTTGCAACTGCCAATCTATTTCTCTTTTGCGCATCTCAACCCACCTTTGACCTCACGTCAAGCTTTGAAGATGAAGGTCTCGCCGAGATCGTCAACAAGGTACGAGCGGAAACCATAGGTGATCTAACGAAGTGCTCATAGCCTCAAGAACATAGCCCGTCATGCGCAATCCTCAGAACCTCTCCCGAACGATCCTGCTAATCCAGCTCTGGCAAGTCTAAGGCTTCTCTCCACCTTGGCTGTGCGGGCCGAGTCACAGGCACATCGATTCCTGCCTTCACTTGAACCAATTTTGGACCTTTTGAGCAAAGTCCCCGCGACCGTCTCACACGCTGACCTCCCAGCTTCATCCTTGATTTCTTGCCTGGTTTCCATACCGATAGACCAAAGGGAGGAATTCCCTGTTTCTGCAGTCGACAAGTTGGTGAATCTCCTCCAGGAAGCAATTCCCAAAGCAGATGGGTCTTCAAAGGCTGCGGATAAAGAGCTACTCCCTCTTTTGGTGGTCCTGCATCGCCTCGCACAATCCAAACCATCTGATGCTCGGAAACGACTCGCTGAACACATTCTGCCATCTGATGAAGATCGAACCGAGGCCTTGGGCAAGGGCGAATCTCTGCCGCACAGGCTGCTCAAGCTTACTTCCACAACCGTGGAACCTGAGCTGCGAGAGATGATTGTCAACCTCTTCTTTGAGATTTCTGACAAAGACCCAAACAAGTTTGTGCATCATGTCGGCTTCGGACACGCCGCAGGCCTCCTTTCTTCCAAGGGCATCCAGTTTTCGCCTGAGGGCCTCGCACAAGCCCAGGCAAGCAGCGCTGCTCCGGATATCAACCCCATCACAGGTCAACAGCGTAGTGCAGAGGCTGTATCCGACTTGCCCGAGATGACAGAGGAAGAGAAGGAGAGAGAAGCCGAGAGACTCTTTGTTTTGTTCGAGAGGTTCGTCCAGTCTTTTGAACTCTGCTGAGCTATCATACTGACTTGCTATAGACTGAGGGCCAATGGTGTGATTTCCGTCGAAAATCCTGTTACTCAATATCGGGACTCAGGTCGTTTTGAAGAGCTCCCCGACGATGCGTCTGATTAATGCTTGAAGCGGACAACATTGCATTATGGAAGACCGGTCATATGACCAACAGATGTGAATAGAGAATGCGTCTTATATAAACAGCCCTTCCTACTAGAGGCCGGACAAATTGAGAAGAAGAGTTAAAACTACCTAAAATCAGATTCCAGGCACATCTCATCGCGGTACACATGTCCCCTGCCGCCACTGTCTAAGATTGGTGATCAAGCATCCTCCTCAAGACCAACCATCTTGCAGGATTCAACCCACAACTTAGCTGCCTTTTCCTCATCGTAAGCCCAAGGAGCATAGCCATTGTCCGTCGACATGGTGTCAGAGCTGGGGCTCGCCGGACCTGCTTCGTTGCAGTCATAAAGATACCTTCCTCCCTTTCCTTCCCAGTCCTTGTTCAGAGCTGCATAGACCGAAGTCGCAGCACCCTGAGCGGGGCTCTTGATAAGCTTTCGAAGCTCTGTATTCTTCTCCATGAGGCTGAGGATCTCAGGGTCGGTGATGTAGCGATGAAGGTTGGTTATAACACCACCTGGGTGCAAGGAGAGGGCGTGAAGGCCACGGTTACCGTAGCGCTTCTCAATCTCGTTGACCATGTAGATGTTAGCCGTCTTTGATTGGCCGTAGGCGATCCACGGGTGGTACGAGTTGGGCTTGTCGAAGTTGAAGTCGTGGAACCGGACTTCGCCAGCGCGGTGGCCCATGGACGAGACCGAGACGACGCGTGAGTTGAACGAGGGCGTGGAAGCGGCGAGCAGTGCGGGTTTGAGCAACTGGAAGAGGAGAAAATGACCGAGATGGTTGACGCCGAACTGCGTTTCGAAGCCGTCGACGGTTCTTCCCTCAGGGGTGTACATAACGCCAGCGTTGAGGACGAGGATGTTGAGCTCCTTGCTCTTATCCAGAAAGACATCAGCGCCCTTTCTGACAGAGTCGAAAGAGTCAAGGGAGATCTCAATCAAGTGCAGAGGTGCTTTGTTTTCCGGGTCGGAGGCCTTGATATCCTCGATGGCCTGCTGACCTTTGGCAAGATCCCTGACACCGAGGAACACTGAGGCCCCAGTTGCGTGGAAGGCACGGGCTGTCTCAAGGCCCACGCCCTGATTGGCACCGGTGACGAAGATGGATTTTCCAGTGAGCTTGCCCACGAGGTCTTCGTCTTGAATGATCTGAAGGGCGGTGGGACGGGCGTCGCCAGGGCCCTGGGGGTTGCTGTGAGCTGCAATGTACTTGGACATTTTGGAAGTTTGGTTGATAGGTTGGTTTGATGTTGTTGACTTGCTGGTGATTGTGAGTTTCTTGGAGAGCAGAAGATGTCCATCGAGGCAAGTCTGGTATTTATGTCCTTGTACTCAGATATTGCGCTCGGATTTTAGGTCACTGGGCCGGTCTTTAGAAGACATTAGATCTGGCTTCCTTGTAGAAGGTCTTAGGCACCTAGCGTACGTTTCTGATGTCGACATATTATCTGACGTGAAAATGGAAAAGAGTGTCGCATTGACTTACGGATATTGGTTGGGCGTGGGATTATCTCCGTTGGTAGCCATAAGAGGAGAGCATGGCCGTCTCGATGCGCAACTACTTACTGTCACTATGTAAGGAGACGCTTGAGAGAGAAATGGCATAGATTTTATAAATTGGCACTGGGAATTGGTTTTTTTGCGTCAGGTATAAAAGATATCCTGGGATCTCTAATACCAACATTTGGCTTTTATTTTGAGGTACTCGCATTGTCCTTCAGAGCGCGCTTAGAGAAATGAGGCATGGAAAGCCGAGCGAACCATTAATCTCCCGGGCTGGTAACATTTTAATAATTTACGTTATAATGCAATGCTCATTCAAGGTAGTCAACCATACTCACTCTCTTTCCAGATATGCATCGGGTCTTGCTCGTAGGGCTGTCAACCGAAAGGCGATCCGGCATAGCCCGCGGAGAGTGTGGAGAGCCCGGTTGCGGAGTTTGTGGATGCATCACGGCGGAGTTTCGCTGCAGGGGATCTTAGATTGCGGTGTTGCGGACTTTCTTGCGGACTTTGAGGGCGTGAGATGAGTTACATTCTAGGGTCTAAAGTTTTCACTGCTATGGTCTTTGCGCCATTGTGGCCATCCTAATTCTCGATAACAATCGTTTCAACTACTCTCAGCCAAGACTGTCGAAAGAGGCATGGCACCATACACTTCTCTCAGCTGCTCCCAAGTAATAGCATTGCCATGCATGATCTCCGCCACCACCTTCCCAGCCAAAAGACTCTGTTGAATAGAAGTCGTAAAGTGATGATAGGTGATCTCGGCGCCCATGGACGTCATATATTCGGAGAGGGTCGTGAGATCCTGGTATGGGGTCATGTCCATACCTGGGTTGTCCAGAGGCGGTCTCTCCTCTCGGTCTCTCTCCATCTCTCTTAGAGATTCGATCACGAGTCTCTTAAGCTCAAGGCTTATGCCGCCCCAGATGAAGAATTCGTCAAAGACAGATAATTGCTCAAGAGGGGCAGCTTGGGCACAGGTCCAGTCGATGAGCCCCGTCAGGTTGTACTCGTCGTCAAAAAGCATGTTGCGGGATTGAAGGCCGAAATGGATCAGGGGGAAAGGGCCGCGAACTCTGTCCTCAATTATCACATGGGCCAGAGACATTTTTAGGACCCAGCAGGCCGTTGACCAGTCTGGGTCCCCTGGATGCATCCGGTACATGACGTGCTGGTTCTGTTCCTGTATGTGGTGATAGAAATACTCGAGTGAGGTTTCCAGGGGTCCGGGTAAAGCGTGCCACGCCATTTTCACAACTTTGACGGGTTCGTCAGCATTGTCTCCACACCAAAGACGCCCGATGCGACTGAAGGTCAGATTCTGGAGTTCTGCAAAGACATTTGCTAGCTGTTTGGCCACTTTGGCACGGTGCTGGGCGGGTATGGCTGTCGCTAGTCCGTCCGGAAAGGTTCGGCCATCGAGGGCCTCCATGAGAATGTATGGGTAGCCAAAGGGTTGATCTGCGGACACCTCGAAGCAGAAAACCTGAGGGACTGGGATGGAGGTACGTTCTCTGACAACCTTCATCGTGGCAATCTCGCTGAGTATCGTGTCTCTTTGGATGGATTGGTGCGGGATGCGAGCGACCCAGTACACATGGTCTGAGAATGCAAGTTCCAGAACAAGGTGCTCGTAACCAGATGTGAATTGCGTCAGGTTGATGATGCACTCAAGATGGGGAGGTAGATCTGGTTGATGCTGCCTTCGTGACTCTATTGCGCGTCCCCTAAGGTATTCGAAGTTCGCTGAAGAGAGGATATTCTGAATGCTATTGCGTATGTATTGGACTGATCCCGTGTGCAGGCGGTCAAAGCACGACCAGTTGCTGCTCGGGGCTTTCATTTTGTCATACAGGCTTAACACTAGTGATAGTTCATATCTTGCGAAGAGCTTGATAAGTCTAAGAGCTACTCCTATGGATGTGGGCTTCTTATACCAGAGCCCACATTGCTGGGTATTCACTGCTGGGCTGATAGGCAACAATATATGATAGTTGCCTATGACAAACACAAAGACAAACACACAAACATTTAGTGATAGGTACGCAAATGCCACAGTTTGCGTCTCCTTCCATTCGATCGCAACGCTGGTCGTTCTGAGTCGTTGCAGCAGCACGTCCAATCACATACGACCATACCTACTGGAGAACTCGGGATCCCGTCCGCTCTCCCATAGATAAGCCAGTAAGGGGCGGATTAGTAGTTGGGTCGGTGACGACCAGTGAATACCTGCTGTTGTATGTTTTTTTTTTTTTTTGCTGTTCTTGTCTTTTTGCTGGTTCAGTATTTTCCTTCTGTATGCCCCGGTTTGCTTTGGGCAATGTAGGTCAGCTTATATTTGGCGGACTTTTTCGTCAAGCGGTGAGAGGTCGTTACGGCTGGATGTCTTTCGCAAGTGTGCTATCTTTTACCATGATAAATTACTATGTGCTCGGCTTAGGAATCGATTGATATGAGTGGGAGAGCTTTGCATAGCGTTTCCAGTCGATACCCTGTACCAGCAAGGATCATCAGCTTAATGTGAATTCGGGTTCTCACTACATGGACGTCTTGAAAAATTTCTAGTTGGCTCGCACTGCTAAACTAGCATGGAATCTGATATGCAATTGGATAGAGAGTAAAAATGCCGTTTAGCTCTGGTTGTCGTCTGGTTGAAATGATAGGATTGGTTGACTAGATTCACGTGATCATCCAGTTGGTTGAGGACAACCAACCACCCCAAATCTGGCATTCTTCTATGACACAACTTGCATTTGGCAATGTCAGTTTTATCAATCTTGGTATTCATCACACAAGGTAAGCCATATGGAAGTATTTCCATAGCAGCATGCTGACAGCACACCTAAGGGGCTTTCATTCGAAGGAGCTACTCGAAAAAACCGCCTGACTGTGAAACTCTGCTTGAGTTGATCTCCCGGGTCCTTGCGGAGCAGGAGGAATGCCCCGGTATGTCCTTTGCATGCCTTGGGCGTCTTTAACTCCAACAACAGCTAACAGCTAACTAAGTCAAAGAGAAGCTCTCTGCGGCCTTGGAACGGGGCATCAGGTTGGTTTGGGAAGATGCTTACGATTTGGTCAACCCTTTTGGTGACCGCCGAGGTGGTGCGTTCAGTAGCGTTTGGACATTTGACCTCGACAAAGATGCAATTTTTCTCGAAAAGGAGAATCAAATTCGCGTGGCGCCTCTTCAAATTGGTCGTCAACGACCGCTGACTCTCGACGATTTTAAGCTGCTGGACTTACCCCAACCACCACTTGAACAACCAACTCTGCCAGGACCCTACTGGGAACCCAAGTTTGATCAACGCCCGCGAGAGAAATCTTTTCTTGGCCGAGTAATCCGCGACTTTGCCTACACATGGCGTCATGTGCTTCGGCGACAAATGAACGCCACGACCTTTATGAAACTGGCATATGCCACCCTCTGGATTTCATCAATGGACTTCACCATACGGGAGCGTACTGGATTCGAACACATCACAGAAGGTGGCGCTTATGTTTGGTTGGTTGACTTACCAAACTGGGAGACCCCTAAGGCAACACTCTTCAAAGCCGGATCAACTTGGTTTGTCTTGGCTCAGGATATCCAGGACGGACTTGAGATGGTACGACGCCATGCGCAAGGTCATTCGTTGCTCATAGATCCTGCTGCCAACGTCGTTACCTATGCAATTCTTTCTCTCCGGCAACTCACTCTTTGCAAGGCGGAGAGGAATGAGATTGTATGGACGAAATCTGAAGCGCTGTTCGGCGAGGCTCCTGCGTCTGATGATGCCATCGACGTGATGCTCTGGGCAACAAACACCTCTGGAGATACCGAATCGAAACCAACTAGACTTAATCTTCTTCCTACGGAGATCCAGGACGGAATTCTGTATCACGCAACAGCTAGCTTGGTCGCGTCAGCCAAACTGGGTTGTGAACTTGGTCTAGGGTCACCCTTCTCTTGGGCTGACAGAGGCGCAAAGATCAGGGTTGAAGAACGCAAGAGGCACCGGTTCGAAAGCTCACCCGTTGAATCGCAGATCTTTTTCGATGGGGCGATGAGCGGCTTGTCGTATAAGCGGGACCCCAGGCACCAAATAATTCGTCCGGGACAGCATCCCCTTCCTGTTGGTTTGCGAGAACAGTTCGTTCCTGGGGCAGGTACCCTATGATATGGAGTTCTGTACTGTTTTATATACTAGATACAAGGGAAAGAGATCCACACACATGGCTTCACCATATGTCGTGCAAGCGGCTATTTGGAGCGGGGGCATAAGTCTGTTTGCTTCAATGTAGGATCTACTTGTGTAGAAGAATAGGGTGCTTTTAATCTTGATTCATTGGATGCATGCAACTATGGAGCGCCCTCTAGTCAACAAATTTTGGCCTAGGAGGCGAATGGCTATTTTCTTGAGAGCAACGCCTGGAATTTCCATTGCCACTGCCGTAACCTGTCAGCAATGGTACCCCCCTCTCTCTCCTCCTGAATCTGCTTGATGTGCTGGTTGGTGGATGAACGCGGGTGAACCTTCATGCGCTCCATCGACTCCTCCAAATGCTTCAGCACCTCTTTCGTCTGAGCCTTGTTCTGCCACAGCTTTCGTATTAGCTCACTGTCCTGCGACTGCCCCCTCAGCTCCGCTTCTAGCTGTGCTTCTAGCTGCTCAGCTCTGGCTCGATACAACTCCGTGTCGTGTTCTAGCTTGCGTCCTAAGTATCGACCTGCAGAGGTGCCTAAGACGGATTTGTCTTGGTCCATGATTTCTTTCTGGATCTTCAGCACCACAGCCTTTTTTTCTGCGAGGCGATAGACCAGACTCAAGGCAGATTCGGTAGTCCCGTCAAACTGGAAAACATAGGAGCCCTTTATCAGCATTGGGCTCCAATACTTGTCGATCAGCTCCTGCTCGCGTCGGAGACCTTGGCTGCGGTCCTCGTCCCGAAGCCTGTTCCACATGCTTGTGACGAGGACAACGTTCTCAAGCGCATCCTCTCCTACGAGGGACCGAAATAGATTGAGGTAGGTCAAAGAAGACCCCGTCATCCTGTTATCCGTGATCTTGTGGAGATAGAGAACTCCTCGCAGGGGCACGCCCAGAGCATGCTGTGTGGCCAGGAACCCGACAATCTCGGCCAAAATCTCCCCTTCGGGTCTGCTTGTATCATCAAAACCCGGAGTATCCACCACTGTGATGCTCCGATTCCCTTCGTCGTCGAGAAAGATCTGAACGGGGTTGCATTGCGCCGTTTCTAAGAATGTGGTTAGTTTTGCAAGTTCGCAGCGAAGCCTGAAGGATGTTAGTGCAGACGCACCTGATGCGAGATATGGATCGTGATGTTCTGCTAAACTGTGATCCTTGAGTTTGTTTAAGAAGTAGGTCTTCCCAGACCCCGTTACTCCCAAGAGCAGAATGAGACCCTCGTTTGTGAAGTCGTCATCATTTTTGATGCGTAGTTCGCCTTCTGAATCCGGGGAGGTGCCTGCCTTATCTTTGGCCGATTTGACATTTGGATCCTCATCCGACCGTACCTGATCAAAAGTGGAAGCGTCATAAGGCTCGTCTTCGAATATCCATGTTAAACTAGACATAAACGCGACTTTTTCCGATTCTGACCAGATGCGGGATCGTTCATCTCTGGCAAGGGCTTCAATGCTTTCTGTGGTCAGAAAAGACTTGTGAGGTTGCTGAGGACCCCAAAACTTTGAGAAAGCTTCCTCTTCCTCCTCGGAAAAGTCCCGAGTGATCGAAGCCCGGCGTCCTTGATTCTCCACAAGTTTGTGACTGTCAGAAGGCTGCACAGAGGCTAATTCATCCCCTTCCTGCTCATGAATGTCTGGAAGAGCGTACAGTGCTAGTCGTTCCAAATGGTATCTCACATGTTTCTGCATGGCCGGCACGTCAAAAAAGGCCGTTGGACAGAATGGACAGTCGCGAAGTGGCTTCAAAGACGAACCAACGACAGCAGCGACCATCTCCGGTAGTCTCTCTTCTGTCCTGTGCTCGTCCTGCCTGTCGTGTAAGTGTTGTATGTACTCTGGCTGGGTTTCGAACTCCTCTTGGTGGATATGACAGTGCCATACCCGACGGTGTTGATTCTCGTGGTCAACCCAGTCCTGCCGTAGCCTGTAAAGCCGGCCAGGATCAGTGCAATTCTCATATGTGCACTGATAAGGCTGAAGGTCGTGAATTTGATGTAATCTGTCTCCCTGTTACTTTGAGTTTCATTCGCCCGTTTGAATTTAAGGGAACTTGCCGCCACTCGTCAGGACGCAGATACCTTTCCGGGCAGAGAATACGACAATAAGGGCAAGAGAAGTGCTTGCTGCCTTCTAGATCTTTTGGAGCTGCAGGCCATGTCAGGTCCTCACCACTCAGGCCGACTGCCGTCGAGACGCGGCTGTGCCTCGATATCACCGATACTGTGTCGCCAAGTCCAGGAGTTTCTGGATCAAGCCTTGTTGCTGAAGTGGCAATCGAGACAGAAGGAATAGCCTTTCTCAAAATAGCTTTTGACTCCGAGACAGGACTCGCAGGGGATTGCACAACTGCGGGCGCGGCTGGTCCCAGGGTCTCATTCTCTGTCATGTCACGGCTTAGTAGCTTCGCGTGCCTTCTCCAGTATACAAACTGTTGCTTTCTTCGCGCATTGGCGGCTCCCATTCGCCGAATCAGCCAGTGATCCGCAGAACTGTACTCCTGAAGGAGTTGATCCTGGCTGATCCCAAGCTCCTCCAGTTGCCCAGCAGCAAAATCCCGCAGCAATTGTTGTTTTTGCACGTAAGACGCACGGGAGACTTCAATTTGTTTCTGGCTTTCGATGTAGTCCCCTCGTTGTCTTTCGGGCACATGTTTGTATAGTTCCTCGACCGGACGCTGAGGTCTGTTGCGTGGGCTTCGAATCCTCGAGGCCAGTTCGTAGAGGGCATCAAGCCTTTTACTGACACTTTCAAGCCTGAAATCCGCCTCCCTGAAAGATCCGAAACTGCTCAGGGAGGACAGCGAGGACTCGTCGTCGTCGAGGGCGGTTTCACTTGAAGCATCTTGGTCTCGATGACTGCTACCAGGATCTTGCTCCTGTGGCTGTCGGCTACCGAGAATTATGGAGGCAACTATGCTAGTCAGATTGTCCAAAAAGATTTATAGTCGCGACTGACGATTCTCGAGGTGATCCCCCAGTTCTGTCAAAAGATCGGCCAGAGAGACTTTGACAACGGATGCGTCTCGGACACGATAGTCGAGAGACGCATGTCCCACCTGGTTTAGCCCCAGACTTTGAGCCCATAGCAAGAATCTCTGATGTTCAATAGAGATTCGCTCTTTTGAAGGGAGGCCGTTGTCCTCGGTTATGTCCCACGTGGCGTCAGACAAGGCTCTGAAGGTGCCAAGAATGCAGCGCCCGAGGGACTGAAGCTCAAGCTGCGGCTCGGCCATACCTGCGAACAAAAAACCACCAGAAGGTTGTTGGAAATCGTGGATGCTATGGAGGAAGTCAAAAGCTGTGCCGATGTGACTTTGAGCAGGGTTTTGTATGAATCTAGGAAGCACAGATGGGCAAAGACGTTACTGAGCTTTCCTGGCTGTTTCCTACCCCGCAGAAGAAAAGCAAGCCTGAGCTGCAATCAGGCGTGGTTGGCTGGAGCCTCGTCAGGCATTAATCATCAAGCCATCTGCATCCTGGTGCGGCTGAGATCAAATTTGATACCTACCCAGATCATCCTCCAGGAACCCCGCCTGCAGACGAACCACAGGCGAACATGTCCGGTTTTGAGGTGGCAGGCGTTGTGCTTGGGGCCCTTCCCCTCGTCATCAACGCCCTCTCGGCTTATAGGCAAAACAGAGGGAAGATAGCAGTCTGGAGGAGATTCCGCGGCCTTCTGGACGACCTGCTCCACCAACTGAAGACGCAGAAGACGAACTTCTACTTGGATATTCTTGAGCTTCTTCGTGAAGCTAGAGTTCCGGCGGTACTTGAGGAACTGGACCCGAACGAGGACAAGTGCGTTGAGATTCTTCAGCATGCCAGAACCGGGACCCACGTTGAAGACTACCTGGGACATCTTTGGGAGCCGTTTTTAGAGATACTGGGGTATTATGAGAAGTACTTGAAGGATATTGTATCTGGTCTTAATAACCTTGCTCGGCCAGAGAATGTGGGTTTCAATAACCCGGTATGGGTATGAAGGCTGACTATCGCTTCGTTAGGTACCCAAAGACGACCTTGCGAGCATTATTCATGCTACCAAATCAGCATCCGGACTTCTGTCCATCAAGGCAAAGATGAGATTCTCAATGGACAAGGAAAGCCTAGATGCTCTCGTTGAAGACCTTAGCACAGAGAGATACTCGCTCGGAAATCTCATCAAGCGTGTCAAGTCGAAGAGGGAATGGGAGGCGAGGGAGCCAACGGGTACCTCGGCTACTTTGGCCCTGACCTTTGCTAAAGTAACGAAGAGTGCAACCATGCTGTACAAGGCGGCCTGCAAGTGTTGGGCTTGCGACCAGCACGGGCTGCATACAGTCCTGCTTCGCCTTGACCACAGGATCCGGGAAGACTCTAACATGAGGGGAAGGAGGGGAAGGGAGGCGCTAATTGCGTTTGGGCTTTGCCTGCCTATCGAAGAGGATGTCTTGCAGGAAATCGAGGTGGCTGCCCGTTCTCTCGACCATTCGCATGCCTTCGTCACGAGCCAACCCCGATCGACAGCTATAGGCAGTCTCTCAGTTCCCACCATAACTGTTACGACATTGCAGGAGTCGAGTCCTAGCCACAACAGAGTCCAGAGAATATGCCACAATGCCCAGAGAGCGAGAAGACTGGGTCGAATTCTCAGCTTGATACTCACATCAGACGCCCTTGAGCTCTCCGAGGAGGACAAGCCTCACCAACCGTACAGCCATTCGACAACCCTGGCAGAGTTCCTAAGAAACACGGCACAAGACGAGGACGCGCGGATGGGACCGATATTACAAACCCTACTGGCCCTGAATGTTGTCTCGTCCGTCTTGCAGCTGCGACCGACGGCATGGTGCAACACGCCCTGGACAAGCAAGACAATCAAGTTCCCTACAAAGACGAACAATGGATCACCCATTACCATATGCACTCCATACGTGGAACAGACTTTCGACACCACCATGCTTCAATGCCACGACTGCACGTCCGGTCTAAACACCCAAGCCATCAAGTCAACTATGCTCGAGCTGGCCATTCTCTTGCTAGAGATCCTTCATCATAGATCTCTTGAGTCTTGGGCGGAAAAGCATGAGCAAGGAGATATGTGTTCGTATGGAGAAAGGATGCTGGGCGCTAATCGCTGGCTGGAAATGAGCACGGGAAGACTTCTCCCCGACCATCTCAAGGCCGTGGAGGGATGTCTCGAGTATTGTGTCAAGAGCAATCTGGCCTGGGATAAGAGCTTCCAGAGCGGTTACTGTGAGAATGTGATAAAGCCGCTACAGCAGCTCACATCGATATGTTAGGTGGCTGGTCTGTGGAAGGGTAAAACTCCAATGGCTGAAAAGCGCTCTCGGTTCGATCGCTAGCGACTGGAGAGTTATGCACTATTAAACTTCTACGACTCTATGATGATATACACTGCGTGCGAATTGACGTTCTTTTGTTAACCCCAAGTTTCAAGCGCTACGGCCGTTGCTTCGTTATTCTATGCCAGTCACCACAGACAATCCAACTAGACCCTGACTCTGTATTTAAAACTCATGCGAATAGACAGCTGCCGCTTGGTCCAAAACCCGCCATACAGTGAACCATAGACAGATGGCCATCCCAGCTACCCTCACTGCTCGCTCTCCCGGCAACTTGGTCGAGCAGTGTCTTATGTGATGCCTTGAGCCACACTGCTTGCTCCATCCAGTTTATGAGCGGTGAGTCCGGTTGGTACTCTTCCATCAGCCTTTGTAGCTCGGCTTGTTGCACGTGCAAAGAATCTGTTATCGCCCACTATAGATATGTTAGTGATGGGGCTCGGCGTAGTTATATGATAACGAAACTCACCACACCTGCCAGACAGGGAGGGATATATGTGGCACCTAGTGGCCGGTGCTGAGAAGCGTGCTGAGCCAATGCAATGAACTCGTTGGTCAAGGCGATTGCTTCTTGAAACAGCACATTATCATCTGGGTAGAGAGTCCGCAGAAGGCTGTTTAAAGGGATTGCCAGAGTGAGCAGCAGTGCATGGACAACTCGGAACTTGTGAGACAACTTGGCTCGATTCCCCCACGTAGATTCGTTCCGATCGAGGTTGGAAAGGTATTGGCGAATGCCAGGCAGATCTTGTTGCATCTCCTGGTACGCCGACTTGATCTCGTCGATGTAGAGCATGGGGCTGTGGAAGAAGACGGGCATTCGAATCAGCTTTTGCGCCTCCACACTTGGTACTCGCAGTCCGTGTGCCTTCTCGAATGACGCTTGAGGTATGCAATAGTCAACGAGCAGGAACCATGATTCCATTGTGATTGCTGGGTTGACCATTGCCTCGAGGATCTATCAAGGGGAATGGCGTGTCAGCTTCAAACTTGAGATTTGGGGGCAAGACAACGCACCAGTGGTACAAACAGGGTTTCGAGGAGTTGCAGCTCAAACGTATCTTTCCAGTTTTGCACAATAGCAGAACTTGCCAGGTGAGCCAGAATCTCCCCATGACTTCTGACGTAGTCATCAGAGCGCCCTATCCAGCCCTACGCAAAGTCAGACTAGTTCATCAGTGAACGAGATTGTAACTACCTGGCAGATCATGATGATGTAAATAGCAGACAGTGTTTCGGGTGCCAGTCTCTTGTCTGGGCAGTTGAGACATATCCTCAGTGCTTTCAGAGCGTCGATGTAGTTGGCCAAGGCGTCCTGCGGTAGATGTCGAGTGTAGTGGTACGGAAATGCGCTGACCAACGCCTTGACCGAAGCATCGAGGGCCTCGCTCCGACCAAGCCGCCTGGGAATATGCTCGAGAAAGTCGCCGTAACTGCTGAGGCTGTACCTGATATCCGATACTTCGAGAGCTGCGATGAACCTCCCTGCAATGCTTGTGATGATGTTCTCCGGAACTGGTGGAATCGACGCTTTGATGGATCTCCTCGGTTTCTTGGGAATGTCCTCAACGACGGCCGGTTGGAAAGCCACTGGTTGAAATGATACTGGCTTGAACTTCCATTTTTGCTCGCCAGCGCCGATACAGGGAATCTTGAGTCTGGCGCATCTAGCGCAGACTGGCTTGACCTGATCACACTGGAGTCCTAGTGTGAGTGTGGGGATTCAACAAGTGGAAACCGCAGGTACCTTTTTCTTCTGTCGTACACAGGCTCTGCAGCCTTTGCTAGACGGTACGCCAGCCATGATGTTGCTTTTGGATGGAGATGTCTAGCAGGACAGGAACGGAAAGATAAGACGTAAATGACGAGTTCTGATTCCGGAGGGACCAGTTTGGGTTTTGTATCTCCGAGCTGAGGAGAGGCAACACAATTGCAAAGCTGGTGTAATACAGCGACCGATCATTCAGGCAATGCTTGTCAAAGAATGATTGGCCTGGTTGAAGATGGAGATGTCCGAAGCTCCACTATTAGGGAGGGAGCGCCGAATCCCACTCTCTTGGGAATAGCGTCGTCGGCCCTGGAAGCAGATCAGACAGGCATGATTGGATCATGTTGGTACCCTTCAAGGTTAAGGGACGCAACGAAGCAGGGATCTTGACCGGGCTCTTGGTAGATTTGCCCATGTTTGTGGGTCAAGCATCATCTGCATTGCTTTGGATTGGCCTCGAAGCAGTTAAGCGTCTTATCCCAGTTGACGCACGTCTTGACCCAGGTGGCTGTGTCGTACTAACGTTGGGCCTATCCTGTCGGACACCTTTGTCGCGCCATATTTCCAGAAGGAAGCAGAGGCGGTCGAGAGACGCAAGAATCGAGCGGTGCTTACTCCAGGTCTCAAGAAGGATCAGCCCTATGGCGGATCGATCTGACACGATGTGGCAGGGGTCTGGCATGATGATTATCAACCTGGACCCCGAATGTTGGGAACATCCCCGTTGGAGTAACAATAATCGATATCTGCAGAGGTCATGATGTCAGGTCAGCTGGAGATTGGCACAACTGCTTACCAACCTCTGTGTATACTCACTTATCGTACCTTGACAAGGATAAATGGTAGGTAAGATGGTCTGTGACAGGAGGCCAAGACTCTAGGGAGTGTCTAGGCTTGGACGGGACTTGAAGAGTCAGCATGAAACCCGTGTCGCCATCCATACAAGTTTCGGCATTTTTACCTGCGGGTAAGCCGGAATAAAGCATCACTTGACAAGGCTGTGATTCTCTTTTACTGATGACAAAAGATGACTGATATATCTTCTCGCGAATGAATCTAGATAGTCTCTCTTTGTTGCTACCCCTACCCGTTTCGGTCTCTTCAGCCAAACAGGATTGTCCTGAAAAGAACCTGGCATCGCACCTTTTCTCCACTATGAGCTTAGATAACGTTACCCTTGACCTGCTTGATCTCCTTGACGTTGATATCCTTCCACACAAGCGTCGCCACCAGACCAATAGCCCAAACAGCTGTGCTAGCGATCAAAATCATCTTTTGCGCATCACCATAAGCGTGCTGAACAGCCTCGCGGGTGGGGGTACCTTCAGGATATGCCAGCTGCGCTTCGACAGTGGCATAAATGTCGAACAGGTGAGGAAGCTCTTCGGCGGGGAGGTATTCGGCCAGCTTTTTTGGAAACACTCCCTGCCAGATAGCAGCGGCGATGGAGAGACCGATAGCACCTCCAACCTCGGAGAACATGGCCTGGATGGCGATGACAACAGCAATATGCTGATGGGAAGCGGTCGCTACCGCGGCGACACCACCAGCAATCATGACGACTCCGCCGGCGAAAGAGATAAAGATCTGACACATGACAATGTAACCAATTTCGATGCCGGGCTGGCGGAAATGGATCATCAGACCCACGCCGAAGATGCTTATGGGGACACCAAAGTAGAGGCACACAGGCTTATAGCGACCAGTATGACGAATCAACCATCCGGTGAAGATGCAGAGTAAGCACGAGCCAATGGTGTAAGTCTGGGCGACGTAGCTAGCGTGGGTGACGCTTAGGCCGTTGACAACGAGGAGGAACGAGATAAAGTACGCGTTCCAGCAGTAGTAACTCAGAAAGAGCACAAAGCCTATGACGCAAGCACCAAGCAGTGTTCGGTCTCGAAGGAGAGAAAAGGGGATAAAGGTAACAGGGGCGAAGAATCTCTCCCAGATGACAAAGGCGACAATGAGAGCGAAGCCAAAGACAAGAAGACAAATGATGAGAGGTGCCCGCCATCCTTGTGCTTGCAACGAATAGATGTTGAATGGCAGGAGAAACAAAGCCATGCCACCAGACAACAGAAGAAGGCCAACGGCGTCAAACTCGCGACAATAGTAGAGGAGAGACTCCAGCACTGTTCTCCCACTCTTGATTTTGGGGAGCAGATTTTGCTTCTTGGCCTTCTGATGGTTGTAGGCGAAAATTCCGAAGAGGGGAATTGTCACGGCAGGTAGGAGTATCGCGAAGGTCCCGAAGCACCAGCGCCAGCCTGGTCCCTTGAGGTATGCCTCAGACATGGGACCAGAGACCCAGACGGTGATGAAGTTTGGTGTGCCGACAAAAGCGTTGACAAGACCTCGGTTGCGCAAGGATGAAGAGTCGGCAATGAAAACACTGATGGTGTATAGCAGAGCGTTGTTTCCCACAGTGTAAAACACCTGAGCGGCGGCGTAGGCTTCGACATTGTTGCAGGCAGCCATCATGATGAGGCCAATGATGGCAAAGAACACAGAGAGGAGGTATCCGTGGGGTCGGCCGAAAACGTCGAGGATCTTTGCGATGGTGAGCTTGAAGACAGCGCCGATGATGCTGCTGAAGATCATGACGGTCGGCGTGAGAGAGTGCTGCGCAAAGGCCGACGTCACCCAGAGGTTGAGCGAGCCACCAACGCCTTGGAGAAGCATGTCGACAAAGTAGACAAACCAGATGATCACGTAGGCGGCGATGATGGATCGGGTTGTCCACACCGAGGTGAGGGCCTCGATCTTTTGGACACCGGCTTGGGCGTCTGGGTTGATAGGCTCTTCATTGTCGGTGCTGGAGGGCGACTCTCTGATGGCGCCCACCTCCTTCTCAGCTAGGTCGCTGGCGTGGACTTGATGCTGGTCCTCGCCCATGGTTGTTGGCTCTTTGAGTAAAAGGAGAGATGGAGGGTGCAGAGGAGGATCTGGATCGACCCCTTTGGCTGGCATGAGACTCGACTATATGCATCCCTCTGAGCTTGTGGAGACAGCAGACAAGGCCTGTTCAGAAAACTCGCTCATCTGAAGCCACCGCATCCTGTAGCGTGTGTTGGTTTGAAGTCGAAAGCCATGTCGAACCAACAGACATGAACAGGGGCATCGGAGATCGACTGTGCTGTGGGGGGTTACATGCCAATAAATAGACGATGAATGGATGGGTGCCAGTAAGCGTCCCCTTTAACTTGAAGATGCAATGAGTTTTCTGGCATAGTAATGTGCTCTTTGAGCATCATGGGCCTTGTCATCACAGATGTTCGCAGGGGTCTGCGTCTAGCCCCTGCTCCACCAATAGCAACCACCTCGAACTCGCTCATCTGGTCAGCGCAGGAATCAAGCGTAGTGGGGGCATCAAAGCAACCTGGCCATTAATGATGGACTCGAAAGAAACTCGCTCAAGCCCCAAGAAGGTGGTGGGGGTGTTTCTGTACTAGTTCAAGCTTTGGGAGTGGTTGGACAAGTGAGGAAGGGCTGCATGCGTCGTGAAGCGCCTTTATGGAGACCTTGGGCCATTTCCAAGAGGGATCAATCCTGTATATCCACTGGCATACTGGAAATCATCCTGATTACTCCCATCACCCGTTGTTGGGAAGACGGGTGACTGGCCGGCTTCGTAAACAGCCAGATCAAGCTTTTCTGAGCTACAAAATGATAACGCCCATATCTCATCACCAAATAGACCCGTTTTTCTCACCTAGTGCCAGTGCTTCTAGCCCATGTTCAAGGAGGAAGGGAGGCAGCATCAAAGTGAGGTTCTGGGTACACCTTCCAAGCAACTTGGCTTCCAAGGGTTTGGATCCTTGTTTGGAACGGTAACAGGTTGCTCCAGAGTCGAAGTTGATTAATGAAAAGAAAAAGACTTATTAAGTTTGCCTGGTCATAGTTTAAAGGGACCTTACTGGGCCGTCATTTGCTTGTGAAGGAAGCGATGTGGTAGTTCCAATTGAACACCACTCGCTTGGTGGCAAGTCGGCACATCTAACCCAACACAGATCTCTAAAGGCTGCCTGTATTAAGATACAAGGGTTAAAGGACCTAAGCATTTCTAGAATCATCTCTGACTGCCGACCTCCGACCCTGAGTCCGGGCATTGTCCATGGCGGCTTCAAATGTACAGCGGTCCCGAGCGCTTCCGAGATCCAACTGATCATCATGTATACGATGCAAATGTGACGACCCATTGTGATATTCCCACTGATACACCTCCACCTTCGTGCCAATGGCTATCGCCCCGAACAGTTGGTCAGTGCCGTTGGTGTTGTTCTCCAGATAATGGGTGAGTTGTACAGCAGCATTGTGCCATCTGTCATGGGTATCCTTATGTGAGCCATTGCACTCCACAATGAAGATTTGATTCTCCAAAATCTGACCCGGGTCTGTGATGGAACCGGTACCGAGAAACCGGACTTCGATCACAACTCCATCGACCTTTTCCACACTGGCGAGGCTCGAAGACTTGAAGGCGAGTTTGTAAGGGCCGGAAGGCGGAAACCAAGTGCCCAGGATAGTGGTCCATAGAATTTGGACGGGTTTTTCATCCGTGGCCTTCTTTGCCTGGAGGTAACTACTCATGAAAGAGACATTGCCCGAGTTAAAGACTTGCCCATCGGCCATGATTGTAGCGGAAAGATTTGCAGAAGGAACGAAGAGGGGGACATATTATATCCAGCCAGTTAGTGGTTTGTAACGGCAACTCTAGGTTGGTGGGTTTATCCGGTATTTGAGAGACGGTGGGAATCAAGACACCGTTGCCTTTTGTTGCAAAGGGCCGCCCTCTAATTAGCTCGCTTACAAGCCAGCCTTACGTAGGGCGCTTGACTACTATTAATAACCCGTTTGCGCCGTGCCTGTCTTACGAAAAAGAAAGCCTTTTAACACTCTTCATATACACTTTCCTTAAGTTCATTATCATCACTAACTATAGTCATACGCCCAAGATGCCAACTACTTATGGGTGAAAGTCTCGACCCCTCCAAAGATGATGCACCTTGGTGATGTTAGCCGTAACGCTGAAACCACGTCTATAGCTTATTATCCCCATTCCTCTTTAGTAATAGGCAAGCTGGTTAGCCCAAGGGGCATAAACCGCCTCTCTCAGGGGAGTCTCAAACAGATCTCGGATCTCGTCGAGGCTAAGTCCGGTACCGATTGCAAGCTGCAGCATCACGCGGGCCTGCTCAGCACCGACATAGCTTGAGAAGAAACTACAGACATCGTCAGTATTTCAATTCCATAGGGGATATGAGTCAAGTTTATGAACATACACGGGACCAGGGTTGATGGATGGTACGCCAGTTCCAGTGGTGGGTCGGGCAACAGCAACGGTTGGAATGCCCTTCTCGAAGAGTTCTGCGGCGGCCTCTCGGGCGCCGGGGCTGAGAGAAGCTGCTCCAGGGCCCATGACAACCAGGCCCCTTTGATTGAAGTCAGTATTGAGTGTCTTGATATTTTCGAGTGAACTTACTTGGCGCCGTTAGCAACAGCTGCGTGCATCAGCGAAGCATCAAAGCCCTCTGTTTCAGTTAGCACTCAAGTCTTTTCACAGAGATATCTTTGGTGGTTATGGGCAACGTACGGTGTCCGAAGAAGATGGCAACGGAAGGCAGTTCAGTAGTGTTGGTAACGTCGAAATACGGCCGACCAGTGGGATAAGAAGGGCCGAAGTAGTAGAATGGCTGGCCGCCCAAGAAAGCTCCAAGATTGCCCTGCTCCAGAGACTTGAAGGTGTCTGGGGTGTTGGCATTGAGCTTTGTGGAGTAAAAGATGGAGGTGATTCTGTACTAGTTAGTTAATTTCTCAAGATGCTACCGTCTTGCTTACCGGTCGTTGAAAGCAATCAAACCACCGCGGTTGCGTGACGCGGGTGAGACAGCGGCAGCGACGGCCTGGTAAAAGTTGGAACGTCCGTCAGGAGAGACGTAAGTGTCTGGGCGCATTGCACCAGTGGCAATGAACGGCTTAGAGCAGTTGAAAGTAAGGTCAACTCCAAAGGCCTACTACTAGTCAGCACACAGGCATGCTTTGAGGAAGAGTGGATTTACCGTCTCTTCAAGGGTGTTTGTGCCGTGGAACATGATTGCTCCAGCAATGTCAGAGTCCGGGTCGCACAGCTGGCGGTTGGCGTGCTGGCTGATGTTGAGATACAGCGACGAGTTAAGGCCTGAGCTACCACCAGAGACGTTGAAGTTGACGACTGCCAGCTGGGCAACATCCAGAACTTCTGAAACGTTGCCGATCAGCTGTTCCGGTGTAGGCCCAACGCCGGAACCATAGTTGACATTGTCAAGCCGGCTATAGTTTGATGCCGAGAGAATGGTACCTCTAGCACTGTAGATGCTGTATGTTTCTGTCAGTTCAAAGGAATGAGAAAGAATACCGTGGTACTCACACAACTTTCGGCAAGGACTTATTGGTAGAAATCCATTCTAGGCCAGCGTCAAAGTCAGCCTGGACGGCGGGAACGAGAAGAGCTCCAAGGGCCAAAACCCGAGCGGCGTTATTGACAAAAGAAGGCAGCATATTGACAAGAGGTAATGGCTGTGGCTTTGATCTCTTCCTGGTAGTGCATAACTATTGAAGGGCATCTTGACATTTTTATAGAATATCGTGTCGATCGCAATGTCCGATAACAACTTACCGACTCCAGCTTCGGCGTCGTCGGATGTTGATCAGACCCCGAGCTATCATGAACCCCGCGATTCTCCCATTAAGGTAACTTGATCCACCTCTTATCTCTCGATGGCCTGTTAGAGTATTCCCCAGCCACCGCCGGAACGTTGCCGTTTCTCGGGTCCTTATCCGAATCTCTGGCCATCCCCCCGTCCAAATAAGAGTTGACTAGCAACTTTATAAATCAATGTCATAATGTTATCTCTGTATCGCTATCGAGGAAGCGGGGTTGTTGGGGTTCGCTTACCCAGTAGTCGGTATCTAGTGGTCTTGGCAAGGTAATGCAACGTCTTATCGACGAGAATTATCTCCGGACACGGCTAAATGCTTCCTTGTCAAATTGTTGACTAGGTATCTTTGGCCTTAGTTTCTATCGACTATTGTAATTGTGGGACTAAAGTCGCCTTGACCTGCATTTTAACCACGCATGATTACGTCGTGCCTCTTCCTCTCCCTCCTTTGGTTTTTTCTAACCCGTAGGAAAAAGATCTACACCGAGGAGCACGATTCTAGAAAGCCGTAGTGTATATAGACGATGATGGGCAGTTTCATGTGGTGCAATGATATTAAAAATGAAGTTCCCAGGCCACTACACGGCTATGGGCTTCATAAATCCCCATGCATCCGTTTCCCTTCCCTCCGAACGAATCAGGAGACCTAAAAGACAAGTGAACTTATCATTCAGTTCCTTCTTTCTAATTAAGTCGATTTCACAACGTAATAGGAATCACAATGCTCACGATATGGTTCCGCTATCGAAATGATAACGTTGTCGTCGTCATCCTTCCGAGGTTCAGGCGTCTGCAAATCAAGCTTCGAGTCTAGAATACGTCAAACTCTCTCTAGTAGGACATTTAGAGAATAGCTAGATCCTTAGAGGCCACAGGCTTGGGACTTGGTCCCAGATCTGGGATAGCTTGGACGTGGTCCCAAAACTGGTATCAACCTAGAGCGGCAGAATTTCCGCTCTAAAGCCGGGAATGGCTTTTGGTGCGCTCTAGTTTCATACCTAGATTATGCGGCACATCGTCCACCCACGTGGTTCTGTAGGCATCCATCATCTGTCCCAGATTTCCCTCGGCAGGGGCATTTCTTTGCGTACTTGATGGTACCGTTGAATCTCTAACCTATGGTTGACCGAATGGAGCAAAAGTCCAATCACTGGAACTCCTGCAAGAATATGAAGGAATAGAAATCAAACATATGATTCTCTAGAAGCAATTAACAGTGTTAGTAGAAGCCGAGGTTTCAAGAGGTGGGCCAATGGGTTGCTTGGATCCGGTTAGCGAAGACGGGTTGTGCTGCATTGACATTGAGACCTGGAAGTTGTTGACCACGCCCCACAGGTGATATATGGGGGGAAAGAAAGGATAAAAAGAAAATACGATTCTCGATGCATTCTGAAAAGTCATTACAGACCATTGCTGGTAAAGTGAAGAGTACGCACGATGGTAGTGCTACTCTGGCTCAAAAAGCCAAGACGTGAAGTCAAAATTCCAAAAGTGCAACAATGGGCTTGGATCAAAATGTGTGAGTGGAGGGAAGGAATCAATTGCATTTTCGGAACACCCACCCGCTGTTCGAATATACTAGCACTGAAAATCGTCAAGAGGAGAACGGGGGTGATTTCTCTGACGCTCAACACATTCATCTCAAGGGCTGCTCCTGTAGCTACAGGGTAGCGCAACTCCTCGTGTCCGCTGACCATCGATCGCGCATGTGGAGTCGCGCCTAAGGCGTCAATTCTGGCGCAGGGACCCACAACTGAGGAGGGGCACTGGTGTTGATTCGCTTCCTCCAAGCGCAATCAACAGCGAGGGCGTCTCCTAAGCGACCACCGCAACACAAGCATCCTCAAGGTCACCACAACGATTCTTCCATCGCCCTTTCGGAACAATATCATGAGCAAGGCTGCCGATCTCGCGACTCAGAATGTATCATCAGTGCATCTTGTGTGGGGTGCGCATCCAACCTCAACCTGACCCGCCTGAGGGACGACTCATCTGGCGCTCTACGATCCGTGCGGGTAAGCCACTCGTCTTGTTTCCCCAAGATTTCTGCTCACAACTTTCAAGTCACTTCCGAAAAAGGGCGAAGTTCTGTGTCTCTTACGGGTATCGGCTACCTCTGTGAGGATTATGTCCGGGCCAGCGACGACTCGGATATTTTCTACGAGGACTCGGACCAAGGCTTGAAATCCTACGACCTGCTGCACTCGGACTCAAACAAACCACGAACATTTGGGTTTCACGAATCCTGCTGGCAGATCCTCCTTTCGCAACTCGAGTCCCTGACAGGGCGACCCCAAGAACCTCGACGAATCGCAGAGCCCCTGTTCAACTTGCTCTTCTGCCTCCCGCGGGATCGTTTCCAGGTTTCTTTCCAAGCTCATGACTTCGGTGGGGCTTTCGAGATCTGCAGCTCCCCAAAAGGGCTTCCCCAGTCCTGGAAGTTTCTGCTGGCTGACCCTGATGCATTGCGAATTCACTTCTCATAGAATGAGCTTGATTCCTTTGCAGACCTTTTCCAGGGCTGTTCTGACGACGCCCGAGACTGCTTCTCCCAGTTCCCCCTGGAAGTGAACCAATTGATCTTTAACTTCCTACCATCTCTGGACCTCTGCAGTCTCAGACTGTCATCGAGACAGATAGCATGTATTGCCAGACCGGCCTATCTTCCTCAGTCCTTTTGGGCAAGCCGCTTTGCGACCGACAAGGAAATGAACTTCTTCTCCCTGCAGGAATACTTTTCAAACCCAGCGCGCTTCGACAATTGGCGATTGCTGTATGCACAGGTTCAGCACACACTGCGGGACAAGACTCTCAGCGGGTACTTTCGCAACCGGCGCCGGGTCTGGCAGTGCGTGGGCCACCTCACACAGTGCTTGGTTCCACTCCTTGAACAAACTCGAAGTCTACGGTCCAGCAACAGCCTTGAAACAGAGCTCGGCTCACAAGGGTATTCAATTGGTCAAGAATCGCGAAGAGTTGTTCAAGAAGATGCTTCAGTGATCAGGGGCAAGGGAATACGCTTATTTGGGAAACAGTCACTTCTTTTCCGTGCCGTAGGCTACGAAGCCAAGACGATTCAAATATCAGTATCCTTCATCACCTTTGATTGCGCCGAATACGTCAGTGGAATGAGAGTATTTGATCGATCCGTTACCGGCTCCATAACGGAACTGTCTCGAGCTGGCCTCATCATGCCATATTCTGAAGAATCGATCGTCATCACGCCAAACGACCAACTGATAGGCATCCAAGTCGCAAGTTCGTTCACCGGAATCGTCGGAGTCAGCTTTCTGCTGCAAGATGGAGATGGGCCAACCATCCAGAGAGCCGCTGGAACCGTCAACAATCCCGCGGAGGGCGTTGGAATTACTACTCTACGTCCAAGGGTTGGCCATAAGCTGTCTGGATTGCTCATCGGTTTTGATGTGAGTATCCCTCTCCTTGAATTTATTCGATCATTCTCATCATTGAAATCCCAAGGCCTGCAAATTCGTATCGTTGAAGTTGTTAGAGCTTCAGATCGATCATGGGCCTTCGAAAAGCGGCCGAAGCGGCGGAACATGTCTTGTGCCTTGGTACTGGCATCCTGCTGAACCCGACCACAGCCACATGGCAATGTCGCTTCACATGCCTGAAGCGGAAAAGGGATCATGGATCCCGACTTTTGCATTGGACATGAACATGGGAGGTACTGATGGGAGTCGACTGTCCCGCCTCAATCGAATTGTAGCTCTCCATGACGACCGTGGTGGCTTCTTTCGGGGGTTTGCTTTCTTCTACACGAACGGAAGCAAAGAATCTTTTGGAATGAGGGAAGTCTTAGACTCTGCAAGCAAGCGGTGGACCTGCATCGAGCAGTCAATTGCGCTGGATGGTCCTGGAGGAGAGAGAATCGTCAAGCTAGGATTCGTGCGTCTGGGCGACCGTTGCCAGGTCATCAAGGTGTGTCGGCCCCATCGGGAGATCATAAGTAAGACTGACTTGCGACTTAGATGTTCACGAATAATGGCCGGACTCTGGAGTTCCGACGTTAGAACCGTCGCTTGAATGAGTCTACATTACCAAAGGAGGAGTGGTTTCTCTCCTCCGCTGGGAGGATCATAACGGGAATTCTTGCGACAGCGCAGGTAAGAGTATCCTTGGGTAATGCGATATCATAATGCTAACCAGGAAAACCCCCCTGCAGCTCCCATATGGGTCTCTTCATTCCTTCGGCCTCCGTTGTCTTGCTGACGTGCCCGACGCCAGCCTCGACTCTCGGCCACGACCCCCTCAAATAACACGCACCTTTCCTATGAAACAGCCTCATGCGAGTCAAGCCCCCCAGGCTCTCCAAAGATCCAACAGCTGTTTCACGTCTGTCGTGTTGTCCAATATCCGACGCATTGGGGTGTCCGTCGGGATTCCTGGTCGAACACGCGGCCCTGATCATGTCTCCGGGCTTTGCTTCGAGTTTTGGGACTCTAAAGTACCGGTGTATGTTGGTCAATGGTTCCACGAGGTTCGCAGCTTACCTGTTGGGCGCCGTGAAAGGATTACCGGCTTCACCTTCTGGCAAGCACAGGAAAGCCATCCAAACAATGCTGAATTGGAAAACAGCGGCAGGATCACTGGGATCAAGATTTCGAAATTGACTCACGGGCATCAAGAAATTGCGTATAGTTTCGGGGGTAAAGATGACATGCTTGTGTACTCTTTTCTTGCGAACTCCTACGAGACATTGGTAAGAACCCGTTGCTCCAGCGTGCATCTTTCTGGAAGACATTAACAATTCAGCAGACCGGCCTTGCATGGAGCTTTGATCACCAGTGTGACTACATCTACGCCCTCACTCAGCCTCGTCCAGCAACCTCTTTGATGTTACACGACATTGCCGACGGCCGAATGCCGGGTAAGCTATTCTGGGAGTTTCAGGACGGCAAGGGAAACTGGCTGCAAGTTTCTGGCATTCACACGTTTTTCACTGACAGCAAACTCTCGGGACTCGTATTCGAGTACGGAAACCCTCGGATCTACAGACAAGTTGGGGGGATTGAGGGAAACAGAGTTTCGAAGAAATTGGAAGAAGGGGAATTGATAACTCGAATCGACATTGTGAAATTATCACATGGCGTGGAAATGCCCTCTTCTAGAGGCATCATCAAGTTCATCAAAGAAAGTGTGAAAGGAGTCACTGTGAGTTTGATTCTTTGAGTCTTGACGAAGCTAACCAGGGGCAGCTCCACACGAGCAAGAATAGGAAACTCAGCCTCCAGGATGTCTCAAACGCCTACGCGGGACAGGGGTGCTTGCAACCGTACGAATTTGGTGATCCTCACGGTAAAGAGACGCCTGGCACACCAGCTCGCAAAGCGACTTTGGCCACGCTGTCGGAGACGTGTGGAGGGACGTGCGTCGGTATTTGGGTGACGATGAATGTCTTCCCGAGAGCCACGGGTATCGTGAGAAGGATTGGACCAATTGTGCAGAAGAAGTTGTAAGAACCGAGGCGAATACATAGTTACATTTTAGAGTAACTTCCCAAAACTCATCTTGGTAGACGAGAACTCTCCTCTTCTCATAAACATCAAGAAGTTCTTCTTTGTGGTAACAAACCGGGGGCGACAAGTGACAGTGTGGACGAAATGCCCAAATGGTAGGTCCCCCCTTTCTTCTTCCTTTTCGATGCCACCTAGGTACTAAGACTTGACAGTTAAGGGACCGCTTTAGCTCCAGTAACAAATCACACAGGTATTAAAACGAAAGGGTGGCAAGCCGCGATAGCATGAAATATCATAATCATATTACAATGCCCTTATCCGGAAAATGGTAGTGGCCTGGCCCCTTGTAGAAAGACACGTCAACTTCGGCGCCAAACGAACTGAAACTGAGCCGGACTTATATAGAAAGACGCAAGTGTATGTCCTCGGGCCACATCATATCGTGGAGTAAGTATTTGCACCTAGAGTGTCAGTTACCAAAGCGGCGCCCAGATAGAGGTACAAAGTAGTTGCGTTCAAAGTAGAGATAACCTCCTTGGGGGTTCTTCACAGGCTCCGTCAAGTGTGCTTTGCTGGTATCTGCAGCGCTCAAAATCAGTCAAGGTCAAATGCATAGAGTCTTGAGTGCCAATCATACCACAAATGAGAGTAGATTTCCAGACGCCAATGCAACGCCCCAGGTAGAGACCGCTGATGTGGGCAACGCCCTGCGAGTCTAATAGCGTTGCTTCAAGCACAGGGCACCAACCGCCCTTAGCATCCTTGCCAAGGCGTATTTCCGTGGCTTGCTGAGAAAAGTCTGAGCGAGGGTTTGACATGTTAGCATATCGCATCTCTTCTGTAAGGCATGGATACCCACTACAACCACCCCAAGATAGAGCTCCGTTATTATTCCCGATGTAGAGATCGAGGTCGAGGGTCGCGTCTTCCCATTGGCCATCAACCGAGATAGAGGCTATGAGATAGCGGCCATTTTGGAGCCTCACGTTTGTGGTTCCGAGGTGGAAATTCATTGCGAAACTGATTGTGGGTTTTGGAAGCGTTCGAAGAGTGTCGGGAGCGGGTATGTGACCTAATATAAAACAAAAGCTAATTATTGGATGGGAAGGATGAGTATAGAATGAAGTGCGGAGTTGGGGGAGCGGAAGACGTGTTAGACAGCCTTATATAGATATATAGTAGACGTGATAAAGAGACCTTTGCCCCATTGTCTGAGCATTGTTGAGTCAAGAAGACAGGATCCTCAAATGAGGTACAAGGTGTCACTCCTTCAACACCAGTGCGTCAGACACTGAATAATGTTGAGGCTCATCCGATGAAAGAGTTTGGGTAACTCAGTAATACGATTACAGGTCATTTGACGAGCATTTGTGCCGCGATTGACTCAGGGGCATTGTCGATGTAGGGTTTTCAGCCTATGGAAAAATCAGATGGCTGTTGCGTAACCCTGATCAAGAAACGATGTGTGTTTGCTGGCTAGGCACATGGACGGGCGGCTACGGGTCATCTGATAACCAGTTCCAAAATACCTATTCAGTAGCCTTCAATTGAAGGCGACGTCGAGTTTAAGAAAAACGTCAAGGCTATTGATTCTTAAACCGCTGAGTTAAAGGGCTATTAATGGCAGTATAGCCGCATGCATCACTAAACCGTGGGAGTTATTGGCTTTCTACGGAGTAAATGATGAGAGATAGTTATTTATTAACTGAATGCTACGGCGCTGTCCGCGAACAAGTGCAAGAAGACTGGATGACAAGCCAGATTCAGGTCGCAAATGCACACCAGTGAACCATTCCATGGTCCAAATTGCTCCATTCAGCCAAGATTCCGGGTTTCCCGGCTAAGCTTAGAGCATGAAGCGAAAATGAGTGATCCCCCGAAGGTCGTTCCTCACCGGTTCCGTCCAGTATCGCTGGTCGGGTCCTACAAACATTCATGTTAGTCAGTGCTAATATAAACAGGAATATTTAGGGGGCGAGATACTGCAAACAAGGGCATTGTTGTGGATGCCGATGCACTGAGCCAGATTGATCCCGCTATCCCTATCATTCCCCTCACGGTCTTTAAGTGTTGCAGTGAGGACAGGGGTCAAACCGTTGGGGTCCTTTATCAGCTGGATGTTCCTGGCCTCCCTAGAATAGTCTGTTGGATGACCCGGTAGGTTAGTCATTGTAGATCAAGGGGTGATGAAGACTCAAAGCTCACCCTCATAGCCCCAGGTGAGGCGGCCATTGCGGTTTCCGATGAAGGGATCAAGGTCAAGGGATAGAGTCCACCAGACGTGTTCCTCGAAGATTTGGACAACAAGAATATGTCCATAAAATAGCCGCATATCTTGGATGAATAGGTGGAAATTCATGGTGAGCGTTGAAACCTGGTCCATAGTGGTCGAAGTGTTTGTCAACTAGTGCAAGAGAAGATGGGTGTGTTGTATCAAGAGCTGACTTGAAGGGGAGAAAGGGGCGGCCTTAAATGCGTCTTAGGTATCGGTGATTTAGAGATTCTTGTTTCATTGTCACTGCTGAGTCAAGGGGATGAAAATAAGGGCACAGACATGACATTTCACAGCTTCAACACCAGTTTATCACATACGGAGGAAACATTAAAACCACGGGCTCAAGAGCTGTGATGTGATTGTACGTCATATCACATCTTGGCTACATGCAATCTGCTACTCCAACTCAGAACATGAGGATGCTAACGTGGCCAAGAAGGAGTGGCAGGAACAGGATTGCCTAAACGGTAGATTCAAGAGCGCGTGAGCGGCTGCAGAGCTTGAGAGGAAACACGAGGGGGAAGATAATTGTTTCCTTGAACCCTGTTGCCCAAAATTATAACTACCTGAGCAATATTATGGCTCTCCTCGTACTTGCCCCACGTCACAATGTTATACGGTAGACACAATATGTCAAGAAGATGAGTTGTCAAGCTAAAAGACTATGAAGCTAGTGAAAGAGGAACACCCCTGCTAAGATCGCACTTGAAAATAGAGGATCGCATGTCGTTCATTGACCACTGGCTCTACCTCAAATCGCACGTCGGGAGCTGGAGGTCTTAGCATTAGTAAAGTTCTTATAAAACGAGATCCAAGGGTGGAAGCATACAGCAAGCAAGGGTACCGTTCTCTATACCAATGCACTGGGCTAGGTTGAGAGCGCTGCGCAGGGCCCGACCACGAGAATCCAGGGAGGTTGCATAAAGCGTGGGACACCAGCCATGGATATCTTTGGCTAGTTCAATCTTTGTGCATGACCAAGAGAAATCTGGGTAGATTTTCAAGGCTTAGTTAGGCTCTTGGATGGAAAAGGATAGCGGCTCACCCTTGGCACCCCAGACAAGGCGGCCCTCGCTGCTACTCCCGATGTACAGGTCCAGGTCAAGCGTCACCTGCTTCCAGTCCCCATCCCAGGAAACGTAGGCTCTCAGGAAGTGGCCTTGCAGGAGTTCAATATCTCTGGCGGCGAGGTGGAAGTTGATTTTGCTCCGTATGAGCAGACTTGGATCTTCTGGATAGTATTCTTCCACGGCATCGTATTCGGTCATGTTGGGTACTGGATGAGAGAGGATGAGAGCTGGGTTAAAGGTTAAGTTGAAAGTGAAGAATGGGAGAGAGCTTGAGATGATCATATATAGATCTCTTCTAGACGTGTGATTGAGAGAGCCTTGTCGCATCGTCACTGCTGGGTCCGAGAGATAGAACCAGCAGGCTACGCACACTCGACGCCAATGGATCAGATACCTGGTCATCTTCATACTCATGGGCTAAAAGTGCACAATCGAATCTGTGATAAAATCGCAGGTTATTCAAATGTCTTGGCTGTGACTATGTTCATGACCTTGATGTCAAACTTGAAGCCCACAACGGACGCAAGAGAAGTCGCTTGCCCAGCGGCTTCGCCATAACAGAGGAACAACATGCAGCTCATTACCAACAGTCCTATTCGGAAGTGAATAATTTGAGATAATTTGCTCGTTAGAAATGTGCTAATCAGACTCTAAAGAAGTCACAGGTCTATGCTTGGGGGCGATGACCAACTACCAGGAGATACGGCGCAACATATCGTGCCGAGAAACTAGGGGTTGCTTCAGAGTCTAAGAATGAGAGTGAGAGAGCCTCATTAATAGTGAGTCTTCTACAGAGAAACAGTGGGTATTAGCCGTGGCCACACAGGCCTAAGCTACCCGTTTCACACATGACAGCGCTGAAAATCGTGAGTTTATTCCTACTCGCGAAATCCACTCCCCAGCCGCTGTTCGAATTGTCTCAAGCGTCGTTCAGTCTCTTGTAACGCCTCAACCACATCCACAAGGAAGGTTCCCTGCAACTCTTCACTAGCGAGATCACTCTCCCCTAACCCAAAGTCACAGCCTAGACACTTGCGTACAATGGTTGAGAACCTGGGCCCCATGCGATTTCGCAAGAGCGGTGCCTGAGCCAGCTTCTCGGCGGCATCATAGTCAGTTTGCCTCTGAGGAGGGAGTATTGACAGCGACCGATTTTGGAGATGTGGCCATGGTTGACTGTATCCCAGCTCGAGGAGGATTATGCCCAGGCGAAAGAGAATCGCGTTGCGGGCGAGTGAAGAGGGTGTCGGTGTTGGGAAGATTTGGGTATTGGCTTGGGGTGTGGTTTCAGGGCCTGTAGAGAAGCCGACCCGAAAGTATGGACTTGTTGAGGAGACAGAGCTGGCGTCCTCCAGTAGGTTCCCAGATCCACGAAAGAGCACCTGTCTACTCTCCCAAGTCTTTGGCAGCCAGGGTGTAGAGTGATATTGCAAGACAGCAGCAGCCAGTGAGCTGGCAAGATGGGCCATGGTGGTTCTTGGAAGACTACGAGTAAACTCGTCCTCAGATATCCAGGTGATGATTTCTGCCAGGGATGTCTGTTGCCCTGATGGATGCCGTTCTGGAGGCGGGAGATAGAAGTGATGAAGCCCGGCGTATGTGATGTAACCGACACAGTTTGATGAGCATATCGGTCTTGGGATCTGAAAGTGCCGACAGAGGTCTTCAATCATTGCAAGATCGATGATGGAATCCGAGTTGCTTGTCTGGCTGCTGTTGGCCGAACTCTCGGCATCAGGGCTTTGAGATGGCTTAGGACATGCTTGATGAGCATGCCCCGTTATCTTTTGTATCGTATGTTCCCAGTCGTTTTTCTCACTCGTTCCAGATTGTGTCGGCCTGCCAGTCTTTGAAGTTTGTGTGTCAACTGTTTCCACCTCTAGCCAGATTAGTGAGTCGGCTGCTTTAGCAGACCCAGCTTCGCTAGCAATGGCAACCTCGAATTTTATACTGTTCTCTGCGACCTTCGACTTCCCGGACTTGTCGAGATCAATAAGAGAGATGCTTGCGGCGTGTCTAGGATGTGTTGTGCAACACCATCTCTGAGCAAAGGTGTTGTATAGTCTAAGGGATGCTGACTGAATTTGCCGATACTTGTCAAGGTTCCCAGACGGACTTGCTCTTCGTTGTATGGTAGGCTCCTTAGTGGGTGTCATCTGTAGTTCCTTGAGCTCGCTGATGATCCGAGCCGTCAATTCGTTAAAGTCAGCTGTAAAGTCCCGCAACTCCTTGATTGAATCCTGAACCTCTCCCTTCCTCCAACACAGTCGGAATCGCTTCCGCAGTTGCTTCAGACTATCTCTTGAGGGGAGTGAGTCAACGGGCACCACGTTCGTTATTCGAAAGCTCTCCACCTCGAAACATATCGCCGTGACGGACAAGAGAACCTGATCAAGAGTGGCCTTCCAGGATGTAAATGTGTCTCTGAGTGACTCGAGGCGCTGTTCGCTGTTGATCGTTTCAAGCTTCAACGTCTCCCATGTTTCCTTGCTCCTTTCGGAGAGCAACCCGCGTGCCCTTTCTGGATCGTTTGTAATCGCTGTGAGGAGTTTTGTGATGTTTCCCCTGAAAAGGGTCTTTTGCGTATTGAGAATTGTATCCAATTTGACCAGTTCTTTTGAATAATGGCGGAAGGTGGTGAAGCCTTTTGAGAGGTCCCAGTAGCGATCGTAGGCCTCAAGCACAATGGGGACGCCAGCCAGGACCGTCCCGACGATGAACTCCATGATGAAGAAGGACTAAAAGCGTGATTTTCGTCAACTTGGAGACCACAAGATTAGAAACATTGCCATTCGCTGGTATGAAGAGGTTGAAATCGTATGTCTACAGTGGTGTTTCAGCTGATGCTAAGTGAGGGGTTGAGCGCAACCAATCACCCACCTCACGTGCCCAGCCCTTTATCCGCGGCTTGCGTGATAGGACTTCATCTCTGCTCATCCAAACCAGCAGCCGCATATTTACGCCAAAGGGGAAGGTCTCATCCACAAAGATCAGCCTTGTCTAATGGCACAAAGAGTTCTACAGTGAATTATAGCACTCCAGAGCCTTCCTTTTGTGTCCCTGCGACAGTCTCAAGCATGGGACCAACCCCTCCCGGCCATCCTCTGATTGACAGCTTATTTAATGCCATTTTGGACTCATGTGTCAATGCTTACCAAAGACTCACATCGGATGAGCAGTCGCGACGGCTACGCAACGAATCAGAGCGATTGTTTCTCTGGGGAGACGGCGTCTCTGCTAATGGTCAGCTGGGTATAGCCCTCCCTATGTCTTCTGAGCTTTATGAGACTGTTCTTTCGGCTCTTTATGAGCTTGGAAAGGTTGTCGATGTCGACCTGGCGCAGGTGATTGCTGCATCACGGCCAGCCGATCCTGTTGCAGACACTCGCAAGCTTCGGCTGCTTCTCGAAATAGCCGGGGCTATTCTTGGCCCACCAAGCGCGACAGAAGATTCTGAGAGTCTTTCAGATGACGAAAATGGCCCATACGGTTTGGAAGACGTTCTTGATGACATGGCAACATACATCAACTGCCTGATGGATCTCTCCTCCCCCCTCCAAAACATCCTTGTATACCCCGAGTCTATCCAGTCCGAGGCTACGTCGATTGAACCCGCCATCATTGAGCTGAATGAAATGAAGCCGACTAGTACTCGCCCTCCCCCTAGTTCTTCTTCTATCAACTCCTATCGCACCTTTGCGAGTCTTGAAAGGCCACGCGATCTGCCCCATTTCCAAGCAACAATGTATGAGTTGTTTTCCTTCCGCTCGTTGCTTACACCCTCTCACACTGGTATCTTAGAAGTCTATTCAAAGGCACTCCGCGGGAGTGCGTGGTTCACTTGGGCCCCTGGGAAGTACAAGAGTCAAAGGAACGTCGAGTCATTTGGCAAGGGGCGAATCAAAACGAAACTCTCGAGCATTACTGTGAGTTTGTTGATCTTTTGCACCATTCGGCACTGCCTAACCCTGATGACCGTAGTTCCTTCGAGCGAGCCGTCGGATCTTCACCCACATACACTCCATAACCGCCATCGGCCTTATAATGACCCTGCGGATGTGGAGCGATACATAACATTCCAAGAACCCCACCGCATCCGATACATTAACAATGAGGGAGTCTGCATGCATGACGAATTTATGGACGTCAAGTACGAGTTTTCGTCGGCCGAGTCCTCAGTGCAGTTTCAGGGAGATCTACGGCGAAAGGACCTCGTCGATTTCTATGACACGGATGTCGTCTGGACCAACATTCACGGCCGCACTAATAGCTTCGGCAACGTTAGGGGTGTGGCGACTCTCCAGCGGCTGAAGCTATGGAGAGATCGGTTGAATGGCCTCTATTCACTCAGTATCCATCAGAACAATGCCAGCCGCCAATATGTTAACTACAATCTGGAAGACTTTCGCGCGGTCACTATGCCGAGCGACAGGGCAAAAAAGCTACGGCTCGAGGCTTTGCACCAAGATGATGATAATGGTCGTCGACCGGTCACAGAAAATCGACGGCAGCTTGGAAGAAGGGGTAGCGAAGCTTCAGAATCCCGGTTGCAGAGACGGCCGACAGACAACATACGATACTTGGCGATTCAATTTTCAGAACGTACAGGTAATCTCCCTCCATTGTACCAATCTTATCTCTTATGAGTTACTGAAACCATCAGCGTACCAACGATTCATAGAGACGTGGCAGAACTGCCACAGTCTAGACAGCCCATCCAACCAGCTCCAGTTGCCATTACGGGGGCTCACACCCGCACATTTTCCCCAGGAACAGGCCGAAAGAGGCACAATGAGCTCGAACCCGGGGTCTTCCAATTTGACTGAGCCAACAGAAGCATCAAGTCGGCAAGAGTAACTACGAGGCTACGGGGAACACGGGTTTGCGAGGGTAAACAACAGGGTGTTACCAACAAGAGCTTCAACTAGACTCATTATTCATGCGAGAAGGGCCTTCTGCACCTAATCAACTTCAAAAGACTAATCCCAAATGGTATCTAGACTATGTAAACCGGAATACGGCTCGCATACGCATCACTCTTGCTAACCTGAATGTCCATCTTGTGGAACTCGTGCAGCTGCAGCCAGCACAGCATGCGGAACACGAGCGTGCACCAAATCTCGTTCACCTTGTCCTCAGACATCGGCTCTGGGGGCTTTACTCCGGCTTCTCCTGCTTTTCCTGAGTTGACTGAGCCCCTTCGGGCTCGTCTGGCCTGTCTCTTTTTGCTCTTGTCGTCTTGCTCTGTGAGGATCCGGGTCACGTTTTTACGGACGGTTTCAAAGTACATTTGCATTAGGAGGGGTTCCTTTTCGTTGACAAATGCGGAGTCGATGTCGTCAATGGTGATGGGTCCTTCCTCATCATCCTCGCCGTCTTTCTTGGCATTGTCCTTGGTGTTCGTTGTCTTGTCCTTTTCGTTGAGGAGGTTGAGCATCTCTTGGATGTGTATGCGCAAAACCTTTCGAACCAAGGAGAATTTAGCCGGCTGAAAGAACTCGTCACAAAGCTCAATGCCCTTGCGTAGGTGGCTGAGCTCATTAACAAGGTTCACACCGCTGATGTCTTCACTGATGTTGACAAGCGTAGACGAAGAAGCTCGTAGCTTGGTGAAGTGGCTGTCGTGGCTATCGGCCCACTCGAGGATATCGGCAACTTGCTTGCTGTCCTTTAGGAGCTTCTCGCTTTTAAGAATTCTCAGAGAAGTAAGAAATTCAGCCATGAGTGTGGGCATGGAGAAAGTGTTCGGGTCCCAGTAGAAGACGGTCGGGTTGGGAAGCATACGGAAGACGGTGTCTTCGACGTGGATGGTCTTTCCTACCATTCCTAGTATCTCGAACGGGACTGCACTGTAGTCAGTACTGGGCTGCTTAAATATTCACATGTCTAATAAAGGAAACTTACTGGGGAAAATGTGACTGTGACGGGCTTGATCAAGGTTCTTGCGGAAGTAGTTGACCGTGTTGATATCGCATCCAAACACCTCAAGAGTGTGTGCAATCTCCGAGAGGCTTCCTAGTTGCAGACTGCCAACGTCCTTGGGCTCATCGGCGTAGACCTTATCCTGCTCAGGTGCCAAAAAGATAGTCGGTGCAATGCCGAAGCAATACTTCTTGACGTCGTAGTTTGGGATGGCTCGGTTCTGCTTGAACCATGTCGGTCCTTGCTTCTGGAAAGTAAATGTGATTCCTAGGCCGTCGAGATATGAACCGTAGAGAACGAAGCCGTTTCCTTGCGCGCGGTATTGATCATTGTTGAGGTCGAATTGTCTCCAGTAGATACCCAGCATGGCAGCAATCTCAACCATGTGAGAGATGGTGGTGGTGGCATAAGGCTTTGACAGGTTATTGGGCATGCTATCCCAAGTGCGTCTCTTCCTCTGCATACAGACCACCATGGAGTGACGCGGATCTGGGGCCTTGGGAGGCGCCGTGTTGTTGCGGAGCTGTTTTGGTGCGTTCATCTTGTACGAGTCCTCCAGCTTGGATATTTGCCAGTCCCGTGATTCCTTTTCCATGCGGCAGATAGCCATCAGGAGGGCGTACCAGGTAGCCTTTTCGTTGTCGGCTGTGTGCACCACCTGCTGTTGGCTCTGCTTGAACTGCTTATCAAATTCCTCCATCTTGGATGTGTACTGAAAGTTATCCTCACCGCCGTCAAGGCGGATGATCTTTCTGTCCTTGTCATCGGTGAGCTTGTCGTCACCCAAGGGACCTTTGTGGTTTTCGGGCCTTGCGACAAATATGACAGGCACCTCAAACTGAACCTCGAAGCGGAATTCGGTCCAGAGCATCTGTCGGCGAGCAAAATTCGCCCATTTCCCTATCACGGCTGGACTGCATGACGAAAAGCCCGTAGCAGAAGCAAAATACTGCTGGAGGGCTTGGAGGATGGCGATGACGAAGGCGAGAACCGAGATGACCAACGCCACGACAGCGACGATGAGCTCGGTGTTGTCGTCGCCATTACCTGAAGAAGTCGGCGTCGGAGAGCCGGTCTCGGAAGACATAGTTCAGAAACTTAGATAGAGCCAAGGTTTGGCGTCAACGGTGACATTCCAGTGACGAAAGGAAAAAAGGTTGTATTCAAGGTAAGAAAAGTCTTGGAGGTGGGGATGTTTAGGTTGAAGGGCCAACACCACCTTCGCCTCGTCTCACCCATGTTACACACCCCTTTGTAATTACAGCTGCCGACCCCGTTGGCCAATGCCCCCTAGACGCCTGTTCGCGCAGCGAGCTGAACGGGGCTGAGCAGAGCAGGGTATCCGTTGACCAATCATGGACGAGACTATGCCGCCTCAAGTGTGATTTCTGGTGTTTGGGCGTCAGCAATCGACAGGGGGTCATGTCGGTTACCTGGCTTGACTGGTCAAATGCCCAATCAAGACTCCGCTTGCTTACTGCGGCTGGAAAGAATGCTTCAGGGATGTGCAAGCGACTGGCTGATGGCTCACGTCAGTGTAATCCAGGGCTGAACGTGCTGTCAAACATGCCGCGTTGAAGAGCCTCAGAATCTGCCTTTCGCCAGTGCCGGGTCTATGGAAACGTTGGCCATGGTTAAGGGCTTGACGCACACATTATCTCCAGTACTCAGGTAGAGACCAACAGAAAGAAAATTACACTGTGAGGTAACTCGGTAGCCTTCCCACCCAGGTTTCCTCAGATTCAACCAACCAGGGCGCTGACAGCCTCCTTGAGATCATCCCACAGCGACCTTCCTTCTACCTGGTCATTGATCTTCTTAGATAAGACCATAATTTCCATCAATATTCCTCTCTGTTCGTTGCTCAGAACCACCATCTTGTCGAGATCCACGGACAATCCTTCCCACGCCAAGCCGATTCCCCTAAGAGTACCTTTCAGGCTGAGAGCACTTAGTCTTTCACTCGACAGTGTCCTGTGCTCTTGATACCACCTGAGATCCTCATCCGCCAAGATTTCCTCTACCCTTTGGACTATGGAATATACCAGGCGAATATGCCGCTCCAGCGCCGCACGCATCTGGAGAACAGTCTCAAGATACTGTACTCGAAGGGGCAGGAAACGTCGCGGACCATCTCTCGCTTCCTGAACCAGGATTTTCGCCTTTTTGACTCTGTTATTATTGATGGATTGTTGATTGGCGAGTGTGTGTTGGAGCGGCTGCATCTTAGACAGACAGTCTCGCCACTTTGACAGGATTTCTAGCACTCCCTCTTCGAGAACGGTCTCCATGGAGTGATGCTCGACGACGTTGTCCAGTTTGGCATTCACTATGGCTACCGTAGGATGTTCGTCTCCGAGTTTCTTTGCTCTCTCTGCAGCCTCATGTATAATCTTGATACCTTCATCTGCATTACCCATCAGAATTGCAACATCCCTTCCGTACGTCGCCGCATTTTCGATGGTGTGGGGGTGTTGGTAGCCAAGACTAGCTTCTGACTTTTTGAGACGTATTTCTTGGACAAATAAATACTCGCGCCTGCACAATAACTCGCCGAGGAGCAGCTGAACCCTGAACAAATCGGTCTTGAAATCATCACCGGTCGAGTCGGTTAAGAACTTCTTGAGGACCTGTAATGTGTTCCTAAGATGGGGCACGAGCTGTAGAGCTACCTGGCGGTTGCTCCCAGTGTCTTCCTCTTTCAGAAGTTTCAACATCCTCGCAGTTGACTTGAAGAGAATTTTGCAGGTCGAATTGGCGTACGTGCTGAAAGTTTCGGGTTCTTTGACCCCGATCCTGCTGAAAGCCCAGGCATGGACCAAACTGTGCATCGAGTACGCTCCTGTGGTCGCGTCCCGTTGGAGCATGGGGTATTTTTCCAGGATTGAGAAACATTCCTCGAGGTCATTTACGCTTCCGACCTTCAATTCAAGGTCTTCGCACCAACTGCTGTGGGTGTCTTCTCTCTGAGGCCATGCCCAAGTCAAAACATCAAGGTAGATGGCTTCGTTGCCAAAAAAAGCTGAGCAGACTGAAGATGCGGCATGCGTCCGGCAACTGGTTATGCACGGCGATGTACGAGGCCTCCCAGGTAGACATCAGACTCCGTCCATACATGTCGATCAACTGCTGAGGCTCTTGTCGTAGGAGTTCTTTGCGTTCTCGGTGCTCCTTGAGATACCCAGATAAGTCTGAGGCGAGCCTTGGTGTCCGGGCCACATAAGAACCAGCGATGGTAAGGGCCAGGGGCAGATGGCCTAATTCTTCGGCTATGAGCTCTGCCTGCTTCCTTATCTTTCCAGTTGCTCCCTCGATCTTGGCACAAGCTAGGAAAAGCTTCACGGCTTCTGGGGGCTTAAGAGTCCGGATTTCGATGCCATCATACGTGGAAAGGTCTCTGGCCATGGAACTTCGGCTGGTAATTATGACGTGAACATTTTTGCCTCTGGGGATGTAGTTGGATATTCGGATGAAATTGTCGTCCCTTTCGCTCAAGCCGTCGGCTTCGTCAAACAAAAGAAGCCAATTGCCAGAGTTTTGAAAGAACCACCTCAGCACTGCAGCTCGAACTTTCCCAGGGGGGGAATCTGGAGGTAGCGGGACGGGGTTGGGCAGCGTGCTGTAAATGTCTTGAAAACTTCGCTCGAGGGCTGCAGGGCTGATGGCATGGATCCAGAAAGTGGCATCATACTTGTTGCCGTACTCTTGCAAATAGGATCGGGCCAGCTGTGACTTGCCTGCCCCCCCAATCCCCAAATACCAACCTTCCGAGCCCCAGCCTGCCTGCCCTCCGACTCGCGGGTCAGTTGTGAACGAACCTCGTTGAGGAGACCTTTCCGAGGAACAAAGGTCTTGACCGTCTCCATGGAGAACTCTGGGTAACTGGGCACCTTCGCACTCCCTGGAACATCTAGAGATATGGTTAGTGGCTGTACTATTGAGTATGTAGGAAATAGATTTGTATTGCTATGGATCAGGATCTGCAAGGGTCTGATGAAACTACGCACTTGATGATGCTGCCCTCATCACAGCCTTGATGCTTCCGCAAACATTTTTGAAGACTCTATCGTCCTTGCTGGAAAACTTGACCATTTCCTGGCGATTTCTTTGAACCGGTTGGGAGTTCTCCTTGTCATATCCGGTAAGTGCAGACGCTGGGTCAACGACCTAGGAGACCCTATTAGCCTCGGTCACAGTTGTCATGTAGCCGAACTCACAATATCGCCAAGAGCTCCATCTCCGAAAGATTCGTAGTAGCTGTAGATGATGAGCTTCTGGTCTAGCCAGAGAGCGGTTCGCCTGAAGTCGTCGGTCAAGTCGTTGAGCTCATCGGAATGCGACTTTAGCGCCGAATCGAGCTTAGGCGGCACCTTGACAAAGGCTACTTTCGCGATGGCTTTCAGGACTGCCACTCGAGTGGCCTCTCCTGCTCTACTACCAAGGTGTGGAGTTCCGAAGAAGAACAACCCCCTGGTGGAGGTATAGATGAGGCGTTTGTCGCTCTCTTGATTGTGGAGCTCTTTGGAAGCAAGAAGGATAGCCTAAGATCGACGTTAGCAATGTGATACTGTCTGCTTGGATCCCTTGCGGAACTGACCTGCTTGATGACCAGGCCACCAAGACTGTGGCCCATAAAGATTATGGGTCTTTCCCGTTCCTATCACACTGTGAGTTAGAGTTCAGAAGAGGAAAAGGGTGAAAGGCTCAAAATACCTCATCTTCTTGTCTTTCCACAACCAAATCACTCAACAGCATCCTGCCAATATCCCTGATGCGGATCAAGTTATCGGCAAAAGACGAAGTCACGTCGGCATTGTACCCAAAGACCATAACACGAGCATTCTTGACCTTGTTTTTGAGCTCCCATGGCCAGAAAAACTTGCTGTCATGGGTCCAAGTGCTCTGTGGGTGGCCATTCAGACCATGCAGAATGACGATGCTGAATATCAGATGGTGGTTAGTGCGAGTTCTTTGGGGGGGCGTTATTACTCACTCAACCTCGCTGTTCTCGTCGCCATATAGGACTGTGATCCCTTCCCGTTCGATGGAGGGGACTGGGGGATCAGCAGCTTCCGCCTGTTTCGTATAAGCTTGGCTTGTTGGACAAGTTCGGTTTTCATACCATGCTGAGGAAGGGGGGCGAGGAGTAGGATCAAAGATTTATTCCATTCAACAACAGTAATGTTACAAATGAGGGATTTTAGATCTTGAGATGGGAGGGAAGAGCGGCTGAAAATAAGACGGCCTTTTGTTTCGGTCAGGCGCCTGCAGGAGGATATTTGTGGCGTTGCAAATCGCCTTTTCACGCGAATCAGGGTCTCGGAAACCACAGCCTGATTTGACTTGTGAGCATGGCCCTCTGTCACCCAATACGGGCTCAGCATAGCCGCGAAGCCAAGATGCCAAGGAGAGGGGCATGTCAGGAATAGAAACCTGGTCATTTTGATCTCCATTCATATGTGGAAGTCCCTTGATGCCATGGACTGGTAGCAGTTAAGCTGAAACTGGACAGCTAGACAGGTAGTATTTGGAAAGGTTGCTGCATGAACACCTACCAAGGCTGGATAGATGACAGGGTAATTCAGCTATGCCCAGAGTCAGCTATCTTGTTACTCATTGGCTGGAGATTCCAGGCAGCAGTATGTAGGTCATCACATCACCCCTCATCCCACTAACGCGAGGCCTAGAATCGAGCATCACGATTTACAACTTGACAATATGCCAACATCTTCTAAGACGTATCTTCAGAAGTCAGCTACAGAGTTGAAGGTTCTTGATAAATATTTATCTAGTCAAGATGTCGGCTCTTCCAGACTCGCCCAGCTCAGAATATACCTTTGGGAGCGACGACCCCGCCGATTACTGGGCAGAAGGGGACAGGCCTGAATGCAACATATGCCGCGACTTTAACCCAAGATACCTACAGCTTGATGATACTAGCAACATCCATTGCTACTCGAGCCTGTTGCGTTCATCAAGGGACGGTTGCGTTACATGCAAAATGCTGGAGGAAATCATCACTGGCCTCTACAAATTCGAGGACGCATCTACCATAGCCTTCAACTTCGCCGATGTAAGTCTTAGAGACATTCTTGGTTACTCAAGGAGCTAGGTTTATTTAACTCTTTGCCAGAACTACTTCGCGCTCTGGCCTATGCGGGATTCAAGCGTCCATATTGGGAGCATAGGATTGCACCAAGCATCTGGTAAGCAGAGAGAGCCAGACAAGCTGTACCCTGGTCGAAGTTTTAACATACTACAGACGCTCCTTTTCCATGGGGCTTAACATGCAAAGAAAGAATTTACCCCGAGAGTACAGCATCACAGGCCAGCCACTCTTGGACCGAAGACCAGCTTCAGACTTGCCTTACTGAGCACCCGGGATGTGGCGCTACCACAGATGACCCTCTGTTGCCTACCAGAGTGGTTGACGTGGGAATGAGGGGTAGCGAGACGATAAAGATCCTTGAAACAAAGGGTTTGCGAGCAAAATACGTCACGCTCAGTCACCGTTGGGGAGACCCGACATTGATGCCCACCAAACTCACGGCACACACTCGAGCCCAATATCTACAGGGCATCCCGTATGAAGCGCTTCCACGCACTTTTCGAGATGCTGTCACAGTAACAAGGAGTCTAAACATTCGCTATCTCTGGATTGACTCGTTATGCATTATCCAAAATGATGATGGTAAAGATACACCCCAGGATGAGCAAATACACCAAAAAGACTGGGAAAATGAGGCTAGGAGAATGTGCTCTGTGTATCAGAATTGCTATCTGACGCTTGCGAGCTTGAATTCCTCTGACTGCACGGGTGGTCTATTCTTCAAGAGAGACAAGGTCCTGATGGAGGGCGACAGTGACAAGGGCCGATATCACTTTGAGGCGTGTAGGAAAACCGTGCACTTCGCGACATCTTTCCCGTTACTACGTCGTGGTTGGGTAATGCAAGAATCCCTTCTCTCGCCAAGGACGCTATTCTACGGCAAAGAAGAGCTCCTCTGGCAATGTAGGACTCACAAAGTCTGCCAATGCGAGGGTTTCGATCGCCTCAGGGGAGTGAGCACCGGTTTTCAGAAGTTGCCCTCGGCGGAAAATGCTCGAGTCGACTTTACGCGCCCCAAGCTCATCAATACATGGTACGACATCATCACGGAGTATACCTCCACTTCCCTGACTCATGTCACCGACAAGTTAGTTGCTATCGAGGGCATCGCCAAGTACATGCAGCCCCTGAGGAACTCTGAGTGTCTGGCTGGGTTGTGGACTGACTCCCTTGCACTCGATCTTCTTTGGAACAGTGATGCTCACGATTATGGAGATCACGATTATGGAGAACCTACGAGGACGATCCAGGCCGATCCCAAAGGCAAAACAAGGTGGAGCTCGGGGAAATGGCTCTTCCCAACCTGGTCCTGGGCGTCTATCCAAGGAGATACAGGTTGGGATTGGACCAGTTATCTCATCACGGATTATTCACCAGACACTATTCTCATTCAGCACATTACTGACAGATCCTCGCCACCCAACGAGTTAAGATTGCGCGGTGTACTCGTTCCAAGCACACTTGGGGTGATACGAAAAGTCCTCAACTCCAGAGAACTCTACTGCCCCGATCTGAGAAACCAAAAGAACACTTTCGGTGCGGACAAGAGCGTAGAATGCTTGCGAGTTATTCATTCAGGCAGGGACTACGTTTCTCTTGCTCTTGTGTGTGTAGACGAAGAGAAGAAGCAATACGAGAGACTAGGGCTTCTTATGTTTCGATATTCTGGACATCCATTCTGGAAATGCCTTGAGGCAGAAACAGGAACAGAAGTGGAGGTACCAAAGTGGTGGGCACTTTCTGAAAATTGGAAGGGGGAGGAGGTCGAGATTACCTTGATTTAGAGTGCGAGTTGACACGCAAGTGGTGGACTCAGATAGGCTTCGTTTGCAAGTACGTAGGCAGAGACATTATCGACCCTTTTATGCAAGATCAATGGACACCAAGTGTGCAACAGTGCAATAGCCACGTTCATGGATACCTCTGAGACCCCTTCTTTGAGGTAGAAAACGCATGGGCTTACATTGGGTTTTCCAATACATAAAAACTGTGGCATTAATCACTCCAGTATGCCGGCTACGCCACGCATCGTCAAAAGCCTTCATAAAAAAAGTGCTAAACTTGGTCGTTTGCGAACGTCCTTGCAACATAATAGATCGCAACAGTAGTGAGTGCTTCCGGCTAGAACTCGACGAAGTGGCAGTTAGAGTAGAAGCGTAGTAGACCAACACTAGAGTAGATTTTAGTCATTCCTTTGGCGATTTGCTATTTTTCTTCTGTGGTTAAAGAACCCGCGGTATAATAGAAAACACACTTCGGCATCGTAAAAAAAAAAGGATGGAAGATGATTTTAACACAAGCCCAAGCAGTTTGTGATTGGAAATTTGTCGGTACAGCCGAGGTTGTCGGTTTTCGGTAACATCATCATTGAAGCCCCATCAAGTTTCAAACTATGCGAAATCCTGGTAGTTCCTTCACACCGCCTCATGTCCATCAGAGCAAAAAAACAGATGATCGAAACTTCCCGTCGGACTTTTGGAATAATTCGTGCCAGCGAACGGCCGAGGCAGAGCCGCAGGGGAGAGTGCGCGGTCGTCGAGCGGCCACTTGAGAGGTGGCTGATCACAAATACATTCCGAACCATCTTTTCGCGAAGGATGATGCCCTGTCATCGAGTGCAAGGCCAGAAAGTCGGGTCACCGTGACGAATTCAGGGCGTTCTCACATAACAACTCCGAACCTTGACTCTCAACGTCATCGGTTTCAGAGAGAGACGTGCGGCGGCTGCAACAGGAGTAAACGAGGATATATAAGACAATCACTACTCCCTATTTTGGAACGGTCGTTGTAGTATATTCAACTTTAGAGAAGAACAAACACCAACAGCATGCCTACCTTACGATCTGCCGTCTACACCGCTGCCCCAATCCCTATTGCCAGCCGTCCCGGGGCGGTTTGGTCCCCAATCTCCTGTACCCTGATTTATTCGGAAAAGGAGGCTGTACTTGTGGATACTCCCATTACGACTCAACAAAACGAGGATCTCGTCAAATGGATTCATACGATTGCTCCAAACCGCAAGCTATCTTATATTTATATCACTCACGGCCACGGTGACCACTTTTTTAACATCCCTATTCTCCTTAAATACTATCCTAAAGCGATCCCTCTTGCCACGGCGGCAACGATCAAGCATATGGAACAGCAGATCGAGGAGTCATTCTTCCAAGAGCAATGGGAAACCCGATTCCCTGGACAGATTCCTCGACCATTCACGCTTGCAAAAGCACTAGCCGAAGATTCAGGGTTAAAGTTCAAGCTTGAAGATCAATGGGTTTTCCAGGCAATCCTCTGCGGGCACACAGACACTTACGACTCAACCATTCTATGGGTTCCGGATTTAAGGCTTGCAGTTTGCGGAGACGTCGTCTACGGCCAAGTTCATCAGATGCTCATGGAGGCAAATACAAAGGCGAAGCGACTTGAATGGATTCGGGCGATCGAAAAGGTGGAGGCCTTAGATCCCGTCTATGTGGTTCCGGGGCACAAGCAGGCTGAAGAGATTGACGGTGTCTGGCATCTCGCCGCGACTAGACGATACATTGAAGACTTTGAACGAGTCCTTGAGAGGGATCCTCAGGATATGGCTGAGATCGTCTCGCAAATGGTTGCACTTTACCCATATAGATTCAATCCTGGGGTAGTGAAGCTGAGCGCGATGGGAGCATTCATGGTTTCGAAGGAAGCTCGCATTTGAAATCATCAAACTAGTAAAGACTCTGCGGGTGGTTGCGAATTATAACCTCTACTCAGTCTATCAATAAGTAGTACGAAACAGACATGGATTTCTCCATCGTCCTGGGACTGAACTTGGGCACGGAGCGACTGCACAGGTAATCGATCTGAATAATCGGAGACAGGGAAAAGCCCAAACGTGATCACAGGAGTTTTTTTTTAATAATGTTTCCGCCTTGGCTTGTCTACATCTCCTGGTGCTTACAATTCATCGTAGTGTCTACCTCGGCAGGCTCATTCAATTCATGTGAGAAAATCCGCGTCGGCAGAAGGAAACCTGATTACACCTCTGTCGCGTATTCACCATTTACCACGTGTCAGATTCCAACTTAGTGCCAACCACTCCAATTGTAGCAAATAGGGCAGTTATAGTCGGGGTCATACGACTCTGAGGCATTGGCACCAGTGTGAACTGTATAGTCCCTTGGGCTGTATTTGGCGGCTATCACTAATCATTTTGTTCACTCGGAATTCTTACAGAAGATATCCATTATAACTTACCACCCCTGCCAACCCTAATACAATACCTAAAAAGCCGACGGCCCATAGACCGAGAATGCCAAGGAAACTCTAAATATTCAATCCCTTTTCAGGGGTTAGAGTAAGCGATAACGTTATTTGACCGGCCAGTTACCGAAAGGAACCCGCCTGTCCCCTCGGCAAATCAGTAAGATGGATCCTCCAGCAGGTCACTCACTGATTTGTCATGAGTTCCGTATTTTTGGCCTACATCAAGATGGCAAAGGTATTAGATATCATCCCGTCATGAGCTTCAAAGACTACTCTACAATCCCCTCAGCCCTGAAGCGATGAATTCGAATTCCGATTACGAATATATACGAAATGCCATTGCGCTCTGCTGCATCGCATTTGATTCCAAAGAATGGCAACCACTCGAGCGTTGCTTCACCAAGGATTGCATCATGGAATACCCGCAACCGATCGGCGTGACGACAGGCTTGACAGCATACACCGATAGGCTTCGCACCACCATTGGGCATGTCGATACGCAACACGCCTTGACGACTCAGATCATAAACATGAACGACGCCATATCAGCAGAAACGACAACCTACTGTAGGGCAATACATTTCCTAGGGGGAAAGTCATTTTTCGCAGTGTCTAGATTTGACGACAAGCTTGTCAAGGTTTCTACCGAGGGGGTCGATCGATGGCAAATCAAGGATAGGAAGGTCACGACGATGGGTGTACCGCGAGGAGATTGGTCTATACTGGGATGAGGTGGCGCATTATCGCGATCAATAAATTGATGGGATAAGAGCTCAAATTGATGACCATGGAGAATGCTGCCAATATCGCCTGCAGCTTATGCACATGAGTATTTCCTCTTCTCAAGGTGACCGAATTGTCTGCCGGCAACCGGGACTTGGCCATTCGTATTGGGTAGCCCCCTTCTTCACGACGACCTTAAAACCTATTTCCCTCTCAAAGAAAGACGATGGCCCCGATTGCAAACCCAAAAACAGTAATCACCGAGCCTCGCAGAACCTGGCCAGCATTGGGGGCGGTTGTTGGCGTAGTTGCCTCGTTCTCGGCAGTAGAAGCTGCGTTTCCTGCCGTAGATTCTTCGCTTTCAGCAGATGAAGCCTCGTTGCCAGCAGTTGAAGCCGATGACCCCTCAGTAGTCTTTTCAGCCTCGGCGGTAGAGGCTTCATCCTCGGTAGCGGTTTCATCCTCAACAGAGGTTTGCGTTCGTGTCGACAGGGTGGCGGGGGAGGTAGTCGCAGCAGCGGATGTTGCAGTCGAAGAGTCAACTGCTGTTGTGGTAGAAGGGCTCGACTCACTAGGCTCCGTCTCAGCAGGCTGAGTATCGGTTTCAGTCTCTACTTCTGCCTCGGTGGTGGGTTCCGCCGCAGAAGTGAAACCTTCTGCAACGGTGGCAAAGTCCTTCCAGCACGAGAGATAAGAGACGGTGCGAACTTCGGTTCCAGTGTATCCATCGCAACCAGGGTTCTTCTTGGGAGGAGCTCGACCGCCACCGCAGTCGAGGGGGTCGCAAATCTGACCGTCTTCAGGGTCGTACCAGTGGACGATGCCATCGTCGCAAGTGGTGAAACTGTGCGTGTTGCAGCCAATGCCTGCTGCAAGCTTGGCCAGCATAAGCAGCGGAACGACGGATGAAATAGTCGGTCGGATCATGTTGATGTTGATGTTGTTTAAAAACGAGTGACTTATAAACGATCGTGTTGCTAATGAGAGTGCTCGAGATCCCTCCAGACTAAGCCCAAAGATTACAGCAGGAATCCAACGTGATTAAATAACCCTTTTATGATCAGAGAAGCAAGGATTCCAAGACTTGGCCGCGTGAGTCAATGACGTTTTAATTTAATCAAGTGAAGGATGCGGAGGTAGCATCGCCGGAAATTGAGCCACACAACCCACATGCTGTGCCGTAGAACGCAACATAAACAGAGCTTGGGTCACGTATTGGCACCACCAACGGTCTTGAATGGCTCGGCTCGCCAATCGAACATGCCGTCGTACGACTCCAGAAAGGGAAACCGCCGGATCTAATGCGACATTGAAGAATAGGGGCTTTAATACGGCCTTGTAGGGCTGCGTTGGGCATGGTCTGGAACAGCTGACGACATAGAGTTTATTTATTTATAGACTCTTGATTAAAAGGCATGACTATTAGAGAGAATCATCCGAAATGAGTGATATGGGGCGATATCTTATCAATCTGGGCATTATAGCCTACTTTCCAGGGAAATGCTAAAATACCTCACTATCAGAGAAGAAGAGTAACTCAATCATGCCTAACATTTCTCCTTCCGTCTTTAACCCTCTATGGATAAAATGACAATTTTAGTTGCAAGAACTTGATTAAATGGACCGGTCAAACAAGTATATACTTACCTGTTGTCTTCTCATGGCAAAGAGGCCGGCCATTAGGGCCATAGCAAAGAATAGAGTTATAAGGATGCAGCAAGAGAAAGACCTCCAAAAGAGAAAATAGAAAAAACTTGATTTCAGGGTTTCACATTCCTGCATGTCTAACAACACTGTTTGCTTAAAGGTTACCCTATTGCCATCGTTGGCTTACACGGGTTTGGGCCAATCAGCGTGGCCGTATTCGCATGACTCACGTTCTGAAGCAAACGCTCCGGTCACTCAACCTGCCACTGTTGATACGACAACGCGGTCTTTTGAACCCAAACCACATATATTGCTAGTTATATCTTTGAATATCCCTTTCGAAGAGATTCATCACTTCAACTTTACCTTTTGAAGCACAATTCCAAGTCAAAAGTTAATCAATCTCGGGACCTTCCGGCACACGGACCATACCTTATTCGGCCGTGCCCCTGACCACTTTTTCTCTATCCTTCCGATCTCGGCCGGACCATCTTTCTGCCGGCGGGGTGCCGAGTCCGGCTCTTCTTCTCGACGAGGGGCACCAAGATTTTTCCACGCAACAAGCCAAGCAAACATCATGGCATCCGAATCCACGCATACTGAGTCACAAGTATACCTCTCTACGAGGGGCGGCGACTATGGTGTAGGCTCCCTTGACGCGCCGTGTGCCATTGGCACTTTGCTGACCTCTCCAAGCTCTCCTTCGAGACCGTTGTCCTGAAGGGATTGGCTGCCGATGGCGGCCTTTTCCTGCCCCATGAGATCCCAGCTGCGAAGGACTGGGTACGTATGCCATTTTCTGCGTTGCGCGACGTCTTTTCATGGCCCTCAATGGCTCGCGATCCGATTTTGAGTGACTAATGACTAACAATTGACTCCAGGAAAGCTGGAAGGATCTCTCCTACACCGACCTCGCTTTCCAGATCTTCTCCCTCTACATCTCTCGCAGCGAAATCCCCGCCGACGACCTCAAGGCCATCATCGAGCGAAGTTACTCAACATTCCGTGCCAAGGAGGTCACTCCTTTGGTCAAGCTTCAGGACAACCTCCACCTCCTCGAGCTCTTCCACGGACCTAGCTACTCCTTCAAGGATTGCGCCCTGCAATTCCTTGGTAACCTTTTCGAATATCTTCTGGCCCGAAAGAACGAGGGCAAGGAAGGACGAGGTGCGCAAATTGAAATATTTGGCAGCATGCCGAGTGTATTCTGGCCAAAACAGGAAATTCTGACAACCGAGTAGACAGACACCATCTGACCGTTGTCGGTGCGACAAGTGGCGATGTGAGTCACTACGATATTCGAGATTGGTGATCAAAAAGATACTAATAGTTCTCTAGACTGGATCTGCCGCTATTCACGGTCTTCGAGGCAAGAAGGATGTGTCAGTAACCATCCTACATCCTAAGGGCCGTGTCAGCCCTATCCAGGAGCTTCAGATGACAACTTGCACCGACGCCAACGTTCACAACCTGGCCGTGACAGGCACTTTCGACGACTGCCAAGTAGGAATTACGCGATCCGAGACGAGACCCGACACTGACATTACTGCAGGACATCGTCAAGGCTCTGTTCAGCGACCCCGAGACGAACAAGGACCTGAAGCTTGGAGCCGTCAACTCGATCAACTTTTCCCGAATCCTTGCCCAGATCGTCTACTACTTCTACTCATACTTCACTCTTGCGAAGCAGAACCCCGATTTCAAGGTCGGCGACAAGGTCCGCTTCGTTGTGCCAACCGGAAACTTTGTGAGTGCGCTTTCCACGACCGGTAGTATTTCAACTCATAGGTTCAAATAGGGCGATATTCTGGCTGGTTACTTCGCGACCCGCATGGGTCTTCCTGTTGACAAGCTTGTCATTGCCACTAACGAGAATGACATCCTCGATCGATTCTGGAAGACCGGCCGATATGAGAAGCATGTTGCCCGAGGTGCCGAGGCTGAGGGCGGTCTGGAGGTTGACGGAGTCAAGGCTCATGAGGATGGTGTGAAGGAGACTCTCAGCCCCGCTATGGATATTCTGGTATCCAGCAACTTCGAACGACTTCTCTGGTTCCTCGCCTACGAGTTCGCCGCCACCGTTGGCATGGATGTTGAGTTTAACCGAAAGCAAGCAGGTCAGGAGGTCAGCGCATGGCTCAAGGACCTGAAGGTTAAGGGAGGCTTCGGGCCCGTCTACCTGGATGTCCTCACCAGCGCACGAAAGACTTTCGAGAGCGAGAGAGTCAGCGACCCCCAGACTCTCGAGACTATCAAGGAGATTTACGAGAAGGTCGGATACATCCTCGACCCTCACTCTTCGGTCGGTGTCACCGCTTCCACTCGATCTCTGCAGCGAGCTGGACCCAACGTTCCCCATATCTCTCTCTCTACCGCCCACCCCGCCAAGTTCGCCGGCGCCGTCGAGCTTGCTCTCAAGGACGAGAAGGACTTTAACTTTGAGGAGAAGGTTCTTCCTGAGGAGTTCGTCGGTCTTGACCAGAAGCCCAAGCGTGTTTCTGATGTTAGCAACGATTGGAAGGCCGTGAGGGAGCTGGTCAAGGAGCAGGTTGAGAAGGAGCTTTCGGGTCAGCACTAGAGCATGATCTTGAATGGTGTTGTTTGAATTTTGTGCCAATTGAATCAAAATGGCGGGCGATAGACTAAAAAAACCACTGTTTTCTTTGTTCATTCCTTAAAGGTGTCTTGCGTAAACCATACATACTGCGCAGCAATGCCTGTCCTAGCCCTGCCTTTACCCGACACCTGTTACAGACTAGTACATACAAATACCATAGCGGTGAAAGAAGATCGCATATCTATATGTTTCGCCTCCCGTGCTTGGAGCGGCAACTGGTGAAGGAACCTCCACGGCGAGGCGTTTTCTTTCACCAGCCCCAGCATTTCCAAATCCGCCTCGAGGACGCGCATACAACCAATCAGAATTTCCGAAATCAGTCGTGGCGTCGCTAGCCGCATGTATCACCACCACGTGGTAGAGGCTTGAACATCGTCTGGTCAATGGTGGATGAAGTCCAAGCTTCCTTGCTTTTGGAGATATTGTTTATAAGCGCCATGGACCTCGACTCCTTGTTGATCCTCGGTCAATTCCGAAGCCAAGATTCAACACCATCATCATGAAGCCAATCACATCTACCTCTTTGCTGTTCCTGTTAGGGCTTGCCTCGTCGCTCGCCCAAGATACCACGCAACCATCGCCTGACACAGTGTCTCTGACTTCAGCATCAGGTGCGGCTTCAACGACTGGGATCAGCCCTGAAATCGAAAAGAATCGCGCCGAATGTTTCCAAGACTGCTACAGAAAGTACGGAAGCTTTCCTAGCTGCTCCCTTGGCAAGGACAAGTTCTTTGAGTGCTGGTGCGGCGAGGATGATTGGGTAGAGAGGGAAGAGGACTGTGTGTGGGATGTGTGTGGAGTTGATGCCTACAACAGTATGTGACAAATGCTCTAAAGTCAAGGTGATAGGAGGCTGACTGGTTGACAGGTTATGGCGACATACAAAGGAGCCTTTGCGCAAAGGTCGAAACTCCCTCGGGCAAGGCCTCTAAGACGGCGACTTTAGTAGGACTCTTGCATCCTGACATCCTGACATGTTGCAGAGAGCTAATCATCTATAGACCTCAACCGAAGAGCAGCCCACCCAGACCTCCGCTGGTTCTGAGACGACAAGCTCTGCTTCTACTCAAACGGACTCATCGACTTCCGAAACTGGCAGCAGTTCCACGTCTAGGACTGTTTCCAGTAATAGCTCCACTGCAACCCAAGAGGAGACAAGCCAAGCCACCCAAGAACCAAATGGCAGCGTGGCTGGCTTGACTTCTGGTGCCAAGGCAGGACTGGTTGTAGGCGTCACGTATCTTGTTTTGATGATTCTCTAGAGGCCGGATAGAACCCCAATATCCATAATACAGTGGATACATAGGATAATAGTACCCGCAAGCATAGAATCGCAAAATCACTCAGGATAGTCGTGTATAGATGTTGGATATTTCGCTTACAGACCGCTGTCTCGTTTCGTGGAGGTCTTGTGGGTGCTGCGATACTTCTCTGAGGCAAAACCTTCAAATCTCCGAGAATGAAGAAAAACATATTCAAATTTAGTCATCCTACAGCGCCTTTTGAAGTCCTTCATGTTTGACTACCCATCCATCGTCCTTGGGAAACCCTGGGGCATCTCCCTTGGAGCCATCCCACCCCTCCGCCATGTAAGCGACTATTAAAGTCGTCAGCTTCAGCATATCATAAAATCAACGAATGTCTTACCTGCTAGAAGGAAACCCGCGTTTCCGGGCATGAATGGCGGCGGCGTACCTCCATCACCACCTCGAATTGCGAACCCTAGGGTCCAAAGTCAGATACAAGTTACCCTCGAATAAAAGAGTCAAAGGATCACTTACCCGCATCATCAAACTTCCAATAGTCATAAGCCGTCAAATGGTAAATGGCTCGTTTCGGATTCCCAATTCTAGCCGAGTTGATAGCCAAGATAGGCCGTCCCCATCCTCGAATATTCTGGTCCGTCCAGACTTCCCAAACCTTGTCCGCCGTCCGACGAGCTACTTTCTCGTCAACTGCGGGTGTATCAGGGAGGATACCCTGAAGCATGATGAGGCTTCTGGGATCCCGGTTAAGAGCTGGGTCTTCCCACCACGAGGCGTTCAGGCCATCGTAAACAGCGTAAAGGCCGTTGATTTGGGTTGGTTTGGCGAGGTTCTTGGCTACTGTTGTCCAATGTTTGGGAACAGGGAGACCGAGTTTCTTCTTCCACTCGCGGGCAACGTCAAGTCCGTATCGCCAGTATGCTACTTCATAGGCCAGGTTGAGGGTAGCAGCAGCAGGTGTGTTCTCAGTAACACCGATGGAGCTGGAAAAGTCAGTTCTTTCGTCCCAAAATGTCTGATAGCGAGTACTCACGGAGGTCCAAGATCGTATTTGCCAGAAGATTTGTTGAACCATGCGTAGGACGCCATGTAGTCCGCACTAGCCTCGAGTATAGGATCCCATCTCTTCAGCGTCTTTCGAGTTGGCTGAGACTTGTATGCCAGCATGGCCATATACATAGGATGAGGCTGCTGCCACAACAGGTAGGCGTTAATACCACCGGGCGAGCTTCTGCCAGTGATGGTCTCTGTCATCTTGGGCCAGCGGGCTCCTTCCCAACCCATACCTGCAGCTCTTGCAAACGAGGTCGGCAGAAGCTTTTCATAAAGAGCGGGAAAAATGTTGTGGAAGAACTTGTCGCGACCCCATGAGACCCAGTGAGCGTTGTGCCAAACAACCATTTCCATGTGGAATTTGCCTATCAGGGTTAGAAACAATCAGTATTCAAGGCATACTTATACATACCATACCACCCGTTGTTCATCAATCCACTCTCCTGGGGAGACTCGCCAGTAGCTGCACTGTTAACGCGCACATGATACTGAGACGTGACGATTCGTCGTTGGAGCTCGGTTGCGTTGGGGTTGGTAGACGCAGTCAAATCGACAAAGCCGCCCTTCTTCCAATATTCGTGCCACTCAGCCGAGTTTCGCTTCTTGATTGTAGAAGGAAGATCAGGGACTTTCTTCTCAGGAGAGAAGTGTGCTGTGAAAGAGATTGTTGAACCGTCATCTGGAGACAGGATGTATCGGTGAGCTGTAATTGCGGCAGAGTCCTCGGACTCGAGTCTCTTTAGCTCAAGGGGCGTCTTGTTTGGCCAACGCAAGTTGACGTAGTACTTTGGACCCAAGTCGTGGTGGATGTGCGCCGTGTCCTTCTTGGAACCTCGGACCAGCTTTGTAGTGTGGTTCGCGGGGAAGTCGTAGACGCCAACAAAGACCTCATACTTGTACTTGGTGGTATGAATAGGCGGATAAGGAAAATCAAATTCGACCTTGAGCTTTCCAGAGTCAATGAGCTTCGACTCTATTTCAAATGTCACGGCGTCCGAGTCAAAGTCGCCCTGCGTCACGACTTTGACCTTTGTGCCATCTACCGTAAAGGTTGAGGTGATGACACCGCTCCAAAGGTCCAGCTCCTGATGGGTATTTGAGATCTTTTCAGCGGCTAGAGTGGCGTCTTTGTATCGAAGTCCAATACGACCCAGGTTGATTCGGTTTGGGTTTCCGATGAGCCACTGAGATACATCTGGCAGGTTGGGATCCGGAATGTCGTAGGAGACGTTGCGGCCATGCGTCAACTTTGGCACCCCAGTGTACGCATCAATTGGTCTATCGCCAGTCAGTACCATATCTCTGGGTTGCATTTGATGAAACGCACGCCTCTTCTGGTTCAGTGTCATTGTGCCATGCCCACACAGACATGGTGTTGAAAGGAAGGTATGTCTGCATGCCAGTGGTATCTACACCAAAGGCAAAGTTGCCATTGCCAACTTGGAGAGGGGTAGTCTCATTGTTGATGAGTTTGGTTCGAACGATGTTATTCTCTGTAACAATTCGTTTCCTTACGATGTCAGCTGTGTTTGACGTCAACAAAGGGGTGCTCACCTGTCAATGGCTCCGAGAGCCAATGTCGGCAACAAGAGCAAACAGAGTCTCTTCAAAGCCGCCATTTCTGCTACCATGCCTGAAAGCTTCACCTGCCGTCACTATTCCCGTGGCGGTCTGGCAATTTATCCTTAAGACCCCTGTCTCGCCGTCCCACTCAAAATCCGGGGTAAACCACGCCGAGCATTCACCACAACGGTGAACCCGGACACCAATACCCCGAAGGTTGACTTCGGTTCCCATGATCTCATGAAGATCTCGTCTGACAAAGCTGTGGGGGTCCAAGCTAAAAACCCGGGGTAGTTGTGTTTCCGCCAATTCGAGTGCTGCCCGCACTTTAGAAAGGTTGTGATCTGCGTGCATTTAGCCGACTGGGATCCTTCTGGTGATGGGGTTTGGGAATAGCCGGGTATTAAGGAATGGGGGCAATGGTTCAACTCGGGCTCTAACCGAGCTCGGTTGAAAGAGGATCGTGCTCGTTCATGCACCTCGTTCTCGTGGGATTGATGATTAGACATTGGTTAGGCGATCGGCCCAGAAAGTTCAAAGTTTGTGTATCTCCCCTGCTGCTGCAACTCTTGAGCTCTTATCGACAAACTGTCCGTGTTCATTTCGATTCCAGAAGGCACAGTCTGTAGAGTCTTGTCCGCCAACGGGAGAGAGTGCTCGATCAAGAAACGCACCATCCAGCCATCCAGTCGGTGCGTGTACTCAGCCGATAGTAGACAGACATTCTGGAAGGTGACTAGTCGCGAGATCTGATACTGTCAGTATTAGAAGTTGTCTCAAAAGTCGATATATACATACCATGGAGGTTGTGTTAGCCCAGTACTGCTTGAGCTCCATCAGAGCAGCAAAATTCGAGTTGAGATCCCTTCGAGCGTTTGCCAATTCATTCTCGTCGCCAAATAATAATGTGTGCAAGAGAACTGAAGAAGAAACCACCGCCATATGGCCAACCGTCGGGTAAACGGCCTCGCAGCCTTCAGACTCTCGAGCCGTGCGAAGAAGCGCGCTGTAAGCCGATGCATGATGCTTGCAGCGAGAGACGCAATTTTGTCCAAATTCAGTAACAGAGTTTCGAGCCTCGAGGTACCGAAAGTAGAGAAGCGTTGAGTAATGATGGTAGCCCAAGTGAAGTCCAACAAACGGCCCTCCGGTCCCCTTTGTCTGATGAAGGCGAAAGTTTTGATCCGTCTCCTTGGCGTCGGTGGGAAGCATCTTTTCCCAGAGATCCAGCTTCTGAGACAGTTCAGCTGCTGTGCGGTCAAGTTCCCAGCCATCGAAACATCCCTGGGCACTTTGTCGGTTGAGATCTTGTATCGGACCAAAGTGCTGAACGAGAGAGATCATGTGTGCCCAGAGTCCTGGCTTCCAGGTGCCTTCATGCCTGGTTAGGTGTTGGGGCAGCGAATGAAAGACACTCTCATCCATGGGTAGATCAATGTTGCCACCGAGATCCTTGATCTGACGAGGGAGTCCGATACCAGCCGAAGACCAACGGTCGGCCATGAATAGTGACCACCAGACTCTCCTTTCAATCTCACGCTCCACTATCGAGCCTGTTGATGTCGGGGAATTAAGACGCATGATCTGTGCCATGCTATTTCCAATGCCTAAAAGCTATCAGCGACCACAAGTGTGAGTTGGGTGGATGACATACGAAAGTACAAGGCCTCTGATGAAGGATTCCCATGACTTGCACATAGGTTCGCAATGAGTATGCAAGTCTGGATATTCTCGAGGCAAATGTTTTCTAGGTCGGCTTGAAGTAGGCGCTTCGATTCATCAAGGAGCGATAACTCCATATTCTGGACTTGATAGTCTGCCGAAAACCTGCAGCCCATACTGCAGAGGGAAAGAAGTAAGGCTCTATTGATAGTTCCATCGCGTACACTGTCTCGGATAGTAGGTAGATGGAAGATACTGTGAGGTCGATCATGGATCTTGAGCAGGTAATATTCGACAAGTTCCTGGGCCAGTGAAGGTGTGAGCTCGGGTGTCGGTGAAGACACAGACTCCTGGGGCGGGCTCAGTTGAGCTTGGATTGGCGGCTTGGGGAGGATGTTGGTAGAATCGCGAGTTGCTCCGCGAATCCCGCACCTCAACTGTCTCTTCTCGCATGTCACGCACGCTTCACCGGCACCTCGGCGGATGCACCGGCGTTTCGCCTCCCGGCATTGCTTACATGCCGTGGGTGGCTTCATGCTTCGATCTGCTGAGGTAAGAGGGCATAAGGCAAAGATGTATGATTGACAATGATCCACACACAACTGAGGAGTGGCCTGGGGCTTCTCGAGAACCTCGGTGAAGTTCATGGCGGGGGGCAGGGATCGGGTTTGGGCGCTTGTGAGTGGTTGATAAGCCGTGATCGGCATTGTCCCCGCGTGGAGGGATTGGCTACCCTACACATCCAAGCCAAACACATGGGACAAGATAGCAACAAGAAATCCAATAAACACAATCGTTGGACTAACTATTCTCAGATACTATCGCTTTAATACGAAAATCTCTTCTTAGTAACGGTAGTTTGCTGATGGTCTTTGGGATATAGTTGTGAGCAGATGGCCGGCACATCTCATTCGACTACGACTCTCGGTCTCATTTGAGAATTTAGTCAAAAGTTGTTCGTGGAGTCGTCAACTCTAATCAATAAGCTTCACTTCTGAACTACCTTGACTGCTAATCCTCAATTCCGTAGAACTCGACTTCGGAAATCATAGTCCTCGCCGGAATGGTGACACAAATCGGGAACCCTCCATAGTCAGGATCCTCGTTGGGCATCATGACGACGCTACCACCCCTTGTCTCATCACCATTCAGCATCCTGACCGTTCTCAATGTTCCAACCTCTTCGTCAGAAACCGTCTTCTCGTTAAACTTCAAAATCCCAGTGAAAGTTGCCTTTGGGTTAAGCGAGCGCGCTCTGACCTGGAAGCCCTTGCCGATGAGCAGAAACTTGCCATTGCCCTTGTGAATGACTATGCCTGAGCCTGTGCCAGGTTTTCCAAAAACGAAACATCTCTCGATGATGATTTCAAAACCTCCCCATTGACGGATGACGGCTTTGCTCGGATCAGACCCATCTTCGTTCAGCTCGTCAAAGCAAAAGCCCACCGAGTCTTCACCTCGGCGCTGCGACTCAAGCAGGACAGCAGAAACAGACTTGAGTAAGCCATAGTGCTTCGTCCATGCTGTAACTTCCTCTCCCTCGAGAGTGTCGATACCGAATGGCGAGACGCCCATAGCTGCATATGAGCCGTACGCGATCCAGATTCTTCTAACGCCGTAGTCGTCTCGCCGCTGCTCAGGGATGAAGAGTGGTTGATTTCGGTGACGGTACTTGGCACAAGTCGAGTTATAGTCGGTCAAGTAACAGTCTGGTGCAATAAAGTCGAGGTTTGGGGCGAATGTCTGCCAGATGTCGAGGACGTTGCTCGTGCCTCCTCCGGAGGGATATTCACCAGGTGCTCCGCCACCGCCGACGATTACTGGAAAGTCGTTGTCCGAGTCCTCCCCGGCGTAGTTGAGCCAGACATTGGTGTAGTAAGGAATGGAGTACACCGCCTTGCCAATGCCGGTGACGTGGTTCAAGTACTTGGCATAGTGGTAAGCCATGAATAGCTCGTCTGTCTGTGGGCTCTTTCCAAAGACTGCCTCCCAGTCAGAGTTCTTAGTATCGGCAGCCCGACTCTTGAAGGCAGAAAGGCTCCTCTTGAGATCTGGGCGGAGATTATCCCAGTCTTTGGTTAGAAGCTCGACCAACTCGTCAGGCACAGGCTCTGAGAACTTGTTGTTGGCAGCGTCAGAGCCATCTCGGGAGTCTCCCAAAAGACCCGTTTCATTCTCGACTTGAACCATCAAAACAGTGGAATGAGCCTCGTCAATCTCCTTAATGTGCGCCATTAACTTCTGAAAGGCCTTTCCGTCGGCCTCAGGGGCTTCTTTGTGGAAAATCGACAGCACGTCCCCTGTTTGGAGAACGCCGCCAGCCTTTCGTAGTTTTGCTCGAGGGAAGCGTTTTGGGTTGGTCTTGACCCAACCTGGAACATAGGTTGATAGTCCTGGGAGATATCATTAGCCCTGGACACCTTGCAAAAAGAACACTGATTGCTTACCATTCTTGAACGAGCCAAACCACAGCAGAACTAGGTGTAGCCCGTGCTTCCTGGCACCCAAAATCACCTTGTCCAGCTCTTCAAAGTCAAAAGTCCCTTCGACTGGCTCAATCATTTCCCAAGTGACACAACCCAAGACGGTGTTGATGTTCATATCGGCCAACTTCTGCCACACAGTGTCCATGTACTCGGCGCTCGTCATGGACGAGTTTTGCAGCTCAGCCGCCCGCATGAGAAAGGGCTTGCCCCTTACGACAAGTTGTTTCGACGCCTTGGTGGCGACGAGGTGAGGAATTTGCACCATCGTCATTGGTGCGGTTGAGTCGGATTGTGTCGAGAGGTGTAGAGTCCAGAGCACATGAAAGAAGAAATGAGGGGGCTTGTTCTTTAAAACATTGGCATGGGTCTCACAGGGCTCTGCGCCATGACGTGTCCCGACATGCTGGTCTCACCGGCTAAAGATCATCAAAGCAGACATGGGAAGCTGTGCATGATGTCGGGTTTCGTTTGTTGTAATTGGCCATCATGAAACAAATTCCGAAAGACAGTGGATAACGTGGTTGAAGCGGCATCGGTAAGCTGAATGCTACGAAAGAGGAGACATGACGAGAGCTATTTATCCGCACCACTAACATCTCGTAGTTAACATGTCATGAGACCTCGAAGCCGAATAATGACAGTTGATCCGTAAAATCATTCCTGCAAGGCCGGGAATGACGCCGTATGATTGGGTGATAAGCCGTATCAACAGCTTCGGCCCGCAGATGGCTCGACATGATTGGCAACAAGCGCGAGACATTGCTCAGTCACCGGCAATCGACAGCCTGCCAAGAGGCTCAAGCGGAAGCAATTGCTACCCTAGCCAAGAACACTCAAGGACGAACCGTCCGCCCTCCATAGTGCGCTTGGAGTCTCACACCCTCACCGAGCTCATCTCAACCCTGGATTGTCTCCAGACGGCGGGGGTGGCTCCGGATCCGGAAATGGACCAACATGAGTGGCTCTTAACCCGGAGTTACTCCTCATCCCCGGACTTCCCCTCGTGTTCTTGTTTATTGGCATGGGGATCATACGACGTGATTGAACTTTGTAGACAGTCTTTACACCAAGTCCGACTATAAAAGAACAAAATGCGACCTTGAGCCAAGCTTTAAACTCACACGCAATTGCAATTCTCCCAATACTTCATCGCCTGCTTGTTTACTCTCGAAACATGCCGTCTTTGGCCCCAAGGTCTTACCAGCTCCTCGTGGGCGTATTCGCCTCGCTGGGAGCATTTCTCTTTGGATATGATCTCGGTGTCATAGCTGCCGTCGTCGCCTCCGAGACTTTCAAGTCCCAATTCGACCCCAACACATCGGAAGAGGGTCTTGTTGTCAGCATGTTCACAGCCGGTGCCTTCTTCGGAGCAGGCGCTGGCGGTACCCTGGGTGATCGCATCGGTCGACGAGGAACAATCGTTGTCGGAGCCGTCGTGTTTCTCCTCGGTGGAGGTCTCCAGACCGGAGCTCGGAATATTCACTTCTTATGGACTGGACGATTCATCTCCGGCTTGGGAGTTGGAGTACTCTGCATGATTGTTCCTCTTTATCAAGCAGAACTCGCACACCCACATATCCGAGGCCGTATCACAGCTCTGCAGCAACTCATGATCGGCGTCGGAGCTTTCGTCGCAACATGGGTCGGCTGGGGTTGTTTTGTCAACCTCGGTGCTTCTAGTGCTCAGTGGCGGGTTCCTCTGGCGATCCAAAATATTCCTGCGATAGTCCTTGCGGCACTGACCTACTTGTTTCCCGAAAGTCCTAGGTAATTGATTTTGAAAACATTCAACGACGATCAACGTAACTGACTGGCGTGTAGATGGCTCGCCGACAAGGGCAAGGATGAAGAAACCCTTCACACACTTGCAAGGCTACATGCAAACGGTAACGTCGAGGATCCCTTTGTCATGGCCGAATACGACGAAATCAGAAACTCGATTCAGTACGAGCATCAACACGCAGCCAAGTCGTACAAGGAACTGTTCAAGTCACGAAGCGCCTTCCGCCGTCTCTTCCTCTGCTGCGCCATTCAGGCCTCCGTCCAGATGACAGGCGTCTCGGCAATCCAGTATTACTCTCCCACTATTTTCAAGCAGATCGGTATTGCTACGGACGACACTCTCAAGTATCAAGGTATCAGCAACGGATTAGCCATCGTCGCCCAGGCCTGTGCCATGTTGTTGATTGATCGCACTGGACGCCGATGGCCGCTTATCGGAGGAAACCTCTTCAACTCGGTCACTTTCATCATTGCGTCTATTCTTCTTGCCCAGTTCCCTCCAGGAGCATCCAATAACTTGAGCGCGCAATGGGGGTTCATCGTCATCACTTGGCTATACAACTTCTCTTTCTCATCTACTTGCGGCCCGCTCAGTTGGATTATCCCTGCCGAGGTGTTTGATACAAACACACGCGCCAAGGGTGTCAGTATCGCCACAATAGCCTCCTTTGCGTTTAACACCATGATTATGAGTAACCAGTACCATATATCAAAGTGCTTAGACCGTTAACCTTCTCCAGGGACAAGTTACACCCAAGGCTATGGAATCAATTGGTTACAGATTTTACTTCCTCTTTGTTGTCTGCAACGTCACCAATGCCCTGTTCTTCTGGGTATTCCTCCCAGAGACAGCTCGCAGACCCCTCGAGCAGATGAACGAGATCTTTTCAAGCAAGAGTTGGATTGCCATCGGCAAGAGTGCTTCCTATAGGGGTGCCACGACCGATGTCGAGAGCCATGTTGATAAGACCGAGGTGACTCACGAGGCCGAGAAGAGACAGAACTGAAGTGCTGAGATATCTGGATTGGTGCGGTTGTAGTTATGGAGTGACTTACCAGGCCTAGGTACTATATGAAGGTTTGGTGGGGGTGGTTCGATTATAACAAGGCTGATGTTTCAAATCTTGGCACAAATCGACTCAGAGTGTGATCCATGGTGTGAATATTATTGCGATGCACAATGTCATGAGCTTATTGATTTCTTGATACTTAGGTTTCCTAATATGGGGCACCCTAGGTCACATATTCATGACAGTCTGAAATAGGCAAGGCAAAGCGCTGGGGCTATTTCCCGTGAGGTATATCTAACCTGACCGCCTTTTGTAAAAGTCGTTAAAGTCATATGAAATCAGCAAGCTACCCAGGGCCCTGGCCTAAACTTGGCGAGCTACTAGGCCTGCCGTTCTTGTTCTCCTACTGAAGGGTTATAGAGAATCCTTGAGGAGCAGGAACCCCGAGGTTGACTTGGGATAGGCCTTGGAAGAGACAGAAAAGAATCATTTTGTAACTGAGGGGTGCCCCAGACCACGGCAACTTGGAACGGCAAGTAACAAGTCGATCCACGGAAAAGACGGACATGAAGATCGTCAGGTGTTTCCTCGGCGACACTTCGCCATAACCATGGCCCGAAGAACAAGGAACAAAGACCCATTTAGCCTGCCTCGTGCCAAAATATGCAAGGAATAAGAACTCTAAACTGCGGAGGTGCGCGGAGAATGCGGGGGATAGTGCGCTTTTCGGGTTCGGCGCCGCGGACCGATGACGATGACTTCGGCGCCGAAGGCCGCTTTAGAAGGTGATCTACTTGCTTGACGGTTTATTAAAGCTTCGGTTTGGCCGGCGAGTTGGTCGTTATCGATATATGCGCCAAGGCTTTTCGAAACAAACTCTATTATCTATTGTTTGACATAGCCTCCACCATGTTGGGCCATTCTCTCGCCCTAGCTTTGGCGACTACTACGCTACCGGGACTTGTTTCAGCGGCCCCTAGTGGTAACGACGCCCCCGTTGTAACACTTCAGAATGGCTCCTACTATGGCATTCACAACTCTGCGTACAACCAAGAGTACTTCTTGGGCATGCCATATGCGCAACCACCCCTCAAGGATCTACGCTTCAGACATCCCCACTCCTTGAACACAACCTGGGATGGACTCCGTAATGCAACGGAGTATCAGTCCAAATGTTATCAGTATGGATATCCGACAGGACCACTCACAGGAGGCTCTGACGATTGTCTGCACCTGAACGTCATCCGCCCCTCAGGAGTCGCAAATGAGAAGCTTCCTGTACTTGTCTGGATCCATGGTGGTGGTCTTGTTGGTGGTTTCAGTGGTGATCCTGGCAATAACCTTACTTACCTTGTTGACGAGTCTGTTAAGATGGGATCACCCATTGTTGCCGTCTCGATCAACTACCGCCTGGCTGCCTGGGGATATCTATGGAGCAAGGCAATCAAGGAGGCAGGCGAGGGTAACAACGGCTTTCGAGATCAAAGACTCGCCCTGCAGTGGATTCAGGAAAACATCGCAGCATTTGGTGGCGATCCTGAGAAGGTGACCATCTGGGGCCAGAGCGGAGGTGCTCGTGGTGTTGCCTCTCAGTTGACAGCCTACGGCGGCAGAGATGACGGCCTTTTCAGGGCAGCCATTCTCGAAAGTGCCACGGGATTCCACACAGGCTTCCGTGAGGAGACTGTCAAAGATGCTCTTGACTGGGACAAGGGATATGCTCAACTACTCAAGCTGACGAGATGTGAATCAGCCAAGGATTCTCTACAGTGTCTCCGAGAGGTTCCGTCTCTCGAGTTGGCTGAGAAGATTGGAAATATCACTTTCCCAGTCTATCTCGACATTGTCGACGGCGACTTTATCCAAGATGACCGCTCTGAGCTGGTTCGACAAGGGAAATTTGCCCATGTACCCGTCATCAACGGCGCTGCAACCGATGATGGCGATTTCTTTGCTCAAAAGGGAATCAACACGACAACAGAGTGGGAGGCTTATCTGCGCAAAGAAGGGGCCAGCAACAGCACAATTGAAGCCATCTCTGCCTTGTACCCGGACATTCCCCGCGTCGGTCTCCCTGCTACTTTTGAAGGACGCCCAATAGGCGAGTTGGCATCATATGGTGCTCAGTGGAAGCGTGCATTGGCCTTCGGTGGCGACAGAGCCATGCATGCACCGAGAAGAGCCTGGGTCAAGACCTGGGCTGCTGTAAACCTCTCCGCTTACAGCTACCGCTTCGACGTTGTGTCTGGAGATCGTAACCCAGTCCAAGGAGCAGGCCACTCAGTTGACCTCCCCTTTGTCTTCCGCAACACCGAGCGTCTAGCACAGTTGAACGCAACAGAGCCAGTTCCCGGTTCCTTCAAAGCCTTGGCAGTCTCGATCTCGAGGAAGTGGATCAGCTTCACGGCAAACCTCGACCCCAACTTTAAGGGGATGCAGGGTGAAAAGTGGCCGGTGTACGAGGAGGAGGGAGGAAAGAATCTCGTATTCCACATCAATGATACTTCTTTGGCTCATCTGGAGGAGGACACTTATCGGACGGAACAGCTCGAGTATTTGAATAAGAAGTTGTGGAAGACTGGCCTGGAGGAGGGAAAATGAAGAGGCGGGCAGTGGTAGACTTACATTACATAAGAGTCTAAAAAATACAAGAATTGATGCGTTAATATGTATGAATCACCCTGTGTCTGCGTAACAGAACAAATCAAGATCAAGTGTGTGCCAGACCCAAACAGCATCTGCCCTGCCACTCACAAAGTACGTTCTGGCTTGCACGACCCAGGACGGCTGTGTCACTACTTCTCCAGTCAATTTACGTACTTTTTCTTACAATTTGTCGTATAAAGGACCTCGGAACCCGAAGCTTGTGCTGATCCCGCCAAGAATGCGTCATGTGCAAGTTGAACTACTAGCACTGACAGGATTAATAGAAATACTGCATGGCTGCGTCGCGTCTCTTTCAAGTCTAGTTCTTTCCACATTTCGTTTAAATGGTTTAGCAATGGCTATCGGTAGGCTTGACACAACCTCATCCTTCCAGCAAAGCTGACCCACCGTTTACAGTCAACGACTTGATCTCTCCACACGAGGAATATCCTCCAGCGGCCGACTTGCGCACAATCGTAGCCGAGCGTCCAATCCCAGTGCTTCTTCAAGATACGGTGGATCTCATCTCGCTCACCAACGACGAGGCGAGAAAACAGGCCCTTGGCATCCTAGACGACTTGAACGCTGCTCTCGCTGAGAATTATTTGAATGCTCTTGAACGATGCTTCTTTTCCGAGCAGGCGTATTGGAAAGATACGCTAGCTCTGACTTACCACCTGCGCACATTCTTTGATCCCCGCGTCATTGCGGCCAATCTTTTAGAAACACGCAGGCTCAGGGGTATTAATGGTCGCTTGGAACTTGATGCCGCTGCCTTCACTCCTACTACGCCGACTCTTGTGCGTATCACTTGACCGAAACAGGTCCAGAATATCACATGGCTGACCAAGTTTTCCCATCCACAGCAATTCATAGACGCCTCGATTTCTTTCGAGACCAAGTCTCCAAGCGCTTGGTGCAGCGGACGCGTCCTTCTCCTCCCTGTCAAAAACGATGACAAAACTCTGGAGTGGAAGATCTGGGTCCTCAGCACCAAGCTGGAGAATCTTGACTTGCATCTGGAGGATGAGTCTCTCCTTGAGCTCCCAGGCAGGAAGGTGGATAATCTCGACCAGTTCGAGACTGATGTTTTTATCATTGGAGGTGGAAATGCGTAGGTTGCTAACCAACTCCGCTTGGCCTGTTGACTAAACACATCATCTTAGTGCCGTGGCTTTGGCAGCTCGTCTCAAAGCCCTTGGCGTAGAGAGCTTCATTTGTGAGAAGAATGGGCGAGTTGGCGATAACTGGGCTCGCCGTTACGACAACCTGCGATTTCACCTTCCAACTTCCGTTTGCGAGCTTCCCTACACGAGTATGTAGTCTGTTCTTCCTGCAACAGAATGCTTCGTATAGTGAAGAGCAGATACTGACCCCGTAAACCGCGTTTAGATTATCCAAATGAATTGCACTCACCGCATTTGCTGACCAAGGATGAACTGGCACAACACGTTCAGCGATATGTTGCATCTTTCCACCTCAACTTCATCACCTCGGCCAAAATCGAGTGAACTGTCTATAATCAGTCAATCAAACGGTGGACTGTCAAATTCCAGACTCCTAGTGGACCACATATAGCAGTCTCGAAGCACCTAGTGCAAGCCACTGGGGTTCGCTCCCAAAAGCCACATCGACCGCTTGTCATTGATGAAGGTATCTATAAGGGTATTAGTATCCACTCGGTGGCCTTCAAAAATGGCAACGAGTTGAAGAATCGAGGTGTCAAGGTGAGAGACACCCCTCGTGTTTAGGTTGGCATGCATTAAAGCTTGTTCCATAGTCGGTTCTCATCATAGGTTCAGGCAATTCGGCATTCGACATTGTTTCAGATTGCCATGCAGCCGGGCTCAAGACCACCATGGTAGCCCGATCACCAACCTACATCATCCCTTTTGAACATGTCTGCCACGAAGCCAGCTTCGGAGTATACGAGCACGGCGTTGAAGCAGCCGACAGACTTTTCATGACGCTGCCAACCATGGTTCAAGGTCAGCTAACTCAGGGCCTTTTGCAGAAGTTTGCTTCTGAAGAGCCGGATCGTTATGCGCCCCTGGCTGCAGCAGGCTTTCCAGTCATTGACAGTACAGATCCATCTCAGCTGATTCTTTCAAATCTTCTTGAGAGATCCCATAGCCACTATCTTGATTTGGGCGACACTGAACTCATTGTGGATAAAAAGGTTGGCATCAAGGCTGGGGTTGAGCCCGTTGCTTTCGCCACAAATGGTCTTGACCTCTCAGACAATAGCATTCTGGAAGCAGATGCTATCATATGGTGCACAGGATTCGCGGACCAAGACGTACGAAACGTCGCAGAAGAGATCCTTGGAGGCCATGGTGTGTCCACCACCCCTGAAGACCTTGATGAGGACAAGAATCTGCTTGGTCCAAGGGACATTGCGTCTCGCCTCGACGCTACATGGGGCATCGACTCGGAGGGCGAGATTCGTGGAATGTGGAAGCGTCATCTGCGTCTTGAAAACTATTGGGTCATGGGAGGAGCAACTCAGTATCATCGCTGGCACTCGCGAACTCTGGCGTTGCAAATCAAGGCGGCTCTCGAGGGCATCCTGCCACCTGCTTATCGTGAGACGCGAGGTTTATGACGTTCAGGCAGTCTCCGGGGCACCACATGAAACCCCTCATTACGACTGATGCATTGCTCGCCCTTAATCCTTTTGGGTTGACCTCCTTGGCGGTGCACTCTTCGTCTTATGTATTTACACATATCCTTATTTACACGATTGGCACATTATGATAGGTGGAATTTGGGATAGCAATGAAGATGCTCGAAGCCTAAGAGTGATATTTTGAGACACTGATCATAGCAAAGTCTCGCATGAAAAGAAGTGCGAAATTGCAATCACATGAAATGGAAATGCGCTGGATGGGGGATAATAGTGATGGGTGCCCTGCCATCCACCCCCTTTATTAGCAGTGTCCTTTATTCTGCGTCTAAGCCTTTTCTACGTGTAGCGATTACCATTAATACACGAGTGAAAATCAGTATACTTAATTGGCATTATGATGTGTGATGCTGGGGTTGCCGAGCGATTCCTGTGACATGAACCTAGAAGGCAAAGTATCAAGCAAACCTCGTTCCGTTCGATGAGTCCATTGGCCCCATTGGCGAGTAAAGCAACCCGTTTGTCGTTTCCCATTGTTCCCAGGACGGGCGCAAGTTTGCAGAGTCGGGAAGCAGCAAGGTTTATCATCCGCATGGTAGAACTCCCCGGCATCGAATCCTCGCTACAATGGTTGCTCAACAACCATCATCTTCCGTAGTATAGTGGTCAGTATGCAAGCTTGTCACGCTTGAGACCCGGGTTCAATTCCCGGCGGGAGAGATCGCCAGCACCTTCAAGGTGCGATTCCTTTTTTTGCAATTTTTCCTGGTTGGCATGAAGTTGTCAACCTACCTATCTGACCATCCCATAACACCCCCTGTCACTCATATTTCTTTTTACCTTGTCTTCCGTATAACTCTCCATCATCTCACTGCAAACTGATCTAACGAACCAGTCGTTATCACGATAAAAAGGTGGAAAACACCACGAAGCGGATCTCCGGGCTCAATGCGGTAAGCCTCGACGTCTCCGGGCGGGGACGGTAGATTCCGATCATATGACCTGCCGGCTGTCAATAACAGTGGGGACGGGGTTTTATCCCATCGCCTTGGGCTTATCTTTACCCCGCAAACGGCTTCTTGATGCGTTCCACACGGAATCGCGGAGAATTACAATGATAGAGTTGGTGGAAGCGGATTGGCTCCGATTGGAGTTGAGACTCTGGCTTGCGTTCTGGATAATGACTACAAATGAAGAGTCAAGTCCTGTTTAACCTCCCAGTTCTTCATCATCTGTCTTTCTTATCTTTATACCACCCGTCTTAGATACCCCTAGTCATACACACTTACATCCTCCTTGCTCATCAACTCAAACACCACATCAACAATGGAACGGTTCGATGTCGCTGTTGTCGGCCTAGGCGCTCTGGGAAGCGCGGCGGCATACCACGCTGCCCTCAAAGGCGCCAAGGTCATCGGTTTCGAGCAGTTCGAGTTTGGCCATGTTCGCGGAGCTTCCAGTGATACTTCTCGTATCGTCAGAACTTCATACGGAGAGCCCGAGTATGTGGCACTCGCTCGATCCGCTTACAAGGACTGGGCCGACCTTGAGCGAAGAACTGGCCAGGAACTGTTGACCATCACCGGTGGCATCATCTTCTTTCCTCCAAACACTGGTCACAAGATGTTCGACATCGAGGGATATACAAAGAGTCTCGACCTTAATGGAGTTACTTATGAGCTTCTCTCCGCTCAAGAATCGAACAAGCGCTGGCCTCAGTTCAAAGTCCCCGAAAACGTCCAGGCTGTCTACACTCCTGACTCTGGTATTGCCCACGCCTCAAAGTCAGTATCGGCCATGCAGTTCTTGGCTCGCCAACATGGTGCCGTCCTCAAGGAGAGAACTCCAGTTGACCGTGTCACACCTGATGGCGCTGGCACTGGTGTTGTCATTGAGACGCCTAAGGGCAAATTCCATGCCAAAAAAGTTATCCTTGCAACTGATGCCTGGACAAACAAGCTCCTGAAGCCCCTCAAGGCCGAGATACCCCTTGATGTGATGCAGGAGCAGGTGACCTATTTCAGACCAAAGGACTCAGATCTGCGAAACTTCGAGCAAGACAAGTTCCCTGTTTGGATCTGGGGCGGCATTCCCAGCTTCTACGGATTCCCCAGCTACGGCGAGCCAACCATCAAGGCTGGTCGGGACACCTCATACAACCGTATGACTCCCGAAGAGCGCACCTACATCCCCTCGCCAGAGCTGTCCAAGGAGCTCCAGGACTTTATGAGCAACACGATACCAGACAAGGGTGAGCCCCTGCGTACGGTGACCTGCCAGTACACCATCACACCGGACCGCCAGTTCATCATCAGCCCGTTGGAGAAGCACAAGGATGTCATTGTAGCCTTGGGTGCTGCGCATGGATTCAAGTTTGCGCCCGCAATTGGTCGTGCTGCTGCTGAGCTGGCGATTGATGGAAAGTCTACGAATGACCTGTCTCTCTTTGGAGTTCCGAAGGTGGCTGCGCCAAGCAGCAAGCTGTAGAGACAGGGGAGAAATGGAGGAGAATGAGGTCCAGTCGAGCGTTCAGTGTATTAAAAAGTATCTAAATAAAACACGTTGAAACAACCGCTTATACCATTATATACCTCGCAGAGAAGAGTCCTTCATTCCCAGACCAAACCACTAAAGTTTCATTAGAGGAGTGATCTTCCGTATGACATATGTCATATATCTCTTGTCAGCTCATATGTGAGGGGGGCATACTGAGCTTTAAATGTCTTGAAGACAAGTATGTTGTGCTTCAGAAAAAGCCAATATGTCAGTCAGACTTAAGCCTACAACATTCCTCCATGTTTTCAAATGTTTCTTTTTACAAATGACATGGTTCAAGGTCAAGGTAAGCCAGAATGTCTGGGGGGGCGAGCCATTCCCCAGAAGGACACTGAGACAAGGCGCTCAAGTATCGTTTGGAGAGCCGGAGTTCCTCAAGCACATGCGAAGTAGGACCTAGACATGGCTCACCCGAGCTGAAAACCAAAGAATGCCAGCACTCAGCCCTGGCAGACAGTGGAATGTAAGAGCATGTCTTTCCCTGCGTACCGATGCTAATGACAATGTCGCGGATCGCACCGCTTCCCCGCCCCAGAGTTCCACGGCATTGGAAATGCTGTGAGTCAAATCCAACGGCTGATTTCTCCCAAATTCGCGATACATTCGCATCCTGCAGCATACATAGTCTAGAGAACATACAGGCACATCACGGTTGGGTTGCCCTCGTTAACGTTAAGAGTCATGTCTTGGACTTATCTAACGGAGACAGTCCAGACTGGCCTATCTTGCTTATGCTCTCATACAGAGAGCTTCGTTTGCAATGCACCGTAATGCAACGCCAGCTCCTCTCAAGACTGAAACGAGCGTACGACGATGAAAGGGGTCGCGTTTATTAAACACTTCGTTCGAAGGGAGACTCTCTGAGTCATATGAGAGTTGAAGGTATCGTCTGTATGCAGTAAGACGAATCTACGACCATAAAAGACCAAGGTCCTCCCCAAAGATCCCCCTCGAGCAAGTCCCAAGTCGATCCAGACAACTACACCCTCACTCTGATTACACCCATATCCACTTCTATACTCTCGTTCAACAATGCAATTCTTTGATATGATCATCGCTGGACTCGCTGTTGCCTCTGTTCAGGCCATTGCAGTCCCCGGACTCCCTGTCGCAGGCCTCTTCGCCCGTCAAGACCATCCTCCCGAGTCTCCTTGTCTTCATCCCGGAGGCAAGAAAAAGTGTCAGATTGATGTATGGCTCAGGCCTTTTTCTCGGTGACTTGTTTACTAACCATTCCCCAAGTGCGCCAGCAAGAATGCCGACTTTTGGTCCTGCGCTCCGTATGTTGCCCAGGCTCTATAAGCATATGTTATTCTGACACTTGTTAGTACTTGCGTCTGTCACTTCATCTCTACCACGGCTCTGCCGCCTACTGCTACGCCCACTGTGCCACCGGCTCAGACGTCGGACCAGCCAACAGCGGTCCCGACGCCCAGTGGGTAAGCTACATTTCCCAGGATGCACGGAACTCGTTGTGTGGCAATGCACATGCTCGGTACAAATGTGTTGCAAGGACAACTAGACTCCTACACTATCAGATCTATCTCACCGGTAGCTGCCAGTCAATTGAAAACTGCCCCTCAGTTTGTCTCCGTCCTCGGCTTTGATGTTGTTTGCGTCCAGAGTGACTTCCATGCCCCACCGCCAGCTTTCAAAAAGGTGCCTCCTCTGTCTCTAGCACCAGGGCCAATGATCGATCAGTCTCCTTCATGGGCTTCCTTGGCTTCACTCTCGTTGCCGTTGGTTTCGGGGTTGATGGACATGACTCCTATACGACCAATAGGAACTGTCTGTAAAGAATAATTAACATCAAGTTGCAAGGCGGGAGGACATCATAGAGCTTACGTCTATGTGGAAAAAGCCAATGACGAGGGAACCAGGGGCAAATGAGTCCCACGGCTTAAATGACCGAAACCTCGGGTCGCCCAACAGAAACTCCCGTCCGCGGTTTGTTTGAAGCTATCGATGATTAGCCAAGTATCTGCTATGCATCATCCTGGGAAATACATACCAGTAGGTCATCGTCCCGTTGGCCTTCATTTCTCATCTTCGCGTCCACTATCCTCTCTCCACCAGGCCCGTCGATCAATATTGAGCGTTTGGGACCTTCATATGTGTCAAGCACGTAATCCGCATCCCCAATGAACATGTTCTTTGACGGGTCCGTGTAAAGAAACTCGATGCAGGGCGTGCATAGACTGTTCGTGTAGATGACAATCTCAGTCAATTGGGAGAGGAGTTCTCCGCGTGGGCCACCAAACATGATGGTTTCCAAGGGCCATGGTATTGCACCATCGGTGACATAGTCATCTGGATGGTTGAGGAAAATATGTTCGGGTGGTAAGTCGGGCTTCCAGGCATATTCCTCGGGATCAAAACCTCTGTCGACGATGTTCTCGCTTTCCTTGACGTTTCTGCTCAGAGAGACGAGTTTGAGTGCCTAAGGGTAAATAGGGGTGAGTCTCAACCAAGTTGAGTCATGGAAAGAGGCTCAACTCACATCAAACTCCGCCTTGACGGCTGATATCCGTTTTCCTGGTCCTCCCAGGCGCCACCTGGGGACGTTGTCCGGCTCACCCACCCAGTGAGACATGGTACCGTCGGCAGTCAACACAGCAACGGCTCGGAATCCTTGCCTTTCCACGGCCAACTGCCACCCCGAGATGGTGTATGGGGATTCGTGTCGACCATCCGAAAAGCGAATCTTGACCTCTTGGTCGGTGTGGATGTAACCCAGGCTGTTGATTTTCCCATTCGGCTTGACGAACCGGAAGCCCGAGACGAAAGAGCGACCGCTCATGCGCACAAACGACACCCAGAGGTGGCGAACGCGGAGGCGTGGTCCGAAACGGACAATCCGAGCAAACAAAGGCCTACATCCCACATAGAATAGCTCATACTCTGTACAGAGGTTGATACCAGCAGTGAGCCACTCGAGCTCTTTCCAGTCGCTTGTATGCTTATTCTTCTTTATCCGGCCGTTCTTGGATGTGTCGAAAGCTGTCAGAAGACGGGCCCCTTTGCAGACTGTGTCAGAGACCTGGTTCTGCAGACTCTCCAGTTCCAAAGCCAGACTCCAAATGCGCTGTCGGTCGGCCAGGCGGGGCTTTATGTACCGCAGTGCCAGGTAAAGTTTCTGCCAAGAGTCGGGGCGGGATCGCAAGGTTTCGAAGATGTGATGGAACTCGTGTCCCCGCCAGAACCTAGACGCCCAGAAGGTTTCTGACAGGTGTAAATTAGCAAAAACGGGCGACGCTCGCCGTAGCCTTCTGACATCTTGACGAGGAAGCTCGACGAGGATGGCTTGCAGGAGTTCATTTGGGAGATGGTGAAACACATCTCCATCCGCCTTAATCGGACTGTCTCGGATCGGGATGTCAATGAGCATGTGTTCCGGGATGTTGGCGGATTTGAACAGTTTCTGGATCGAACACATCGTGTAAGGATCATTGCCGTACCCGTGAATGCCGGGGCCGATGTGGGTTAGCAGGGGAGGGCTCTCGTTGTAAGGCATTCTGATAACGATTCCGCCATAGTCATGGCCCCAGTCGAGGATATCTTCGCCATGAATCGGCATCGAGAAGCACAGCGAAAAGATGAGTTGAACATCAGGTTGGAAAAGGATCGTGATGATGTCCCAACAAGCCGCATGAAAGACAAATCCCCAAACACGAGGAGGCGAGTCGCCCTGTCGCGATCCGCCCTTGTGGAATCTGTACCGAAACTCCACGCGTGCACTCTCGTTGAAGTCCACGTCGTCGTATCGCCTATTAGATTCAGCTGGTAGATATTTTCTCCCGGAACCCTCGAATCTACCAACGCCGGAAAGCGTGGCTTCGTAAATGTTGACGCCCGACACATATACTGGGCAGATAATGTTAGCCCCATGAGCGGCGAACCGGGGAGGATGTACCTACTAGCACGATACTCTCTCCTCCATGTGGGCTTGACGGACTTTTCGAGCCAGCTACCGCAGAGAGCGCAACACAACATTGCGCAGGCACAGCTAGGCAGAATCGCCGAGGTTGGTAGGAGATGTTAAAGGAAAGACTCATTCAACCTCTCCCTCTCCGGGGCATCTCTTTGGCACAGTGGGTCCCCTGCATTGGTCACTGCCCGAACACTGCAAGAGCACTGCAATCGTGTAGCATCCATATTAACCACCACTCTGTTTGTTTGTAGGTCATTGCATTGTTTGCAGGGAAAACCTCCCTTTGTCTTATTGCAATCACTGCTACCTTATTTATAGCATGCAAACTTGGCTGCACAATCGAGTCGGGTGGCAATTTGTGATCCCGCAACTTTGCCAGCCTGTGTAGGCCCTTCTTCCAGGTCTCCATTACAATGATTGTCAGGGGCTGATCACTACCTAAGTCATAATTTTGTTATAATTAAGAGATAATTTAAGAAGATATTATGCTGATTTTCATCATAAATATAAATCCGACAATCTGAAGCAAGTCATACGTCACACTGTCATGAAACCCCCCTTCACCCGGGTAGGTATGCAGTGGGCAAACGGGGTCAAATTTTGAATAATCTGTATTAATTGAGGAGAAACGGCCCATAAGATCATTTGAATGCACATAGCCCTTAACATCACGAGTGCCTGCCCAATCCTTCGCTACCTGGGTATACGGCATGCGCAAAGATCACCAACCTATGAACCCTCATACCATTTCCACGCCCAGAACGAAGCCAGCTGGCATATTTTCAGCTTCAAAAATACAAATTCCCTCGTGAAACACCTTGATCATGACGGCTGTAAGCGCGTGGTGGTTCCCCCAAACGGATCTTGAGGCAACAGGTTGTCAGGATCAAAGTCATATCCCAAGAACTCCGTGTAGCTGTCAAATTGCGACGGTGCCGGTGTATACTCGGTTGGCTGGTGAAATTGTAAGGATGAGCGATCACTCATTATCGCTGCTCCGAGGACGATTGGCTGTGTGCCCGATTGATCTGTAGAATGGGCTTGAGACGAGTGGGCTGCCGAGGTACCAGCTGAGCTTGGTAAACAGTTGAACGATGCTTCTCTAGAAGCCGGCTCTTGATTTCGTTCTGTCGCTGGTGGCTCTTGAGTCTGCTCCTCGGGAGTTGCAGCATCAATGTCTGGCGTGGATTGACCGGTTGGTAGGCCAGTTTGCGACGTCATGCTCGGCATCACCGTATCGAAGGCGTTCCAGACCGAGGTGGATATCATCTCAAAAAGCCTCCTCTCAGGTATCTGAGGATTGAACTGGAACTCGGGCATGTTGCGAAGACGGTCGCTCACTTCGCGGATAACTCGGTCGGGGACCTCGCGTCGGATGAAGCTCCGGTATTGTGCTCGAACCTCGGGGGTCATCGAGGCTTCCAACGTTTGCAAGTCGCAATCTAGAGATCTGTCAGCACTTCAAAATCACGGAATATGCATTGGTATAGCTCAACTTACAGGGAGATGGGATCTTCTCGTGCTCGGGGAACAGGATCTTGTACATGTGCTCCCATTTGACCTCTTCCGTCGCGTTCTTTATTCCTTTTCTGCACTTTAAACGCTCCTTCATCTCAGCGTCAATCCCTATCATCTCGCAAGGTTCGTTGACTTTGCAGGGGACAGCTTCGCGGCGATGATCCTTAAGCAACTTTTCGGTCGTAAATGTGCTGAAGCACCGGTCGCAATGAACGGGTACCTTGTGCCTTCGATAAATGTGCTCCCTATTGTATCCCAGTTAGTCAAGCTCGAAATGGGTTCAAATGTTTAGGGACGCACTTGATCCTGTGGACACTTGGCCAGCCCTTCTTCTCACAGCATGGCCACTTCTTGTTGGGATACCCCTTCACGAACGGGCAAGCGAGGTTCGGGACCAATTCTGCCGGCGTGATCTCTGTCTTTCGACGTTTGTCCTTATCACCGTCGTTTCCTCTACCGGGGCCGGTTGCTCCGTCGCCGTCTTCGCGTCCCCTCTTCTTCCCGGCACCACGGCCACCTGATCCTCCCCCACCACCATCACCATTCCCACCACCACCAAAGTCGGGCGAATCGTTACCAGAGGACTGTCCAGGGGAACACGATCTCATCCACTCGATGACTTTGGCCAGTACAAGCGATGCGATACGGTCCTTCAATGTAATTGCGGCTGCCAAAAGAGCAGGGTCCAGTGATGTCGCATCAAAGGCCTCATGGAAAGACTCGTCCGTCTCATGTGAAACCTCCGACATGGACTCATCCGCATCGCTCGAGTCAATCTCATCCAGAAGGTCGAGTTCAGGATGGTCTGCAACAGAGGTACCGGGTGTATCCTGGTCCATCTGGTCCTTGGAGCAGATGGAGTCGATAGATGTCATGTTGTCAGTCTCCGGAGACGACGGCGTGTCTCGAACTTGTCCATTTCGCGGGATCGAGAGGTATCCATTATCGGTTTGTTCGCTCGAGCTTTGCGGTCGCAAGGAAGCGACATCGTGGTGGGAGCATCCAGCCTCCGAGCCCTGTTCGTCGATGGTGCTCAAGCCTGACTTGCTGGCAGTCTCGATCTTGTCCTCTGGGCACTCGTCAGGGTCTGGAAGGTCTTCAGGCTCCTCGTCAATTGATACACCCTCTTTGTACAACTCCGGCATGCGGTTCTTGTGGATGCGACGTTGTTGGGCCACCCATCCTGCGGCAGTTACTTGATCTGACACTGAATGATCCAGACAGGCTATCCAGGAAGAGATTGGACGCGGGGGTGTCGCAGTGTTGGATCTTTGCACGGGGATAATGGGAAGAGGATAGTCTTCTAGGTCGTGTTCCCGATTAAGGCGGTGTGAGTCTCGACTATTATTGACGGAGGAAGAAGGCATCATGTATGGGTGCTTCCTCGACACAGACGCCCGCGTGGCTTGTGAGCTAGTCCTGCCAAGGGCCTCCCAGTTGCTGGTCGCTGACGAGATGGTTGATGAAGGTCTGGTCCAACTGAAGATGGACTCTGCGATGGAGTTTTGGACAGTGTCGTTAGATGCCCTTCGTATGGGTAGGTCACGCTCTGAGGGGTTGTCTGTAGTAGCCGAGAAGAAGCCACTGTCGCATGGACCGCTTCCTACCGAGAGTGGTTGAAAGGAGTTTGTAGATGTTTGTGGGTGGCTCTGTTGAGCTGTCAGTGGCCATGATACATCACCTATGGTGTGTAAGTATATGCTCACATATAGGTCCTCGGCTGGTTCTTCGCTGTCGTCTTGGACGTTGTCTGGAGTGTCGGGTCGTGAATCTGAGAGGGTCAGCGAGAACAACGAAGCAAGCGCGGACAAACTTACTCGACATTTCCAAGTCGTTTGAATCAGACTGCAGCGCTGTTGTCGATTTGTTTGCAGATCCGTATTGAGTGCCGATACCCGTGTCCGTCGACTCTGGGTTGTATGAGAAGTGGCCAACTGGAGCCGACGTGACTCTTCGCTCACGGCGTGTAACGCTCCTTAACGATGTTTTGTATCCCTTCAACCTATCTGGCAATTGCCAAATACTCTGTGATTTTTTTGTTGGTGTCTCAGCCCTAAGAAGGGGCATGCTCTCTGTCTGTTGTAACCCGAGGGACAACGGTCGCTCGGACCCAAGTTGAGGAAGGGTTTGCTGCCCTTGTGTAACGTTTGTGGCCCGGTACTCAGGAGGGGGATCTTGAAGCAGCTTTGCATCTAGTTTCGCAAGTCGGTCCTCTTCATCGGGAACAGGAGCGACCTCTCGACGGAAGCCAGTCATCTTTTCTTTGAGCGGATCCGACATCCAGCGCACCATGCCCAGCTCCTTGGTATATGAATGGAATAAACCGGGAGGCTTAAACTGGTGAAAGTATTTCCTTCCTTTGTCCTTGATGCGACCCCCTAAGGATCGAGGCGTCTTGGACTCGCACTGCGCAAGTTGCTGGACCGACCGGCGGTCAGCGGCACTGGGGATAGGCATAGTGGACGTAGCCTTTTGCGCCTCTTGACGTTTTGCGCTTCGCTTCGCTGGGCGGAGGCGTGGCAGCGCGTAATTGTTCGGCGCAAACTATAAGTCGAACAATAGCGAGACTTGAAGAGGATGAAGAAAAACAGTCCCGGGCGGTTGGACGCAGATTGATGCTGTCAGCCACGCACGCATTCCCTCATTTTCATCGGAGGCCGACATGGGATGACCACCTGCCAGGCGCACTTGCCTTTGCGAACCATCCATCATCCGTCAGGTCAGATCAGATGCGTCAGACCCCTGCTTGACATTTTCAGCCCTGCCATCTGCCTAAATTTAGGAAGAGGCAGCCAATTTACGATCTAATTCATGAGGCTTTGATTCAGTACTACAGTGTTTATTCTGGGAGAACTACGCAAAACAAGAGAACTATAGAAGTTGGGATACTATACAATTTTTGCTTTGTCCCAATTCTTTGCTTGGACAAAGAAACAACAGTCAAACAGATCGTGGATTTGATCTTGGTGGGCTCCCGTACTTCCCGTGTCCACTCGCAGCAAACGGCAGCCTGCGCCCCCTGAAACTGCCTACCGTCTGCAGCTAACTATGCGCGACAGGGGTGTGCGGTTTTGCGCGTTGCGCAGAACCAGAGCTCGCAGAACCACCACAGCGCAAAGCTTGACATCTGGCAGAATGAGCAACGCCATGGCTGCAAAACTCGATTATCTGTAGAATTGGGAATGCCATCTTCACGATATCTTGATACTATATCCCAGCGTTTGCGCAGAACAGAGATTGCAGTCATGCGTGAAGCAGAGAGGTCAGTATAAATAGAAGGGAAGTGCAATTGGAAGGAAACATCGAAACAAACACGTCAATTCAATTCAATTCATCAAAGTGATAGCTCAAAGAACAATCTGCATCCTATCCCGTCGCGCGTCACAATGCCCACCCAAGCTGCAACCGCCTCAATGGTTCCCAACTGCGGTTCCTGCGCCTCCGTCACCAGGTTTGTCTCATTCCCTACCATTCATCAAGCACTGCTAACCGAGGGCGAGCAGCGGTGACTGCGCAAGCACAACGCGGGCGCCTGCATCCAAACTTTCACCGGCCGTATTGCGTTTTCTTACAGAGCCTGCTTCTGTGACCGACGTCATTCATCAACTCGCTCCCGGCAAGCCTCTCAAGTGCAAATGCTAAGGTGGGGGCTAGTGGCTGTGCGCGGGGCTGAATTGAGCGCCACAGGGTGGGGGCCAAGTGCAAGTCGCGATGGGGACCAGTCAGAGGACCCATCCATTGTTTTCACCATGTTTCGGCGTAAGAGGGTAAAAGGAAGCGGGCAAGGAGTTTAGGGCATTTTATATGATATGGATGAGCGGGTAAGCGTAGAGGCCTGTGGCCATAATTAATACTAGATTTTACATCAAGTCAAATTCATCCGCTTTTGCTACCGCATATTTCATGAACAAGACCTGATAGATATGTTCATTGGATATAGGATGTTGTTCAAAGAGAGCCCCGAAGTCGCACAACACTGCCTACCCACTGAAAGTGAATATATCACCTCTATTTCCTTGATCCTAGGGTGTTCAATGTGACGTAAATTTAGAACAAGAGTCGATTTAACAGCGCGCGATACAAAATTTAATGCCAACGTCCTGAAAATGGCATGGTCTAGGGTAGGCTGGATCGGCCTTGGCACCAACGAGCTGAGCTGAGGAGCGCGATAAGACCAGAACGCGGTCCAACCGCGTCACACTTTAACACTCATTGTGATGAATCAAGAAACAGTCATCCATGAACCTCACGGAAAAGAAAAGCGACCATTAAGCCCTGGCAGGGCACCGCAAAATAGATTGATCATTCATCGCTCATAATTATGCATCTTGTTCATCAAGCGATTGTAGCCTGGGCCGCAATTCTTCAAAGTTCGACTTGCCCTCCTCATCAGGGTATGCCTGGAAAACCTCTCGCCTCATGATCCTCCTCGGTGCTCTTCGACCCGTGAACAGTTCAAATTGAGCAAAGCCTTGCTCAGGCAGCATGTCGAGACCATCCATGCTGACCCATCCTCGAGATGACTCCTTTCTGAACTGAGCTAGGAATGGCGTATCCAACGTCTTGTATCCAAGCTCAATTGCGACGCCTCCCGTGCGGCTTCCTAGCCACTCATCCGGAAGTGTCAATTCCGGCGCAGGCACATTTCCAATGCGATGCGTTGGGATGCACGAAACGACTACTGTAGGTAGGCGGACATCGGCAGGCCAAGCATCTTGAAGCGATTCAATGACGTGGAACTGGGCCCGTTCGCTCCCGGCGCTGAGAAGCTTAAAGTCCTTCCTTTGAAGGAGCTCTGTAAAGTGAGATACCATCTTCTGAGCATTTTGAGTTGTGCGATTGTAGACGACGATGTTTTTGATGCCGACTTGAAGCATTGCGTATATTGTGGCCCGCGCCATTCCGCCTGCTCCGATGACGAGACCGCAAGTGCTTGCGACAACAGCATTTGCAGGTGAAAGGCCGCGGCGAATACACGCTCGAATTCCGATCCAATCCGTGTTTTCGCCGTAGAGGGCCTTGATCGGCCCAGACTGATTGACACTGTCGAAAAAGGCCGCTCCTGTTGGTATCGAGCCATCTTCGTTCAGCGAGCGGATCGGGATGAGAGTATTGACAGCCCCAATCGCCCGAGCGTGGTTGCTCAACGAATGCGTCAGTGTGATGATCTCAACCTTGAAGGGGAGACCGATTGAAGCGCCTGCAAAATTCGAGTCTTCGATCAAATGCCGTATCCCCCGTAGAGAGGCACATGAGACTGGTTCGTAGGTATGGGGGACTCCACACGCCTTCAATGCACAGGTGTGCATTGCTGGTGACAAGCTGTAGCTGACGTTGGTTCCAAAGACGTATAGCTTCATCTCATTGTAGACGAATGACGAGAAAAGAGCCTTGGTCGCACCCACCGCCGTGATGCACGGAGTGATCGGTGGCTTCGGGTTCACCCGCTCTAATGAATCTGGGCGAACGACTGTGAGGATGCGATTAAAGGCCGCGGAATTGCGACCCAGAGGTCCAGAATTGTAGGCAATCAAGGGGATCTTGGGTCCTTGTAAAGCATCGACAGACGACCTGAGGTGATTGATACGGAAGTTGTCCTCGACGTTTGCGGCAGGGCGAATCAGCCTGGCCAAGTGGCAACCCAAGGTATTGGCCTTTTTGTACCAGTTCATCCACATTGGAGACTCCCAGGATGGGGGATCTGTGATGATGAAAGCGTTTCCAATGATTTTTGTCCTTTTTCGAACCGTCAATATCCGAGAAATGTGCGAGTCCTCCAGTCGTAGGTCAACCGTCATCATCTCCGGGGCGAGACGAAGGGTGTGGTGTATGAGATCCAGGTAGACACGAACGACATCCTCGCTTGCTGTATGGGGGAGGAATAAGTGCAGTATGATGGGTAGAATCGTGCTTCTTCTGACAACCCCTATGCCTTTTGTGATGTCGGCAAGCAGTTGACTGCTGGTTTCGGCTGTGAGAGTGCCTGCTTCTGCGTGATCAGCCAGGTCATGCACCACAATTTGAACCACATCTGCTCCAGCGACGTGCTCCTCTGTGTCCACAGAGTCGTCCAAAATATCTGAGAGAGGAATTGAGGTAGCATAGGTAAATCGTCGTTCCTCTGGTGGGATCCTTGACAAGGGGAACGCCGAGTCCATGAACGGGATTGTACCGGCTGGGTAGATGAGCGAGAGGAACTTGAGGAAATGTCTCTCGACGTGCTTCAGGGTCAGATATGGAGCAGGAGTTCTTTGGGTGAGAAAGATCCGAGTGAGAGATGACCTGGCTGGCTTCTCCGAGACATTAAAGAACTCAAAATTGGTGCATGTCCTGAAGATGGCGTTGCTGACATTGAGGAGGTTCCGGATCTTGGCCTTGTCGCGGAACTTGAGGTGGTTCTGAATGGCATCGGCGTCGCGTACAATGTGAATGACAGGATGAGTGGCGGCGAATTCCCTCAAGAGGTTTTGTATACGACTCTCCATCCAGGAACAAACGAGGATGCAACCGGTGCGATGTCGGTCTAGTGCATTCTGTAGGACCTTGGCTTGATGCTTGTAGCATGCAGCTGAGCCATGCTCGGCCTTGTAAGCGGCACTTGAGAGCCCCGAAGTCTTCTGGAAAGCTGTCTCAAGGTCTATAACTTTGCGATCCATGGCGGACGATGCCATGATGGCCAATGTAGACTTTCCAGCGCCGCGGATGCCAGCCAGAAGCATTGATGCATCTGGGGCGAACTCGGGGACTTCCCCAGTCAATGGAGGAAAGGTCGGTGATGGTGTGCGAGTGACTGCATCTTGCTGTTCTGGTCGAGTCGAGGGCGGTTGCGATTGGGATTGAGACCGGGAACTGTTCCGGGACTGGGAATGAAGCGTTTCGGCCAACGTGAGTGTCGGCGTCTGTTCGGTTTGGGTGTCGCTGTTGCGGCTGGAGATGCCATGACCATGATCCCTGATCTTTCCAAAGCCATTCGATCGTAGCATGATCTCCTCATGGCCCAGCATGGCCCCGAGGGACCTCTTGACGCCTGCCATTCTGGTCGGTTCCTGTTCCGTCAAGCAGAGCGGCAAGATGAAAGAGCCATAACGATGGGATTAGCTGTGGTCTCGGGCCATCCGAGTCTTTAGAGGCGTGCAGAAGAGGGTCCAGAGGGCGAGAAACAGCGATTATCGTCACATGTAGACGCAGGATATGCCGGAGACCGCCGTGGGAGTCAAGTCGGAGGACAAGAGAGAACAGACGAAATGGCCCCCCACCAAAGAAATCCTGGGGGAAACTAGCGGTGATTGGTCGGGTCAGCGTTTATCCGCCCCGCTTTTAATGTCACGGCCAATGACGCCGTGATGATTCCGACGGAATCGTCATCTCCAACCATCTCTGAGATATCCCCAGGACCCCGGATTCTCCCCGCATTGCAACTCTGAGTCTGAGGATGCGATTGATGATGGCAAGGTGCTTGCATCTCTGAGGACATCTTCTCGTGCTGCTTTGATATGGCGCAAGCATCGTACGAGCTTCCTGTCAGCGGCCTACTCCTTCTCCTCGCCATGCGCCTGCAAGCCTCGTAGCTCGTCCACCACTTACCTCCACACTCAAGCAATGCCGCCGAGGAAACGCGAACACGATGCGGACTCCCTCAATGCTCCCGCCAGTACCGCTCCCGCCAAACGACAGAGAGTCTCCCTTGCCTGCGACGCGTGTCGAACCGCTAGAGAGAAGTGCGATGGCGGTCGTCCTCACTGCGGAACCTGCACGGCGCAGAACCGGCCATGCTCGTACACCCCTGCCTCTCGCAAGAGAGGCGTGCAGACGGGTTATTTACGAACCATTGAGCTCTCGCTCGCCTGGCTGTTTGAGCAGGTTCCTGACTGTGAGGGAGCTCTGCATCGTCTACTTACACAGAATGATGGCGCAGACGGCACCCGCATCCTGGCCACCAAGGACAAGGCTGGCCATCGACTCTACCGACGATGGAGCAAGAGTCGCGTCCACAAAGACATTGGACGAATGCTATCGGATGAAAAAACCCCTCGGAACGAGACTTCGGCAGACGACTCGGAGACGGAGGAGAGCATCAGTCCGGCCAACGCCAACCTCTTCGAGCCGAAATCGTCACCTGGATTTTCACTTCAAGGCGCAAACCTTTCACAAGCAGATCTACCTGCGAACACCTACCAACTTGGCGGTATGGCTGAGCCGCCGGTGCCTACCAAGCTGACACTCCCTCCGAATTGGAAGCGGCTCATTGACATTTACTTTTGTTACACCCACAGCTGGCTCCCGATTGTCGAGCGGGAAATGGTCACCAGCACTGCTTTGGCCTATCCGTCTGAAGGCCTCACACTCGAGGCGAACCGGTCGTCCGCCCTACATGCTCAGCTTTGGGCTGTCTTCGCCGTGTCTTCATTCCAAGATGCAGCGTCCTCCGAACCCTTCCACAACAACGGATTCTCACCGAGCAAAATCTACTCGATTGCTCGACAACTCATACCCTCCGACGACGAGAGTCTGGAAACACCTCACATTTCTTCCCTCCTCCTTCAATCACTGGTCCTCCTAGGCCAGAAAAAGACCATGTCGGCATGGTTACTCATTGGCAAAGCGTCACGCCTTGCTCTCCATGGTCGAGCCACCAACTCACACATGTTCCCGGTCAAAGAAGGTGGCGAGGCTTCTCTAAACCATGCCGAAGTGAGAATACTAGCTGCTAGCTTCGTCTTGGATTCATTGGCTTCTCTCTGCCTGGGCCAGTCCCAGGTCACCTCGGGCATCCGATATAGTCTGCCTTCTGTGACCATTGTGCAGTTGCTGAACTTGAACGAGCCATGGGCTCCGGTTCCAGGGTTTGGCAGGGCATCTGAACATCGGGACGAATCAACGCCAGAAACGGCGTCACCCCTGCCGACATTCCAGCAATTGTTTGCTTTTTGTAGGCTATGGGCCGCCAGCATGGATGCAAGACTGTACGATAGTCCCACTTCCCGCAGGATAACCCCTGAAGACCTTGTCAGAAGTCTGGACGCCCAGTTTTCGTTCTGCAACTCGCTCATCTTTGGGGGTTCAACTCCAGCGGTGCCGTCAGCTTATCTCCTCCAAGGCATGTTCCTGGCTATTACCTTGGACTTGGTGCCTGGCCACAGGCCATCACTCTTCTCGAACCTGATAGAGGTTGTCGAATCATGTCTGGAAACATTTGGACCCGGTGGAACACCCCCCATCTTTGTCACCTTGATGGAGATCGTGCATCATCATGGCCACAGCAGCCGGATGCAAGAACACGACAAAGTCAAGTGGGATGCAGCCTTGAAAGCGCTCATAGACGTCTGGAAACCCAACAATTCAGGGATAGATGGGCCTAAAGAGCATCAAAACAACATTGGCGTGGTGGATCCTATCAGTCGCCCAATCGCCGGGCCAGTCTTCTTGGATGAGATATCAACCGCCTCTCACCACACCAGCCAGACAGCGCCCTTGACCTCAGGAGAGCTGGAACATGAACTTAACCGGATGCAACAGCGTCAAAAAGAACAGCAGTTCTTGTCATACGAGCGGCAAAGATATGCAGGCAACTCAGACAACAGTCCTGGCACATCACAGTCCCTCTACCCAGTCACACCCAACCTGACCTTTCAGTCCCCTCCAGTCAACGGCGGACATGCGGGGAATCTGCTGCAGAGCTCGCACATACCAAGCCAGCTGGTAGATTACGACGCCATTCTGGAAGAACTTGGATCCATAGACTGCGGCGACAGCATCGAAGTGGACCCCCAGTTCATGACCAACCTGGGGTTTGCGCCCGGCTGTGACCTGGGGGAGATGTTTCACGGCGACTTTGGTACATGAATTAATGCAAAACAATTAAACCGATATTTCCGCGGTGTTCCAATAGCATGGCGTGGGTGACCCTGCGAGTGACAGCTGATCAGGTGAGGCAGCATACCGGAGTCTTGGCTACCTATTGACTCTTGATTGAGAGGCCCAAGGCGGTCGGTACTGTACCATACTCGGTGAAAATTTGGATTATGACAAAGCAGATCTCATCTGTCTTTAACTCGGACATGATAACACCGTGCATTCAAGCGATAATGCCATTGCCGATCCTTTCACCTCCTCTTTCACCTCTTGTTAGTCGCCCTTGAGTGGTCTCATCTAATGACCAGTCATCCCAGCACGCACGCACAGCAAAGCACACCGAACCGTGTGACCGAGGGATTGAGCACTAGGGCGAGGGCTGAGACTTCATCCCCGTCGCTAGTCGCTAGCGAAACAAGGTTAGATCCGCGGGCACATGGTGGTTCTAATGCGGAGTCCCCAGAGATGACCGAGTCAAGGATGTGGCACACCGGGTAAGCCTTTACCCCCAAAGCCCCCCGACTCAGATCTTTGTGCGCGGCGCAACGCCCAAGCACCCTGTTCGTCACCCCAGAAATCAACTGATGACAATATGAATCTTCTGCTTCGACGGAAGCGAGTTCATCCCCCACAAACCAACCCCGCAAACCCCGGATTAATCTCCAACTCTGGAGGGAGATGCTGCTGCTTGCTGGGGGCGGTTTACGGTTGTATGGAGTTGCCGCGGCCCTTTTTTCCCTTTGGCTAGAGGGCACAGACAATTTCTAGAAGCTAGGGGGGGGACATATGGGTCGAGCCCTGTCCTGTTGCAACCGATATAAAAGTTTGCCTCCCAGCGGGACGTTGATCAATTCCTCAACACCACAGTCCTCCTGGCAACTGCCATCTCATCACCCATCACCACCTTCAGCCTCTGTTCATTCTTTGAGTTTATCGGAATAACAAGGTCTCATTTCATCATGGGCCTCCTCACTCTCAAGGAAGACCGGCCCACGCCGAAGGAGGTGTACAATTGGCGCGTCTACGCCTGCGCCGCCACAGCATCATTTGCGGCATGCACGATCGGTTACGATTCTGCTTTTATCGGCACTACCCTTGCGCTGCCGTCATTCGTCGAAGAGTTCGACTTTGAAAGCTACAGCCCTAATAAGCTGGCGCTGCTGAAGCAGAACATTGTCTCTGTGTACCAGGCTGGTGCCTTCTTCGGCAGCTTGTTCGCCTATGGCAGCAGTTACTTTCTCGGTCGTCGGTACTCGCTCATCCTCTTCTCCCTCATCTTCATGCTCGGTGCTGGCATGATGCTGGGTGCCAATGCGGACCGTGGTCTTGGTCTGATCATTGGTGGACGAGTTTTGGCCGGTATCGGAGTCGGTGGTTGTTCCAACATGACTCCCATCTACATCTCTGAGTTGGCTCCTCCCGCTGTGCGAGGTCGTCTCGTCGGTCTCTACGAGCTTGGCTGGCAGGCTGGTGGCCTTGTTGGTTTCTGGATCAACTATGGAATCAACAAGCACATGCCCCTCTCTCCCGGTGTCAACGAGAAGGCTTGGATCATCCCCTTTGCTGTCCAGCTCATCCCTGCCGGTCTCTTGCTCGTCGGTGCTGTCTTCATTCCTGAGTCTCCTCGATGGCTGTTCTCCAAGGGCCGTCGCGACAAGGCCATCGAGAACCTCTGCTGGATGCGAAACCTTAGCCAGGACAACATCTACATCGTCGAGGAGATCAACTTTATCGATTCCGACCTTGAGCGATACCACAACGATGTTGGTGCTGGCTTCTGGAAGCCCTTTGCCGCTCTCAAGGAAAAGAAGGTTCAGTGGCGATTCCTGCTTGGTGGTCTTCTCTTTGTCTTCCAGAACGGTAAGCATCTCATGATTGAAAGCTTGAACACAGATGGCTAATATGATTCTTTCCAGGCTCCGGTATCAACGCCATCAACTACTACAGCCCGACCGTATTCAAGAGCATCGGCATCACCGGTACAAACACTAGCTTCCTCACAACTGGTATCTTTGGCGTCGTCAAGACTGTTCTTACCTTTGTCTGGCTGATGGTTCTCATCGATCATATGGGTCGCCGAAACCTTCTCATGATCGGTGCCGCCGGTGGCGCATTCTGCATGTACTTTATCGGCGCCTACATCAAGATCGCCAACACCGAGGCTAAGCTGGACGCCGGAGAGGACACTAGTCTCTCATCTGGAGGTATCGCCGCTGTCTTCTTCTTCTACCTCTACACGGCCTTCTACACTCCTTCGTGGAACGGTACTCCTTGGGTTCTCAACTCGGAGATGTTTGACCAAAACACCCGATCCCTCGGTCAGGCCAACGCCGCCGCCAACAACTGGTTCTGGAACTTTATCATTGCCCGATTCACAGTACAGATGTTCAACGCTTGGGGTTACGGCGTGTACCTGTTCTTTGCCTCCCTCATGGTCATCTCCATCTTCTTTGTCTTCTTCTGCATCCCCGAGACCAAGACCATTCCTCTCGAGTCCATGGACAGACTGTTTGAGATCAAGCCCGTCTGGAGGGCCAACAAGATTCTGCTCGAGGAGCTGCACGTCCAGGACGAGGAGTTCCGACAGAACGTTGACGGTGTGGATTTGCACGAGGAGAAGGGCAGCACTGAGCAGGTTGAGACCAAGCTGCCTTGAGGTTTTATGAGGGGTGCTATATAAGGGGTTTGGATATTGTACTCTAGGCAACTTCCAAACAGAGCTACATTGGTAGTCTGTATCTACTTGAACAATTTTGGTTTCACATAAAGTCGAGTTTGACTTTTCCATCTTGACCTATACTGAGTGACATGGCTTTGCCATGATGCTCATTTTTACTTTAATACCCAACAAGAGACACCTCCATGATCTCCAAGCCAAGCTCCAACGCTCTTTCGCTTGATTATGTGCTGTAGTCCTCTCTAATGCTTTTACTGGACGCTTACTGGATTGAAGCTCGTGACGTCCTGGTGGCTACTCTTTTGTTAAGATGCCGCTTTTTTATTTGCTTTACAAGCCTATGATGCCTTTGACTCGCTATGAAAAGTGAAGCGGGATCAACCAACAAAAGTGTAGCTCTTGGATATCTTGCTATGTCAAACGGTTATGACGATGCTCCGTCTGGCTGTAGCTTGTGTTGGTTGCTCCTGGTCGGATCTCTATGCATACTTCGACTTTATGCAGGTATTTATGCGACGGATTATGCTTTGAGTTATGCCACTGGTTCCAGTTATGCCTCATACAGTTTCGGTCTTTGTGAGACGGGAATCCTCGATCAATGACAAGGCGCACTAGGGGATTCGCGCTCATTTCTCTGACAGGAATAGGAGCGGTATAGAACATTGGATAAGAATATGCATAAACGTTGAAATGAGGCGTTCAAGGCGGGTGGCTATTCCGTGCGGCTCAGCAACCGACAGATAGACACCGTGGAGTGTGAATGCCAAATGGTGGTTGGCTGAATAGTATTATGCACATTAAACACAAATTAGTTCCTAGGATACATTCGTAATACAACGATTACTGCGATCTTTGGGCACGTCATGGACTAACACAGCCATGGGAGCAACGGGCGTGCCCCGCTGGCGTCCCGGACCCACTCCGCATCTCCGTCCACACCCGCTCCGTCCGTCCCGAAAATCACGGAGCCGTGACTCCCCGTCCCCGAAGCGTCAACCTAAACCATATTGATCAAGAATTTGCGGGGGACCCTTGAAGCACGCCATCGCTTCTGCTAGGACGACGCAGCTTCTCTCCCATGACATGCCTCCCAGCTGGCTACACCATGAACAAACGCCCAGAACCTGTGTAGCGGTGGCTTTCAACAAGCAAGGATTCTTTCTAAACACCAGGCTCGTTTTGTGTCTAGACCTCCCTTGCGTGATTGGGTCCAGTTCTGACGACGAAGAGGCCTGCGTTTTTGGACACGACATACGCTCCATCTATAAGAGTATCTTGGGGACCAACGATGTGATGAGCTCCAAGTCGGACAGATCTTCTTGTCATTCTTGACGATCAGATTATTTTTCAACAATGTCTCCGACTAAACGAAGCCGTGGGCTATTTGCCTGCTTCAATGGTCGCCTTCTTTATTCTTGCGGCATCATTGCGCTGTCGCAGCTCAACTTTGGCATGGATCAAAGTGCCTTCAGCAACACGCAAGCCATGCCAGCATTTAAACGACAATTCGGTACCTATGACGAAGCTACAAAGACATATGTTCTCGAGACAGTCTTTTTGTCTCTGTTGAACAGCGTCAACTTTGTTGGTTTTGTCTTTGGTCTTGTTTTCGGTAATCTTACCAGTCGACGCTTTGGCCGTCGGATCGCCATGTTTGTCATGTGTTTTTGGGCTCTCCTGTCGGCTGTGATTCTCATCACGTCAAAGACTCAGACTCAGGCAATCACTGGACGAACGATTGCTTATGTCTACATCGGCATGGAACTTGCTCTGGTTCCTGTACTCCAGTCTGAGCTTGTTCCAGCTGACGCTCGTGGATTCGTTGTTGGTACTTATCAATCTGGTTTATATGTTTGTCTCCACCCCCAGAGGTTAGAAAGTGGGCATCTGCTGATAGGTGGTTTAGTTTGGTACCCTTCTCATGGCCATCATCTGCCGTGGCACCAGCGAGATTAAGGGACATGGGTCCTGGCGGATCCCCTACGGCCTCTTCTTCGTGATCCCTTCAATCTTGGCTGTCGCTGTTTGGTGGATTCCTGAAGTAAGTCAATTGGATCATTCTGATCGGTTTGGTGCTAACAGATGCAGTCGCCTCGATGGCTGTTGACTCGCGATCGACAGGAGGAGGCGCTCAAGTCACTCAAGCTCCTCCGACAGGGCGCCTACACAGATGAAGAGATCAACTCTGAGTTCGAAGAGATGCAAAGGGCTATCAACACTACTATCAAGAAGGGCAGCTTTATGGATCTGTTCCGTGGCAGTGAGTGTACCCGCAATCTCGCATTTTTGGACCCTGCTGACCACTTGCAGCCAATCTCAAGCGCACTCTCATCACTGTTGGCGTCAACATCTTCCTGCAGCTCACGGGCCAGAACTTTAGTTCCAAGTATGGTACCATTTTCATCCAGAGTCTTGGAACGGTGAACCCTTTCGCCATGTCGTGCATCAATTCTTCTGTTGGCATCGTCACGGTGTTTTTCACCCAGATGTTGACCGACAGGACTGGAAGAGTGTAAGTTGGCCACCCATGACTGAAATGGCAAGGGTCATAGACTAATCTTTTGAACAGTCCCCTTCTGGTCGCTGGTGCTTTGATCCAGACGGCCAGTCTCATGACCATGGGAGGTCTTGGCACCGTAGAGAACCCCTCGCACAGCGTCCGCACTGGCATCGTTGTCACCGTGACCCTCTTCACCTTCGGATTCTCGCTTGGTTGGGCTCCCCTGTCACACGTCGTCGCAGCCGAAATCCCCACCACAGGCCTCCGAGACCTGACGTACGCCCTTGGCTCCGTCTTCAACATTGTCATCCAATGGGCCGTCGCCTTTAGCATCCCCTACCTGATTGACAAGTCCCACGCCGGCCTTGGATCCAAGGTTGGCTTCATCTTTGGCACGACGGCGTTCATGGCGACTCTGTTCTCGTGGTTCTGCATTCCCGAGTGTGGTGGTAAGACTCTGGAGGAGATTGATGAGCTCTTTATCAGAGGCGTGCCTATTAGCAAGTTCCGCACTGCAAAGCTCAGCTCCGACTTGGAAGGTTCTGAGAATGTCGAGGTGTTCAAGGCGAATGCTTCCGACATTAGCACCACGGAGAAGGCAAGGGACCAGTGAGCCCCTAGCACGGTGTAGCTTATCTGAACTGGATGTGATGGCAGGAGGGGGGCTTGTCACAAAGCTGGACTTGGGGTGAGAAATGAGTCTTGAAACGTTACTATTCTTGTATCTCAGGGTAGCTGAGAATATACTTCTTTACCTCCGCAAACCTTGCTGTTACCTGAGGCACTCAATGATTTCCCATATCTCTTTGTGTCGAAGCATCCGACTGCGTTATTGCATGCCATCTAGCCAACATCAACATGGTGCTGAGAGCGCATGACCTCCTGAATGTGCTCAACTCTCGTCTCTGTCTCTGAGAACAGAAGCGAACACCTCGACGATCCACCCCTCCGTGTCCATGTCCATGTACAATGCGGAGAGAAAAGAGCCTAATTACCAGATCTTTGATCCCCCGCATCAAATCTGTTTGTCAATGTCCTATTTTGCGGGGTGCATATCGGCAAGTAGCTTAGGAGGGCCGGCAAGACCACACGGCTGGTTTGGGAATGTCACGATATTGCAACTTTGAGTGACACTTGGCGTATCATCCGTGTTGTTCTGCCGTGAAGGAACGCTTTCCAGTCCCGTGTGACTGGGAAAAGCTCGCTTGCCACTTCGATAGTCTGTTGATCCCCCTGCTAACCCCAGACGGAGATGACGGGGAGAGACGGACGTAAGTGGAGCCCGGTGGTTGGAAGTGTTGCTCCGTCTTGCCCCGTCATGTCCGTGAGAGGGGAATATACGCTAAGCAAGGAATAGGGTCCTTCTAAGCTGTCAATAAGCTTGGCTATGGGGCTGAGCTCCTGATGCAGCCGAGCTCAAGCAATACAAATCCCTCCCGCAGTGCTCTCTGTTCTCTCTCAGATTTGAGAGTATCGCACCCCGAGATATCAACATGGGCTCACTTCCTACCTCGAAACGGCCCAATTTTCTCGTCATCGTGGCTGATGACTTGGGCTACAGCGACATTGGATGCTTTGGCTCCGAGATTGCCACTCCAGCTCTGGATCGTCTCTCTCAGACTGGTGTGCGGTTGACCAACTTTCACACAGCTTCAGCATGTTCACCGACAAGGAGCATGCTGTTCTCTGGAACAGATAATCACATTGCAGGTCTTGGGCAGATGACGGAGCACATGGCTAGGAACTTGGATGCCTACAAGGGCAAAGAAGGCTATGAAGGATACCTCAACTTCAAGGTGGCAGCTCTTAGTGAGATCCTTCAAGATGCTGGCTATCATACCATCATGTCTGGGAAATGGTAAGTCTACCATGCTACATGCCATTCTCGCCTTTTACCTGACATGTGCCCTTCAGGCATCTCGGTACAAGCAAAGAGACAGCGCCTTGCTCCAGAGGCTTCGACAAGAGCTACGTCTTTCTCTCTGGATGCTGCAACCACTTCAACTACGAGCCCCAATTAGACGATCCATCCCACGGCTTCTTCACGCCCATGAACGCCGGCAAGTTCTGGATGCAAGACGACAAGTTTCTCGATCGAAAGAACCCCGAACATATACCCAGCGACTTTTACTCTACAACATCCTTTTCCGACAAGTTGATCGACTACTTGAAAGAGCGAGACGATACTGAACAACCATTCTTTGCGTATCTACCGTTTACTGCACCTCATTGGCCTCTTCAGGCACCACGCGAGGTTATCGACAAGTACAAGGGACGTTATGATGATGGACCTGCGGCGCTTCGCACGCGAAGGCTGGCAAAGCTGGTCGAACTTGGTCTTATTCCCGATGGCGTGGAGCCAGCTCCCATGACACTCGAGGCATGGGATAAGATGACCCCATCTGAACAAGCCGAGTCAGCGAGAAAGATGGAAGTCTACGCAGCCATGGTCGATCTTATCGACTCCAACATCGGTCGCGTGGTCGACTATCTCGAGTCTGTGGAAGAACTCGACAACACATTCATTCTCTTCATGTCGGACAACGGAGCTGAAGGCGCCATGCTGGAAGCTATCCCCATGATGGGTAGCGTGGGCACGGTTCCTAAGATTATCAACAAGTACTACAACAATTCTCTTGAAAACATGGGTATGGGGGATTCTTATATCTGGTATGGACCTGAGTGGGCATGCGCGTCTATGGCTCCCTCTAGAGGCTTCAAGACGTGGATCACAGAAGGCGGCATTCGATGTCCTTGCCTGATTCGATACCCGCCTTTGGCAAAGTCGGGTTCTCACACCGATGCTTTCTGTACCGTCATGGATATTCTACCAACGGTTCTTGACCTGGCTGGTGTCCCTTCTCCAGGGAAGCAGTTCAGAGGCAGAGAAGTTGTTCCTGTAAGGGGTTCATCATGGGTTTCCCACCTGGAGAACCAAGCACCCTCGTTCCACGATGAAGAGAAGGAGATTACAGGCTGGGAACTCTTTGGTCTACGTGCCATCCGAGAAGGCTATTGGAAGGCGCTGTATATGAACGCCCCTCGAGGAAAGGATAGGTGGGAGCTATATGATATGAAGAATGATCCTGGTGAGCTGAACGATCTTGCTGAAGCTCAGCCTGAGATTCTGGAGCGGTTGATTAAGCATTGGGAGATTTATTATGCTGAGACGGGCATGTTTGACCCCGGCCATGATTTCCCCGTAACTCGAATTTGAGTACAGTAGATATCTAAGAGCGAAGCTTTGGAGCTCTTGATGAATTTGGAATACTATGTACTGCTCGGTGTTGTGCATGTGTTTGTTTTATCCTTTATTGAACTTTGCGCTCTGTTGGTATAAGAGAAGTGAAGACGAACGATTCTCGGCATTGAAAGGTGTCCAACCAGTAGTATTAGAATTGAAAGTCCCTCTTACTCCAAAGTCATCATATCAAGCTCGCCTCTTTGACTGCACGTTTCCCGATACATGCAAACCAAAATGTCCGCCATCCGTTGTAGATCAGACGCCTCCTCCGCCCACCGCTCAAGCGACTGAATCGCAGTCCCAACAAGGGTATGCCACTCCTCAGGAGGAGAGACCCTATGCGAATTCGCCGCAGCAGCAATAACAACGCAGGCGGCCATGAAGGACTTGCGAGCTATGAGCCAGGTCCCGCCGTGTCGTCGATGAAAGGCCATGCGGTGCACCATGGTGGCGCAGATTTGGATTTCTTTTGCGGCTAGGGCTTCGGCTTCGGGGTGGATGGGCTCTTCGGGGTTGTGGTGGAGGACGTAGTAGAGGATTGGGCGGAGGGTGTATTCTCGCCAGAGAGATGCGCGGCCTTGGAGGGCTGCGGAGAATTCTTCATCTGCGAGTACGTCGTCGTCGAACTGGACGACAGAGGGGAGATGATATTTCCTGGAGACATATGTCAGTGTCTTTTATGCCTCAATAGATACCCACGCACTCACCACAGAGTTATCTGCTGCTCGCACTCGTGGTATTGACGAGTCAAGTGAGCAGGATTCTTCATCCAATAGCCCTCGCCGTGTCTGTACAAGAGATTAAGAGTCTCGTCAACAGTACGTCGGATCGATATCTCTGATAAGTAGTAACACCAGCCTCTCTCATCAACTTGTCGTTGCTCTTCGTCTGGACCAACTGACGATCCGTCCGTGGCGGGACTGAAATCAGACAAAAGGCCGTCCGGTGGTGTCGGGAAAGGCTGTGGGTATGAAAAGTTCTCTAGGGAACTTGGACGTAGTCCTAACTCGAAAACCAGTTCGCTTGAGATGAGTTAGAATGGGGCTTCAGTACAAGAGATATGGTGACTTACCTTTCAGCCCGAAAGCAAGACCAGAAGAGCCTCTGCTCGAGATGATAGTCCTCGGGGCTGGTATCCCTAAAGGCCGTCCACGGCCGTTCACCACGTTGTAGCAATCGGGTTTCTAAGCGGGAGCAAGCCTGTTGGATGTAACACCAGGCTCTTAGTGGGCGAAGAGCAAACTTCTCAAAGATGGTAGCAAAGAAATAGCACTGGATGTCCTGTATGTTATTACCGAGGAGACCCATTCTCTTCTGTGCCGCAGCGTAGTAAGGCTCTGCTTTTGCTCTTTCTTGAGAGTCGGCAAAGCTGCCGAGTTGTTCTGGGGTTGGAGGGATTGGATATTCGTTTGGTCTCCTCCACATATCTGTGTATGAAGCCAATGCACACGCCAGAAGCTGTAGTTCCTTCATAAGCGATTATAACGTTCAAGAGGCGGGGAACTTACCACAAGACACGACGAAGAGTCCCATTTCAGTCCATCTTCCTCGGCGGAGCGAGCATGCCTCATGAGCTCGTGTCCATCAAGCACAGGGTTCCTCGGATGAACCTGAGAAAGAAACTTGCGACACAAGGGAACAAACGCCGATTCATTTATGCCTTGACCTCCACCTCCGTTTTGAAGAGTGCTTTCCGTGTATCCCGAGCTGAGGGGAAAAGAGTCGATTTCCTGGGCATCACTTGGTACGACGCTCCTAAGGGCTGGCCATCGTAGGAGAGATTCGCACCGAAGAGCCTCGAATGGGAATCCTGGGGCTTTGGTCTCGTTCGGTCGTGGTGTGTTGGCAGAGAATCTTGCCCAAGGACTTGTTGCCGCATGTGCTTGAGGTGAGGTCGCAGTCGCCAACGAAGGGTCAGTATCTGAGTGTCCATGGCCTCCATTCCTCTGAAGCATCTCCTTGATTTCCACCAGTTGCTCCATCAACTGGCGATTAGAAACCGCAACATCTTCCCCATCAGCCTCAGTCTCATCCGTATCTCCATAAACACACTTGGCTCTCTGCCGTACACAGTACCCACACTTTGGACGAACATTATCACACTTTGTCTTGCGCATCCGACAAAACTGACAAGCCGTAACAGCACGTTTCCTCCTGGTAAAATCACTCGTGGTAAGTCTCCTCCGCTTCCCAGATCCCTGAGAGGCATCATCGGCGACGTCCGGGCTCGTGGGCTGCTCATTGAGACTGGTGGAATTCTCAATGTTGGAAAAGACCGGGGCTCGGAGATTGAACGAGGGCGTCGCGCGGAAAGACGGACTGATTGCTGAAGAAGGCGGCATCTTTGTTTGTTTCTTGACGGAGGAAACGGGGAAGAACGGGAATCGGCGAGGAGGAGGCCGGGAGATGATAACCGGGGCCCGGCTCCGAATGGTCAAGCGGCGATGGCGTTATATTGCGTGATCGGGAGCCGCGTGGAGCACACAATACCCCTGCTTCTGCCGGTTCGGTGTCCGAAACACCTCCGTATCTTGTTTGTTTCAATTGAATTCGTGGGGTTGGATAAAGTTTGGTGGCAATGGTTCAATTTGCGGGGGAGCTGGAGACTGCCGAGGATCAACGCCGTAACGCGGGGAAAGCTGTCATAACAACCGGTCTTGGCACGACTAGACTCTAGACGCCTTCACTTGGATAGTACTAGCCTGGCACGTGTTCAAAAGTATATTAAGGACAACAACCGTCGCTACCTCGCTGTGATTGCTCTCGGTACTATGCTGTAATGTGTGACATGCTATACTGTGATGAAGAGAAAGCCAAGACCGCAACTGTAGACTTGACGATAGCGCCACAACCTCAGCTTAGATATAGCGGATTCTGCTTTCCACACGGATCTGTCTCAAGGATAGAGCATCAACCACAGAACCAGCAGGCAGACCAAGGTAATGAATGGCATCTCCATGCGACTTGATCTCATCCGTCACCAGCCTTGTTCTGATCGACAAAGGTAACCGAGCGTCATGTCTGTCGACAACCCGTTGCTAGATCTGAGTTATACGTTGTTGATTCATGTCGAAATCCCGGGTTCCGTGCCAAGTGATTGAGGTATCGTCCCTTTTGTAGATGAAGGCGTAAGCCTGGTTCTTGTTCCCGTACCATAGAATCATGGTGCGTAGCCGAGGTGCTCTAAGCGTAAATATCCCTGCCGAGTACAAGAGATTCGTGAGTTCAAGGTCCTTGTCTGCTGGGTCGACCAACCGCGATGTCAGCGCAAGAAACTCCAGATTTTCCCACTTGGCGTCTTGACAACAAGTTTGGCTGGCATCGAAGAAATCCTGCGCATCAACCATGAAAGAAGCCGAGAGATGCTCAAGGTTCAGGCTTGCGTGCAAAAGTGCCCGGGAGGTCTGCGCGTTTGGTATTCTCGTCGAAGCAGGCACATCTGGGAAAAAGAGTTCGTTGAAGTCCTCGAAAAGTATCAGGGTCTTGAGATTCCGTGGGAGATGCCCAGAGATGAGGATGCCAAAAGCTGCAGTCTGCTGTCAGCCCCGTAGAGATGTCATCGATTAGAGACGCGTATTCTTACCTGGATACCATTGGCCATCTTGGAACTCCTCATCAATCATCCTCCAGGGCTCGTAATGGATGTGTTTGAGTGCAGGCAACGATGCAAGGAGCCGAAACAAGAAATCAGTGGTGAATTGGCGGCGGCATTGTCGACGAATGAGTAATCTTTTGATGACTCTTACTTGATGAAGAGATAACATGGATAGACCCATCATGTCATAAACTTCTCTTGTATCCCGTGCCAGGGGAACCTGTTGGCCGTCAGGTGAGAAGCCGTGTCTTTCGTCGTCGAATGTACGAGGATCACCGAAAGCTTCGTCCTCAGCTGGATCTCCAACGTAGTAGCTCTTGAAAAAGTGTCGCGAATCGCTCGGAGAGTATGCGTTGATCTCCAATGTCAGGTCGCCCTTTGTCCACCTCCCCAGGTGGCCAAAGAGGGCTGTTAAAAAGCAGGAAAAGGTCCACACGCTCGGAGAATGGTAGTCCTATTCCCATTCTATCCCATCCATGCATACTCTGCAGCTGTACTGTGAAAGTTCAACGCTGAGACAAATACGCTTGACCAGGTGCTCTCTTCTTCCTGTCACATACTTATCAAGGAATTTGAGCTGGTCTATGTCGTCGACGACGAGAGACTCAAACGTCTTCTCCTCGATGAAAAGTTGCCATTCCTCGGAAACTGCCGCAAGGTGACCCCGGGGAGAGTGTTGTGCGGCCTCCGTTATAATTTGCACGCGGATCTCGGTGGGCAAAAGGGGGAACGTGAGAGGGGTGTGGGGAATCCTGGGAGATTCGGCGTCCATGGTAGTGATGTTGACGATTTCGATAGACTGTAGAATTTTGATGCTTTCTGGATTCGATGATGAAAAGACTTGGTTTGACGAAGTGGAAGATTCCCATCAGGCGAGAAGAAGGATTCGGTGACTTGGGCCAGGTGCGAGTCGTGGGTGGACTTGCACTATACAACTACAGAAACCTCTTCACACGTGACAACTCGATAGAAGGAAGGACTCACTATGGCTTTGAATATCTGTGTGTTCCTCCCTAGCGAAAGACCATCGGGTAGAGCCATGGTTCCAAGAGCATTGGCCAATTATCCTTGTTTCGCACCTCCGCGGATTCAGAGCCTGGCCTGGCTTGGCGCATCAGACTTGGCCTCTTATCTCAATACCACAGCGCCACCTGCCAGGCTTCACACCAACACAACCGCACAGAAGCAATTCTGGGCACATCTGATTGCTTTGGCCACAAGAGATCCCTGCAGACCTGCTCAGCTGGCCCCGCTACATTCAGGTTGTGGAGGCTGTGCCGGACTGTTGTAAAACTGCACTTTCGGTGGTTAAAATAGAATGATAGGGACTCCTCAAGCTGGTTTCAGACTTCCCCTCACCCTAGTCGTCATTCTCGACTTGAAATTATTGCTTACCATGCCTCGCTACGACTTGCTTCCTTCCAAAGATCGTGGCCAGGTGGCAACAGCGACGGATGTGTCCGACCGCGGAGAGCACCCCCGGAAAATACCTCGTACATTGAAGGAGTGGGCGCCTTCATGGTTTTAGAGAGTTGGTGTTTCAATCCTGTTGATCACTATCCCCGTTGCATACATCAGTAAGCAGACATCTCATTTTGGTTCCATCACAACTAACTTGGAGACAGCATTGGTCGCTATGGTTGCGTATCTCAACAACAAGGAAAAAAGCCCCCTTGGAGACGATGTACTTGAAGTTTTGCAAATTGCCTCAACCTTGTGGCCCATCTCCTTCGCCGCTGTTGCCGGGCCGTGTCTCAAGACTCTTGCCCTCCACCGCGCCGAACAGGGCTCGTCTATAGCATCTCTCGAATTTCTCTTGACCAGCCAGACTACCGTGGCTGCTTTCAAGAATATCTTTACGGTACGGCACATTACTGCATGGTCCATAGGCATTGCATTCGTGTGGTGTCTCAGTCCTCTTGGAGGCCAAGCCGCCGTCAGGTCCTTGCACCTACAACCGATCTCGACAGTCACAGAAGTTCCTGCCCTATACTACTTGGGAAGCAACATATCGGATTTGAATTTCTTCTACAATGGGAGTGTCGATGCTGCGGTGTTTAGCGGAGGCTCGACTCAGAGTTCCCTCATCTCCAAGTTTCGAAGCGCCATCGTCACATCGTTCTACATGCCTGATACACTCATCTCTCACGCCAATGGCTCAACTGATGGGTTTGACTCTGCTATCGCCGCACTTGGAGGAAAGTTACAGGCTGCTCGATTGGGATAACGAGACTTGTGGCGCAACGTGCGTATTCCATTCATGGAGTTACTCCCAGATTACAACCCTGATGATCCCTCATCTTGGGTGCCAGTCCCAACTGACATGGTGGTTCCGTATGCCTCGCTTATTCGTCTTCCCATCCGTGGTGGCTCGTTTAGCCGAGCCGGAAACTCTACACTGACGGTCCGAACTCGCTACCAAACCCTTTCTTGCAAGCGCAAATCCAACGCGATGATTGGTTTAGGGATGGTTCTAGAAAGCTCTTGTATAATAACGCTTCATACTCAGAGCTCCCGTTAGAGAGGTACAAGGGCAGCGGCAGGGGAGTAAACCCCAACATAATACTGGATATTGTCAACAATACAGGGACCCACGAACATTTAGCCACGGTTCGATATGCCAATGTGGACTTTGAACCGGCGTCTAAACTTGAGCTGGTCGTTGTGGGACGATGCGACGGCGACGAGCTCGGGACCGTTGATTGGACACTTCAAATATGCGACATTAGCACTTCCTATGTGGACATTCAAGTCGCATGCACTCGGCTCAGCCCTTCGGATGATTTAATCTGCGAGGCTGCACAAATTCGCAATACTCCTGGGTTTCCCATTGCAGGAAACCTGACCGCCCTTTCGTGTTGGCGCGTATCGACTGGAATCGTTTCGGAGTTGCCTTTTATAACAGCAAACGAGCATCTACTTGAAGCCAGTGGATTGGAAACCTATCTTCACGACCCTACCTATGTCTTCAGCCGGACTCCAGAAACGTTCAGTCACACACCGGGTTGTTTTTCGAATGTGTCCCTGGAAGTGTTTGGATCAAGGATGGCTACTATACTAAACACGGCTATCATGGCCACGTACAATTTCAGTGTCTTGACAGGAGGCGATGGCATCAGCTTGAAAGACCGTGGCGGGATGTGGCATAACACCACGGCAACTTGGACAGAGTTTGTCAAGAGCAGATATGTCATGCACAAGGTATGGTTCTCTGTCTCACTTGCGTCAACCTTGGTGCTGTTTTGTCTCTCGCTCGTCAACGTGGTCGTCCGCTACATCATCAAGGCACCTGACTTCTTGGAAGGTGTGGCTGGCCTCACCAGAGACTCCCAATACATCAGAGTTTCTCAAGAGGGTAGCGGGATGAGTGGTTCTGATAGGTTGCAGATTATTAAGGGCACAAAGTTTAGGATTTGTGATGTCAATCCGGACGCGGATGTTGGGAGGATTGCTTTGACTACAAATGTCGATAGCCCGAAGTTGGACTGGAGGCGAACCTATAGCTAGGTTCATGAGAACAAAGCCGATTTGGTTTGTCAGTTAATTGACTTAGGAGAACGATCTTCTCGCTCAGCTCCTATCAAGGGCCGGGTTGCACCTATAATAAAGAACAGATTGACTTATGAGAACCATCAACAAAGTGCTAAATGGTTGCCCTCGCTGTGACCCCCACCACCTCGGCCCATTGATCGTTTGCTCCTTCGCCTCTGCTGCAGAACCTGCCTTCCACAAACTGCAGCTCAAGTTCCTTCAGCTCTCTTGATACATTATCATCTCCTCCGGGGCACAGAGCAGCGAGCTCATTCAAGGTCTTACTTGAACCCGTTGTTGTAGCAAACTGGAGGAAGCTATTCCCAGCAGACGACCCGTTCTGGCGCCAGCACCAGACACCGTAAAGATTAATAACGAAAGTAACGTAGAAACACATCCAGTAAGAAATATAGAATTGTAACTTTTCGCCGAAGACGTACACCTCAGTTCCAACAAGGGCCTCGATGTCCCCATTATGCGTTGAAGTGCCAATGGAAATCGTCGAGATGACGACATCTCGGAGAAAGCGCTGTATGTTCTCGGCAGAGATGTTGAACCGGGCGTTGTACTTGTCGTCGAGGCCGATGTACGGGCTACCCACGACCTGTGATGCGTTTCCATCGATTGACAAGATGTCAGTCTCGATTGCTGGTCATGGTGAGTATTTTCAGAGTACTTGGGGCAGCAACTTGGCTTACATAGCTGTATTTGGCCTTGGAGGGAATGTATTGCTGCCTGTCGAATTGCAAAGGCTTGGGAGTTTGTAAAATTGGTGTCAAGTTCATCCACTAGAGCTGGGTCTAGAAATCCTCTTGTGGCGTTGAAAAAGTAATAATAAAAACTCCCCTGAATCCAGGCCTGGTCGGTCCACACATCCCTGTGGTTATCGACTTGGGCTTTGATGGACCTTGACGCGTCGGACGAGTGTTCAATTTCGAGCGTGTAGGTTGATAATTTCATGCGACAGACAAGGCTCTTGCGAGACTCGAGGTCACAGCTAATAGGGATAGGCTTTGGGTCCCAGGCTATCTGGAAGGCGTTGTTCCATACAGAGTATCGATCGTCATTCCCGCCGACCTCTACCAGGTCCTTGGCTTCGTATATACTGCCACAAGATGTGGGTATCTGTTCAGATTCCTCACAGTGAAAACTGGGCCCCTCGAGGGAAATGTTGTAGGCGCACGAGGTGCCACAGGGTGAATCAAACTTGACGGGTTCTCCTGAGGCTAGGACCTGGGCAGCTATGGCTTTAAGTTTGGGTCTAGCCGACGTCCTATTGTAAGTCAATATCCGATTGCGATTTTTGCTCAGCTGCCGTTCTTACGGAATATAGTTCACATCGCCGGCCATCTCAAAAAGTGAGTGCTCTGTGAACTGCTGGACCGTCCCGTTCCCATAGTCACTGATGTTCATTGTCTTGACATCATGGAGCGTAGTTTCGAGCTTGTTCAGAAACTTGGTTTCGATGCAACCAGGGGGGAAAATTAATGCAAAGGGAATCATCGCACAGAGTAGGGTAGTTACCCAAACCCTCTTGAGGTGCGCGGATCGACGCAGTATTTTGAAATGTACCAAGTCCCATGGACTCCCTGGGAGATGAACCAGCTTGTCGATCACCTGGGCTTGGAACGGCTTCTTGCGCAGGAGCCTCCAAAGAATCTGGTTGTAGGCAATTCCGAGGCTTCCAAGGAGGCAGATATCCACAAAAAGAGCAAAGACATTTGCCATTGCAGCCTGCAGGCTCTGGCTTATCGTTTTCTTAGCTGGCTTGCCGTCGAGATAAAACTGGAAGAACAAGAGATGGCTGAGAAAAAAGGTGCAGGCTATGGATATGAGTGTTTGTTTGTTGGACAAGCGCGAGGTGACACAGCGAGAAGATAAAAAAGAAGCATTGGAATCCAGACCTGTTTCGATTTCTTGGTGTTCTTAGGTCTCGAAGCTGGGTGTGTGACTGGAGGTGCCTGTGGGCGCTCTTGAAGCTCGATATCATAATTCTTAGCGCCTCGGGTCTCACGAAGTAGATGAGCCATGTCTTCCATCGTTGATGATAAGTTCTGTTTGGGATGAGAAATACCGCCGACGCAACCAGGCCGCGGGAAGGTGCGCCTTTTAACAGCCACAAGTTGAGCCCATGCCAAGGCCAGCTGAGATGCAAGATGCGTAAGTTGACGCGGGCTTTATTGGGTTTCGCGATGTACTATTGGTGGTCTGATCTTGTTGCCTCGCGGGATAAGCGCGAACAAACGCCACTGGGGTTGTCAATGGCCATTGGGTTGTCTTGGCAGTTAGGCTGGCGCTTAGGACGCACATTGTTAAGCCACATTTCCGAGCAGTCTACTGAGGAATTGTTGGCCCAGTCGCTGGACGAGCTACCTTTGACACCATCCGAGCATAACGACTATAACGTGAAAGATGTGACATAACTAGCGACGATGATATTGAAAGCTATATGCAGGAATACTAAGTATGCCTATAGATCAGCACGTGTTTCAGTTTGTTTCGGTGCAGGAAGTTCCATGCCCATCAATCCAATTATCGTGAGCTGTGAGTTGTCCCTGGGAGGTATGTCTATCCTATTAACGGAGGGATCCCGTTGGATCTGATCAAAGCCGACCATTGAGTCGGTGGATCGTGGTCCTACGGATAATCCGAACAAACTGGCTGTCCCTCCGCGGTCCTGGCACTTGTTTATTCCCTCATCAATCCTTTCAAAGGTATTTTCGTCTAATGCCATACTAATCGAGACCTGGTAGCCTAGAAACACATGCGTGACTAGAACAAGGGGTTGGTAGAGATCGCTTGGTGCTTCGGCTCGTAGTCTAGGATATCTGGTGGTTATGTCTGGGATGTCCCTGTGCACCTAAGTAAACAATTATGTCGGTAGTGTGTTTGGATGGTACCTACCATGATTGATCAGGACCAAGAGCAAAGACGGCGGCATCTGATGCCCGGATCGTGACCTCTACCGATGTCCTCCTGTCCTCTAAACCAACTTTTAAGTTGGGCTGGTTTTGTGGTGTTGAAGCCTCATGTGTGTGAGCCGTGAAAAGAGGCACACGGGCGAGAATCTCGTCATGTTTTGCAAGTGAAATTTTGGAGAATCCGAGATCATTCCAATTCGCAGGTTTGGTTGGGGAGTCGGAGCTGGATCGAACGGTGATTTCCAACGGTTTGTTGTTACCGTTCTTGGCGTTTAGAACCCAACTTAAAGCCATCTCGGAGAATTTGTCGTCGATGTTGTACCTGGGTTGATACATGATGTCTAATGGAGGCTGTGGCGTCCCTGATCCAACGGGTCCTGATCCAACGATTTCGTCGAGGGTTACTTGAGCTGTAGAAGTAGGCATGTTGTACCTTGGCCTGGTGAGCATCCCTCAGTAAACAATGAATGATTACGTACGGCTTATTTAAGGAGTTAGGTACAAACGCTTGATCCAACTGCACTCTGTCATTCCACAGTGCAGCAGTCTGAGGACCATAATATTCCAAATGCGCTTCATAAGCCTCTTGCGATACTGCGTCCTTGCGGAGTGATGCCAGTTGGTATGATGGATAGAAGGTCTTGGCCCAGCTACTGAATTGAACTTGAGATTCAGCAGTGGCAGAAGCTCCATCTGGTGGTTTTATATACGCTGGATCCGCGAGATACGCTCCGTAAGCTTGATGACGGCACTTGATGAAATCATGCGTGGCTTCAGTGAGCTGGTCCTTTGTCTTTTCGAGCTTGGCCAAGGTTTCTTCATTTTGTCGACCTGGTGGCTTATCTTTGGTCAGTAGAGATCATAGGCTTGTGGATATGTCATTGTTATTACTGTTGTCACAAATTGAAGGTACCTGCGGAGACGCTGAGAATAGCTCAGTCGGGGAAGAAAGATTGGGCTATCCGGGGGTAACAGGAGATCGCCGAGACGGAAGAGGTCATTGTTGACGATAGCCTGGTCAACTGCCCTGCCAATCGTGACTCCAAAGCTGGTCAGAGGTGCCGTGTAGATACGGTAGCCGTCTGGTTGCTCTGAAAAGGGAAAGTAATCGGATATGGCACGTAAATATGCATGCCAAAGCTCTGCATCCGCTGCGTTTACGCTAGGCTTTGTGGTCGACATGCGGACCTGTTTGGCAGATGATCGGTGCCGTATAGACATGATTTTTGATGAGCAACAGATTCATTTCCGTCCTGTCTAACCCTTTTAAATATTAATAGGGGTGGAATGGATGGTTAGTAATGATGGTAACCCCGCTTTAGAAGCCACTAATTCATGTTGAGTAACGAAAGTGAGACATGATCAGAGAGAGGTATGCGCCTCAATAAAGTGTACCTATTTTGCATGCCAAAGAGGATCTAGAGAGTTGTAAGGGCTTAGAAGAAGAACGATCCTAACACATCAAAACTGGTAAACTGGTCATCATGTGACCATCGCAAGGTAGAGACACCTTTACAACAGTTCAAAGATAATCTTACAAGACAGTGAGAGAAACAAGAGTACTGATTAAGTATTTAGTAAGAGATCACAGGATGATTAGAAGACTAATTTGAGGCAAGATCTCTGCAGCAGACTGATAAAAGAATGACTAGGTAAGTATCTGACTACAAGTAAAGGAGTGACTACGGATAAGCGACCAATTTCGACCAAGTTCAAATCAACACTCTGAAATACTGGTCCTCACAAATCCTTCTCAACATTTGCTTCCTTCACAGCACGTAGAGTTGAACCCCAGGGAGTGCCTTGCCCAAAGAGCATCTAGTTCAATGCTGTTCCGGGAAGCGGGATCGCTTGGCCAAAGGCAGCCAGAAGTGTGGGATAAGCATTGTCTGCCGGGGGGATGACGAGCGAAGTGCCGGAACTGGCCTCCGTCACCTGCTCAAAAGTCGTGGTAGAAGTCTGCGACGTGCTAGCCGAACCTCCGAGGCCAATGTTGAAGCCAAAGATGGATGCGCTACCGCCAGTTGATTGAGCCTTCTGGAGGTAGTTGTTGATCATGCTGGAGGCCTGAGACGAGAGGTTAACTTGCATGCCGACGCCGTACGCGAGGACGGCTTGGTTGATGAAAGCCATGGGCTTGGAAAGGTTGGGGTCGGCGTTGGCTACGACGGGCATGCCGGCAAGCTGTCCAGGGTTCCTAATTCAAGTCAGTTGTTTTCTTCTCTCGTATCTCAGTGCCATAGACGTACCATTTGCTTCCGGGGGTGATGTTGAACGTGCCAATGTCGGTAGCTGTGATGGTGACCTCCAAGTTTGAACCCAACTCCTCTGCGGAGAGGTTCTTGGTCACAACCGTGTTGTTTTCGGTAAAGGTCGCGCTGAAGAAGATGCAGTACGATCCGGTGACCTGGACACTACTGTTGGAGTAGCCCAGATCCGACCAAGACGAGTTCGAGGCGTCACTGGCCTTGAATGTGAATGTCTTGGGGCTCTTCTTGTTCTGAGGGAACGTGGAGATCCAGCTGTCGACCAACTGGGCGTACTGGGCATCAATTTGATACGTGGGGTTGCAGAGGGTAGCATTGGCCGTTCCAGCTTGGCCGGCAGCGATCTGATCGGCCGATGCAGGGGAACAATCCATGTTGAAACTATTGACGTTAGAGCTGACCATGACACGTTTGGTCACTGGGATACTCACCCTGGAACCAGTGACAACTGGGCGGCAGTGGTAAGGGCGCTCTGATATTGGCCTACAATGGCAGCCATTGGGCCGCTCATGGCTGCTGAAGCCGCAGCTAAGTTGGCCGAGGCAGCAGCGTTGGCATTCTGAGCCGCTGCAAGCTGTGGGTAGTTTTGAACAACCCAAACAGAGAATGGAAGAGTCGTAAGCTGGGCGGTCACTTCTGCCTTGTAGGCCCCCTGCGCCGCAATCTTCGTGTTGGTGAAGAAGGTCTGAGCTGTCTGTGCCTTTGTCTGCGCATCATTGTATCGGACCTGTGCGCCTGTGTTGTTATCCGCATGCTGATGGCCTGAGTTAGATCATGTACGACTTTTGTGAAAGCAGGACCTACGAGTTCAACAGAGTTGGCATAGCTATTTGCGTAATTAGCATCTTATTCCAAGTTCCCAAATAGCAACTTACGAGACCATGCGTTGGAAATAACTCTGGCGGCTTGGTAGGAAGACTGGCTGGTCAAGATCCAGAAGCGTGTCACCAGTGTTGAAGACACCATTGTTCTGGATGGCAACATTGATGTTCTTGCCAGCGGCAATGCCTGCAGCTGAAAGAGGCGCAATGTAGAAGCGGTTGCTGGGACCGATGGTGCTGGACTGAGAGACAGCATCCTTGAGTTGGATGCCGTAAGCCAGCCAGAGATCGGCATCGGCCTGCTGGACATCAGAAGAAGACATGTTGAAGGTTGCGAAGGTTGATTGAAAGATGACTGAAGGGGGATTGAATTGTAGTGGTGAGGGTTAAGGATATCTTGGGCTTGTATTGGGCAAAGCAGGCTCTTTATACACGTTTGGAGACACTCAAAAGAACTCAAGGCAACGTTCTGCAAACGACAGAAGAGAGCTCTCAACACGCCGATCTCGTACGATGGCTTACTGTTACCAGAAGTTTGTCTAAGTCAAAAGACTGCATGAGGCCAGCAACAGATCAACGCCAGAAGTCTGTCATTGGGTGCTAATCGACGCCTTGTCTGCAATTCTTGTCGATGCATGTGAATATCTTGTCGGTGAATGTGAATACGAGATGTCGACAAATCAAAGGGTTGCAAGAACTGAGGGGAAGGAAAGCTGAGAGCTCAAAGCAGAAGTAGGTTGTGAGTATGTTTCAGTGGATGTTGTCATTCATGACGTCTCCTTCAGCCACGATAGACTATCAAAGAAGACAATGTTTCAGTCATCTGGTTTTCTACATGGTAAACAACAGTATTCATGTAGTCTGGGCCGTTCTCTCGGGTTGCCATTCTAGGCTTGGAGACATGGCTTGACTATCCCGGTGCAAGGGAGAAGTGCTCCTGCAATGCCTATTGCTTGTATGCTCACCGATAATGAGCTCACCTACCTAAATCGCGGGGAAGGTTGCACTGCAGATGACGGGGGTGACATGATCCAGAACATCTAGCATGTATAGCTTTGAATAGCTTTTGCTTGTTCTTGGCTCCTCAACTAATCACATCTCGTCCCACTGCCCGCCTACATATGCGGCTGAATGACCTGCGTGCCCCGGCTTCTACTTCCGCGGCCATCCCTGTCGTTCGAAAGTAGGTAGGCTTGTCACATATCTCAATCTGTCGACATGCCTACGCCTCCTCTCACTCTCCTAGACAGGTTTTTCACTACCCCGCACTTCATTATTACGCCTGTAGTCTATCTGGGATTGACAGATCTTCATAGAAAATTACCAAGGCAAATGCCATTAGTTTTCTGCATGTCTTTCTTTTACATATCGATAGTTGCCGAGCCTGGGCGTTAGCCTTGATGGACGATACAGCAACGTCAGCTCTCTATGAGCCTGGGATACCTTGGGACTCCACCATGTGAGACTCGACGAGGTGTGGCGTTGTCTCCTTATTCTTCAAGTGAGAATATCCGGGGATAGATTCGAGCCAATACAGATAATCAGCTGATAGACAGAGACTACCTCCTGCAGCCACACAAGCTGATCACTGGCCGCGGGCGCTTCCTTAGTTATGCTTCCCAATCGGACAATATCCCGTTGCTTATGGCTGAAGCCACATTCCTCACACAAGCCGATCGTTTGCCTAGCTCAGAATACAACGGCACTGCGCTGCAGATTTCAAGTTTTCACCTCCCCGCTCTTGGCTCTTGGTTCTTGGCGTCCGGTAGTTAACAAGTGCCAAGAAGCATATGCTGTCAGAAAGTAGAGTTATGCCAAAAGGGTGATATGTCTGTATGGCCTGTCACCCAGTAGGGAACATGTTAGATGATGTAAGCGGGAGGCTTGTTTCCCTCCTCTCTCTGTTCCCGAACGAAACATTCCTCGAGAAGCCGCACCGCCCCTGAGCTCGCGGAGGCTATTCTCGACGCGCGTCCCTTTCAAGTTGTCTGTGAAGGGGCGTCTGATCAAGTTCCTAGTCGATCAAGAGGAAGATGTGAACAAGCCAGAGTTATCCGGGCTCACACCGCTGCACTTTGCCTTAACACGTGGTATCCTTGGAACGTCATGTTCCTCCTCCGCACTGGGGTTGATGCATCCATAGCCGATGATCTGCATCGTGCGCCCCTCCATTGTGCCTGTAAGTGGACCACGCAACGATATTTTCTGCACTCTCGAGGGTAGTGTTTCACCCAACAGCTGCGCTGTGGAAGGAAAGGCGCCGTTTGTGCTTGTAGTCCTCCGTCCCGGCGATCTTGGGGATGCCCTTGTTGAGATTATGCGGGCTCACGGAGCCCATCCTCACCAACGACTTCCGGATGGATGCACACCCTTGTTTAAAGTGCGGTGGTCTGGAAATTGTCACAGGGTAAATATAATAGAGAGCTGGCTTTTGGATACTGCGATACTTTGGTCTTTAGGATGACGTTGTCGTTTATGAGGGCATGTGAACTTGAAGCCCAAGGCACATATAACCTCTAAACTACTCTAAATATGAAAATGCATTCTTCGCATCAGAACTAAAGAACTCTAATATAGCCCCTTCACCCGTAGAATCACATGATCAACTTTGTTAAAGCGCTTAATCTCTTTCATATGGCAATATTTCTAATTACCGAGCCCGCGGCCGACTCTGCATGGCAGTCACACTCTGCCACGAACCTAGACATCCACGATTTCCCTTTTCGCCCATGATCCTGAGCTGGTGCTGCTTTAATCCGAGCTCAGGGTGAGCTTAAGTGAGCCCAGAGGAGCTCCGCCGTGGGGGAGGGGCTTGGGGGGGTTGGTGATATGGGTATTGTTGGAGTTGATGGCCATCGGTTTCCAGGGTGGATTATACGTAATCGAGCAGAAGCAGACCACGTTTTTTTCTTCTCTTTCATTTCTATTTTGTTAAAATTATGACAGCACTACCTTGTCCTCCTCATGAGACCTTGTCCAATTTCCCAGCAACGTTCCTTTATTCCTTCAGGGATAGGTAGGGCTGTCGAGCTCGAGATATTCTGATATGATGTGCTTATGTATACCAGATCCCAACTTAACATGTCACCTCGAGTCAGGGACCTTTGCATGACCCGGTGCATTGCTACGGCTAATAGTGTATGGATAAAACCAAAGTCCCCCGAACTACCGTCTTGGCCATGTCAGACCACAAATTAAGGTCCCCTGATATAGCCCTGCGCCCGCGGGACTTACCGTGAACCCTTGTTCGAAGCAACCACATGGGTTATCGCCCCTCGATGGGAAATCACTGCTAAGCTCAGTAAGGCTCCGGGGACGTTGTATTCTCCGTTACCGCGCATCGGCCCGTCTGTGTTTGCCACTTGGATCGGCAACTGCTCAGGTGAGTTCCTTTCAAGGTATGAATTCGTGCTCCAATTCCCTTTGACGTATTGGATCCATGATTGGGACTGTTATCGTCTCTCTAAGTCAGCCGCTCACTGAATCCACTGCTTCCATAGTGATAGAGATAATGCAGTGCAGAGAAAGCGCAGTTGGCGGAGATTATCAAGCACCCCCTCTCGCGTGAACGAAACACGTGGTAGTCAATCTTGAGCAACCCTTCGATAAACTTGATGGCTAAATACAGGATGGACCTACATAAGTCCCCATGGCCTCTAGATTCCCCGCTAACCTTAAGGACAATTAACTCCCGGGACCTCTTCCCACATCCAAGGTTACCTGCCTTATGTGGCTTTTATCGCTAAAGGAATAGGCCTGATTGGCTTCCTTGGAAAGGTGCTTGGCGTTCGAGTGACATGCTCAGCCTTAAGCATAATGTTAGGATGAGCACTGCAGGGGGGATAGAGGTAGGCTGACTGTACTCGGCTGCACTATCCAGGGGCGCTCAAGGACGTATTCCTGTTTTCGGCCCTGTAACGTTAATCTTTTGGTCATAGCAACCCTGGGCTTACCAGAGTGACATCAGTTCAGCCAATTACTACTCTAGAAATGTGGGAAAACTAACTGTAATTGTGGGCAAATTGTGTATAAGCGAGAGGACAGTTACTTTGCCAAGCCTCCTTGCTGGACGGAATGAGCCGTTGGACCACATTGTCTTACGCCAAGACGGTCAAGGCAGCCGGCAGATCGATAACACCACAAGACGAGACGAGAAGAAGAATAATGATTTATATAGACACTGGGAAGTCGTGATAGAAAGAAAGTCTTCAGCAGGCGCAGTTGGGTCATTCTCAAGACGGCCTCTGTTTCTTCGTGTCACTCGTTTCACAACATGAAGTTAATCCACTCCTTTAGTTCCCTCTGGGGAATATTCTTGCATCTTTTACTACTCGACACTACCACACTCGTTTACAGTCATCCTCACGATGTCTTTCATCATCGGCATCAGGCTAAAGCTAACGATTCTCTTGGGGATCTTGATGGCCTCGAACTACCCGTACTTGAAAAGCGTGCCCTTCCCGACCTGAGGGTAATGGCTCTTGGAGCATCCATCGTCTTTGGCGTGGGATCAACCGATGGAAATGGGTTAGTCCTCCGACGCTTCGTGCTTGCAGTTCTAACATTTCTCTTCACCAGCTTCCGAAAGCTCCTGAGAGACCAGCTGCGTTTTTCTGGCTATAAAGTCGACATGGTCGGCACCAAGAACGGCGGGAGCATGAAAGACAATGTGAGAATATTGACCTTGATTTACATTTACTTGACCTAACGTGACTAGGACGTGGAAGCAACTTCTGGCTTCATTGTGAAGCAGATTCACGACGCTTCCAAGCTTTCGTACAAGTACAAGCCAAACCTAGTCGTCATCAATGCTGGCACAAACGACATTGTTGGCAACATTGACCCGGCTGGTCAGCCCCAAAGACTCAAATCGATGCTGCTCGACCTCTGGTCCAACATCTCGCCCGATACTGTCATCATTGTTTCGACTATTCTTCCCGTCGACAAACCGGCGGCCGAAGCCTTGCGCGGCGGCGTCAACAACGGATATCGTAATGTCGTCTCGGACCTGTACAAGGAGGGCAAACCTATCTATCTGGCGGATCTGGATGGTTGGATGACGCTCTCGGACCTGGATGACGGCACGCATCCTACAGACTACGGTTTCAGGAAAATGGCGGGCGCACTCTGGTCAGCTATCCAGAAAGCCGAAAAGGAAAACAAGTTGAAGGATCCCCTACCCGCCGATTTCTCCAACGACAACGGCAAAACATGTCGCAAGAGTCCTGGTGATGGCATCAACGCCGGTGCCCTGACTCAGAAGGGCAGTGGCTACGACGACGGCACTTATGAGCACGACAGTCAAGAGATGGGCGCGCTCTTGACCATCACCAGCGACTGGGATCGGGATCAGTGGTTCTTTGCCCGCATCTTCCGCTCCGACCGTGACGATCTTCTTGGCTGGGTCGAAAACTCTGCGGGTAATGTTGTCTACGCCGTGCGGAGGAATGATGGAGGTGGCAAGTTCACCAAGATTGCTACCGACTTGAATGTCAACGACAATTGCAAGCCCAAAGGAGTCGTTTTTATCGACCTGAATGGCGACGGACTTGATGACTTTGCATGTATTGGTCCTGACGGCGCCGTCTATGCCAGTATAAACCAAGGCAACGGAGGCGGCGACAAGCCTCCATCCTTTGTCTACAAGGGCCTTTGGAGAGCTGCTGACTCGAGGTTCCCTCAAGCAAAGGTTCGTCTGGCAGATATCGACGGTGATGGTCGAGCCGACTTTTGTGGTCTTTCCGACAACGGAGACGTCTACGTTTGGCGCAACGGATGGATCAACGACATGCCTGAATACTGGCAAGCTCTTGGAAAGAGGTTCGAAGGTAAGGGCATGGGCAACCTGGAAGGTACTCGCTTCGAAGACCTCAACGGCGACGGGCGTGACGACTGGATCTGGGTCGGTGACAAGGGAGAGGCGCATACCTGGACCAACTCTCGAAGTTGCGGCGTGGGCAAAGAAGGCAACGGTCTCAAAGTAGCCTGGCGTCCGGGCTACTACAAGGGCAAGACATCGGGTCCTACTCACGCAGGTGGCTTTGCCAGCGGAATCCGGAATAGGATCCATTTCGCCCGCATCTATGGCGAGCCTCAGGACTTTGGCCTTCTTGGGAGGTTAGACTATGTGTACATGGAGCATACCAAGGGCAGCAACGGGAAGCACACATTCAGGATGCGCGTCTGGAAGAACAAGGGATACGGAGCCACGAAACCAAAGGCCGACGGCAACAAATACTGCGACATGACTGGCAACGGACGGGACGACTATGTCTGGGTCCTATCCAAGGGAGAGATGGACTTTTACCCCAACGGCGGCAAGAACTTCATCACCGGCTCGGAGAGCTACTGGGGGCCTATGCAAAAGGCCTTCTTCAAGCCAGACCGAGACCTCGATCGAAGAGATCTCCATCTCACAGACTGGGACGGAGACGGCAAGTGCGACATTGTCTGGGTTGACCCGAATAACCAAAATCGTGTTTCTGTGTGGCGCAACAATTACACCCCCGGCGGTGGCTTCAACTGGCAGTACCTCGCCAATCCTGCACCTGAGCTGTACTGTCCTGAGAAGAGAGGCATCGGGTTCCACGACATCCCCGTTCAGTTTGCTGATGTCTCGGGTAGTGGCCGCAGCGACTATCTGTGCATCGAGAAGAACGGCAGGATATGGGGTTGGACACAAGACGCCAAGGGTGCCTGGACATACATCGACCAGTTCTTCAGCTCCAAGAAGCACGACAGGGCCAACATGCGCTTTGCCGACGTTGATGGCGATGGCCGGGATGATGCCATCTGGGTCGAGAAGTTCTCAGGTGACGCCTTTGTCTACTATAACATGGGTCGTAGAGACATTGCCGGTTCGCGATACTGGTGGGAGATTCAGGAGAGGGGAGGACCGTTCCCGGCCTATGGCGGCAGCTATGCTGGCTCATGCCAGTACTTTCCGGATCTCAACGGTGACGGAAGAGCCGATCTGCATAGTATCCAAGGTACTTTTCCCAACACGGCTGTCTCGGCATACAATGTCTGCGACGGCAACAGATCTGGCGATGACAGCACCGATATCAAGCAGCCCGACCTCATCATGCCCCCGTCCGGCGGAAGCGGAGGAGGCGGAGGTGAAGAATCGAACACGCCTCCCAACCCCGGTGAAAACTGTGGTCTACCCCAGAAGTGGATGCAGTTGCCCATCAAGGTGGGAGAAAGCGACGGAGGCGAGGACCATTGCTTCGCCAAATGGAACCAGGGCGTGTTCCCCCGCGAGATCGAGGCCTGGGCAACCGAGGGCTCTCTTCACTGGATCCGCATGGTCTACAACGACGGCACACAGGTCACTGCAGGCAAGAAGCCTCCCGCTGATAATAAGCATCGTTACGGCACGGTCAAGTGGGATCCTTGGCATGACTCGTTTGACAAGTTCTCCCTCTGGGCGGGTGGCTTCAAGAATGGTGTGGGCCGGATAGCTCTCGAGTTATCCGACACATGCGACACCAACCAGTGCAGGTTGGACGCTGGTGCCTACTGGCCCGGTGGTCCTCCGCCCGAGGTTGATATCCCCCGTGGCGAGAAGCGCGATGGCATGTTTTTGGGCTTTCGTCTCAGGGCTGGAGATATCATTGACTCGATGACCCCTCTCTTCTCCAAGTCAAAGCCAGTCAAGGTGACTCTGCGCGACGCCAAGTTCAGCCCTACCTGGCAGGAACTGAACGCGCGTCCATTCGAGTAAGCAATTCTCCCCTTGATAGTGTAGGTCAAGATAGGTGCTGACAGTATTTGTTCCACAGTGGTCGTCAGATGGAGGTTGTTGAGGCATCGCACGTCCTGTTCAACAACCGCGATGAGGAAGATGTCGAGCTAGCCGTCGACCTATTCCTCCAAGTTGAGACGGGCAACAAAGTCACCTGGGCGAAAGAAAAGGGACATGAAGACGGCGGCGAAATCGGGGCCACGATCGGAGCCGAATATTCTTGGGAGGCTGGCATTCCTGAAGTGGCGGTTGCCCAGAACAAGAAGAAGATTGAAGTCACGGCGAAGTACGTCGGAAAGCAAATCAGGAGGTCAGTCGACGGAGGAGAAAAGAGCGAATTCAAGAGAGTAAGTCCATTTCCCTTGTATCCTGCTATTCTACGATTAGACACTGACTGAATTGCTACAGGTTCAAAGCAGATATACTCTGATGACCAAGGTCAAAGCAGGCGGAAGGGCTTTCTGTCAGGTGGTTGCCGTCCAAAGCAAGATGGACATTGAATACGAGGCGGTTGTGAGTATTTTTTCCTTTCTCTTACACTTAGAATTCGTACTGACCCTTTCTTTCAACAGCTCACGCAGCATTTCGAGAACGGTGACGCCTACTCGTATCCCGTCTTCGGTCGCTACAGGGAAAGTATGGCTACTGACGCTTACTCGAACTGCTTTGACATTGACGAGGATGATGAAGATGATAGGAAGGACGCAGATTCTGCTGATTTTGTGATTACCGAGAGTGGAACGTATTGCCCTGATGGTGAGAGGGTTGGAAATACGGGCATGTCGGACTCAGAACTACTCAATGCCTGCCCTATTTAGTTCATCTTTTCTTTCATGGAGCGTATTCTATTCGACCTTTGCAGTATATATTTTATTCTTTCACTTCTAAAACATGTACATATTTCGGGGCTACTGAGTTACCTTATGAAGAATCAAGCTTCAGACATGGACTCATAGCCAGGACTTGCCCGAAAGAATATGACAACACACCAGTCGATGAGAGTCCTCTGACACTCGCATTCTAATTATTAGGGATTCTTCTTATCGACGCGTTTATTATAAGCTTTGGTATATTGATGCTATGCGTCGTATATCCCGGGATGTCTACAAATCTCAAAGCATCTAGAACACATACTTGAACCCGAGACCCCGATCATCCTCCATACCATTGGTCTCCAGGCCCTCAGCCAACATGCCCTCCTTCTGGCGCATGCGATACTTCAAAAGCGCATACAAAAGTCCGATGCATAGCAAAGCAATGACCTCTCCACCGAGAGAAACAGCATTTCCCATGATATATCGCGGGGCGTCGCTGATGGGATAAATCTGGGAAGCGGCCAGTCCAGACGCATTTCCAATTGAGATGAGCATGGAGATTGCCACAGATCGCTTGTAGTCAGGCTGGATATTGTTGGACACCCATCTGCAGAATGTCAGTATTGAGAGCATTTTGTAGAGAGAAGAGAACGTACGTGACAAGCACAGTGTTGAAAGAGTAGACACCGGCGCCCACAAGGAACATGGCAAAGAAGCCCACCCCCTTGTGACCAGTTCCGACGGCAATGGCGTATCCCGTAATGACCAAAAGAGGAGAATGAATGAGGCAGATTGCTCGGCGGTTGAGTTTGTCAGAGACAAAGGTCGTGATGCCTACAAAGATGGAGGCAAGGACGTAGACAGGGATGCTGAGGTAATTCGCCTGGAGGGAAGTGTAGCTATCATCTCGTTAGCATGCAGACAAAGCGAATGGGAGACAAGCACTGACTCAAGACCCTTCAGTAGAGTAGGAAGGAAAGTACCAAAGCCAAAGAGGGCGATGGAAGAACAGAATAGGGCACAAGATGAGAGATAGACCATGGGATCAGTGAGCGCCATGACGACCTGCTTCCACGAGAACTTCTGAGTCTCCTTGAAGGGATGGTTCCGCTCCTTGATGACCAGCATGGTCGACTTTTCCTCAGGCTTGAGGAACCACGCCGTCTCTGGGGAAGTAGGCAGGCTGACCCAGCATGCGACGCCGACTAGCAGTGAGATGGCACCCTCGATGATGAAGAGCCACCTCCAAGCCGACAGCCCATGACGCGCGCCCATAGACTGAATTCCGTAGGCAATCAAACCACCGAGCGCACCGGACAGGGCAATAGAGATGTACAGGACCGCGACACGCTTGCCTTGATTCGCCGGAGGGTAGATCTGGGAGATGGTAAAGGTAAGAGCTGGGAAGAGACCAGCTTCAAAGAAACCAAGGAGTACGCGACAGGCAATGACTTGGCCGTAGTTATGGACGAAACCGGTTCCGATGGTGATGGCACTCCAGCTGACAATGGCGATGGCGAGGACACGGCCAGGGCCGAATCTCTTGACGGCGACGACCCAGGGTGTTTCGAATATGACATATGAGATGTAAAAGTACATGGAGACGTCGTTGAACTGTGTGCCGTGCATTCCAGTGTCGTCCTCAAAGCCAAAGACACGGGCGTTTCCTGGTTACCCAATCAGTTAATCAGTACATCATATGGGACGTTTGGCGATATTTACCAATATTTGTTCGATCAAGGTAGGCGAAAAGGACAAGAATGGCCATCTGAGGCATGACGAATCTGTCAAACTTGGAGAGAACGCGCTGCTCCTGAGCATTGTTCAACTCCATCGTCTCACCACTGCCATCCTCTCTAGGAAACTGGAGTTCCAACTCCTTCTCAGAGGTTGCCATTTTGAAGAATAGTGCAAGGCAGAATTGTCTATCCTTGTTGGTTGTCTTGAGATGAAGAGGCGAGTTTGAGTTTGTGTGCAGCGGAAGTCGATCGCCTCTTTAAGCATTTGTGGGAATACGACGGAGTACTATCCTTGTGGGTTAACTATTCCTAGGCTGGTTAACCGCAGGGCGCAGATCTAGGCCGTTTTTCACCAACTGTAATCAGCCGACGGCGGAGCTTTCCCCATGATTCAGTGCAACCTGGGGATTGAGTCGGGAAATGGGTGGGGTTCTTCTGATAACAGGGTCATCGTCCGTTGGCTGGTTTAGTTTGCGTATCGGAGTGGTCCATTTCTGCTGTAGGTGATTATATTTTACGGCCGATAAAAAGATAGATAGTTGACCCGTGAGTGTTGCAGGATACAATCTTGGTGATTTGTTCAGCGAACATGGCCGACGGGAGATGATGGTCAATCAACCTTTCTGAAGCCATGCCGCCAATGATGGATTACCATGCACCTCGAACCGGCAACCGAGTCCGTAACCGGGGAACCTGCAAACTTGTACGTAATAGCCCATCACCCCGCAAGATTTACCTCGCTCTTCCCCAGGAAATACAATCATGCATATGCATCCAAATGGCCGCTTCCGTTGACAATGACATGACCCGGCTACCGAGTCCTTGTCCGCCGACGGCCGACGGGCGATATGGACCCACTTCTCCCCCGCCTCCCACCGCCGTCGGTGTCCAGCAATCTGGGTTATGACCGGCGGTGGATTAAGCTTTGGAGACGGCGTCCATCGGCCGCGGTTGGATGCCGACTGGTTCTATTTAGACATGCTATCTGCTGGACAAAGTATTAGGCCTGTCTCACTATCATTCCTACAATCCTAAGTCTACTATTCCAAAGTCTGTTTAGAACTTAACAAGGGTCACATCTTCACTATGGGTTCACTCAGTAATCTACCTCCCGTCAAGGTCAGCGAGGCTCGTCTCGCCCAGTCACTGCACGAGAGTTGCCAATTTGGCGCTGCACACAGATGGGGGAAGTGAGTTATGCCCCTTACCCCCCTGGTCTCACCTAGTGCTAACCTAGGTCAGGGCCTCTACCGAGACCGGCATGGCTCGACTGAGTCTTGACGACTCGGACAAGCAAGTTAGGGACTGGTTCATGACCTACGCAAAGTCTCTTGGCTGCAAGACTTTTTATGACCAGATGGGCAACCTATTTGCCATTCGGCCTGGCAAGAACAACGCTGTTCCGCCCATCATGATGGGTTCTCACTTGGACACTCAACCTACTGGTGGCCGTTACGACGGAATCTTGGGAGTGGTGTCTGGTCTTGAGGTCCTCCGAACTCTGAATGACAACGGATGGGAGACTGAGGGACCCGTCGGCGTGGTCAACTGGACAAAGTATGTTTCACTAGTCTCCGTTCAAATTCACTTACTAATGAGCCTCGCAGCGAGGAGGGTGCTCGATTCCCCAAGATGGCTGTCTCATCAGGCGTCTGGGCTGACGTGATTCCCCTCCAGACCGCGTGGGACCTAAAGGAGGTCCTAAGCTTGGCCACCGATGGCAACCCCAAGTCTATGAAGGAGGAGCTTGACAGGATAGGATACACAGGCGAGCACGCGGCGTCATATCTCTCGA